GTGGAGGTCTTGTCAAGTTTAGGCGGCAGGCTCTGAGCAAACATTCTACTGATTCTGCTTAAAACAGTAGTTCGGGAGTAGAAAAGGGTCTTATCGAGAATGTCTTACTTGCAACCATGTTTTGGCTACCTGAAAAATGCTTTAGCACGAGGACTTTATGCCCGCGAAAACGCCATCAAGCGTCGTGCCGTCCGTGCCATGTCAACTTTTTACAGTCAAAAACCTGTTCCACAACTCGATCATATAAGCAGCAATCACCAAGAAATGTACCAGCTTAGTATAAAGGATCCAGACTTTTTTTGGGGTCAACTCGGTGCTTCGAGACTAAAATGGATATCGAATTTCCATACAGTCCGCAACTCTGACTTGAGAGCTGGAAAACATGAGTGGTTTATTGGAGGACAGATCAATGTTTCTGGTAAGAATTCTCAGTTTCATTGTGCAACCCAAACTCCCACCATTTGTCATGTGGATGCATAATGGGTGTCATGTGAAGGACGGTTTTATCAAACCTGACAATGGTTAAAAGCCAGAATGGAATCCATGTAAAGCTCACGCCGGATATACGACGATAAGCGATAGAAAAACGATGGAAAATTGTTATCTCACGCCGGACATCGCTGGCGTAAGCTGCATGGATTCCAAACTAGGGCAAAAAAACTCTCTACCAAAAAGAGGCTCCACACTTGAGACTGGGTGTGGCATTATGAGACATTGATTTGATATGGGTGTAGCCTAAAAAATCTGTAATGGAAAATATAAATTTAGGAAGGGTTGTGAAAGTCAATACATTGAGATGTATTGTTTCCACTCATAATTATTATGGCTTGTTGCCCAAGGTGGAATCTGCATTCCTTTTATGCCAGAGGCTTACCAGTAGATAAGAAATTCTACAACAAGACTTTAGAATGTCTGTTTAAAAATTCAGCATTACATCAAAGAAATAAAAAAGGGTTGAGAACAGGCATGCACACTGGCCAAGAGATCTCTGACATTAATAACACAGATTTCACCTTGGCCTGTTGCTAAAAACTTCCAAGAAGCAACAAAGAAGTATGAATAATTACAGGTGTACAATGACATTCAATGAAATTATTTCAGACAAGGGGACAGATTTGTTTTGCTTTGATAATTACATGCTTCAAACAACATATTACCTTTTTTAGAAAATTGTCTTGATCGCCATGTGGCAAAGGACCCAAACAGAATTGCACTGATCTGGGAAAAAGATGAGCCAGGAAAAACAGTGCATGTTTCCTATAGGTATTTTCCATCTATATGACATCTATACTTTTTTAGACCTAAATATAATATAAATGGTGTATGATATACAACATGTATTTTTAATTGTTATGCTTCATTGGTTTGTAAAAAGTGATATCAGATGCATCTTTGCCAGGTTTTCACATTTTTTTCATTATTTAGAATTGATCCAGAAGCTCAATAATTGAAATTTTGTCTCTTAAGGGAATTAATGGATGATACATCAAGAATTGCCAATGCCTTGAAACGACAAGGTGTAAAGAAAGGTGACAGAGTTTGTATTTACATGCCAGTGTCCCCAATTGGTGTTGCTAGTATGCTTGCTTGTGCAAGAATTGGAGCAGTTCATAGGTTTGTATTCTTTATTAAGTTGCACTTTTGTTGCATTTAGCCAGGCTATTCCTGGAGACGCGGGTTATAGCTAGTGCTCACCAAAACCCCACGCAAAATAAATTTGCGAGGGCTTTTTTCCGCCCACACAGATTTTCAAACTAATGTTCTTCTTTAATTCATACAGTTTAGCTTCCCAATGTTTGTACTACTAACCGCTAAATATCAGGGTGTAAGTGAATAAAGAGAAAGAGGTCTAACACATCTATGTGTTTATCAATTGGTGTTATAGATAGGAGATTTCCATTTCCTCACATGTTAACAAACTATTGTATTATCTGCTAAAACTTGCAATGATATAGGAAATGTGTTCGCACGAAAGGAATAACATATAGTACGATTAATGCTACAAATAATTGAAGTGAGAAACATTTCACCATGCTGTGAAATATGAAACAATTTCTTTTCAAGTCACGACATATAAACTAGGCATTCCCAAAAAACCACATTCGACTAGCAAAACCTAACAAAACTTTGCTATGTTCCAAAAAAGTTATGTTTCCCTTTGGTCCTGTTTTAAGGAGTAGTTATACGAAATTTAAAGCTAGTAATACACACAAAATGCCTTCTTAAGGTGAATAGTGTTGAAAGAATTGGCAAGGTAATATATTTTTGCCTTTGTAAATACTCAAATAAAAAGAAATTAACAACAGTTCTGCAAGGGTTAAATAGCCTACGCAGCCAAACTGGCAAGGGCTTTTTATAGCCTGCATTGCTTTATTTTCCTGGAGAAGCTTGATTTAGCCTTCATTGAAGACCAATTAATCCCTGTGATTGGCAAATTATCAAAATAATTCAGTGTTAGTTTTTAGAAGCCAAAAAGATGGTTAGTAGAAACAGGATATTTCTTTTGTTTACAGTGTTGTCTTTGCTGGTTTTAGTGCAGATGCACTAGCATCTAGGATTCAAGATGGTATGTTCTTTCTTAATTTATTCTTCAAAAAAGCTTGCTGTTTTGCTATTTATTATTTATCAAAAACAAGCTTTTTGCAATTTGATCCTCCATCATAAATGAATGAAAACTCTCTCAATATTGTTAGGTCTTATATGAACCAAATACAGTATGATTTCTCATTTCAGCTGGGGCTAAAGTGCTACTTACGGCTGATGCGGGCATAAGAGGTGGAAAGAGAATACCGCTAAAGAAGACTGTTGATGAAGCTTTACGTCAATGCCCGGAGGTCCGCACTGTGTTTGTGGCACAAAGGACAGGAGCAAATATCCCAATGCATCCTGACAGAGACATTTATTTGGATAGGGTAATGAACTAACCTTTTTCCTAAGTTGTTTTTCTGAGAAAAAACTATTGCATCAATGGAAACCACTTTTGATGCATTTCTGTGAATTTTAGGAGCTTGTTTGTTATATAGAGATTGATTAGCCATTTTAAGGCAATGAATTTCCTAGTTGTCTGGCTAAAACCTTCTAGAATTTTTATTAGCACTTAAGATTCATAGTATTGAGTATGGACAATCCACAATTGTTGTATTCAAACCAGAGGAATTTCTAAAAAGGGCTTTTATCTAAGCCTTCAACTTGTGTGATACTTCCATTTAAAGTTTTCTGTAAATCCTCTGTTGCACCAATAAATATAAAATGAACTTCAGTTTCTCATTTGTAAAGTAATTTTAATTTTGTAGGCTATGGAGTCTGAGTCTTCCCATTGTGAGCCTGAACCAATGGACAGTGAAGATACCTTGTTTATTCTATACACATCTGGAAGCACTGGCCAGCCAAAGGGAGTAATGCATTCTCAAGCAGGATATATATTGTATGCCTCTCTCACTCAGCAGGTGCCTTATATCACAATTTAGCTTTAGCTTTTACTAGTTGTCCATCTCTTACCAGTATGGCATATCTTGAATCAAGAATTTTTTAAAATACTAATCAGGCATCCCCACTGAGTTGCAAAAATGCGCTACCATCATGGCTCTTTGAAAAAATAGAAGGACTATTTTGTACTATTTGAATGATAAAGTAAGTTATAAAAAGTCTGTTTAGAACTAGTTTTTTTCTATTCACTTTCATTTCTTTGCCACATGATTTTTACTCAAATTTCTGGAATCAAGTTTCTTGAATCAAGTTTCTGGATCAAGTTTCTTGTTTCTTTTAAAAGTTGAACTCCGGTGAGGTTTTTGTTTGTGAAGGCTTCAGTCTTCTAGATTTTGTGTTTGGACAGCACTGTCAATGTTTCTGTTCAATTAATTTATATGTGGTGAATGATAAGTTTCTTATTTGTATTTTTTCATTTGTTTTTTTGCACTTTTTAAACATCAACCTATTGACTAAACCATGCCAAATTTTGTCTACCTCAAACTAAGAATCAGAATCTGTAGCAGGGCTTTCACGTTCAAAAATCAACATGCGCGGTAAAAAACTCACATGATAAGAGTGGGGCGTGCGAATCAAATTTATTTGTTAACACAGAACAATAAAGATTTTCTATTGAAACATTAAACGTGACAAAACTTTTGAAATGAACTGAATGCTACACATTGTATAGTTATGTTTGTGTTTCCCTCACTAGTTATCGTGAACGGTACTCTGCGATATAGAGAGGTTTCAGTGACTTAAGAAATGTGACAAAGTTTCAATTCTGTTCAGCAAAGTAAAAGAAAAAACAGACAAAAATAGCTTTAGCAAATAAAACAAGAAGAAGGCCCCAACGTTCGTTGGAAATCAGGCCCTGTTCCTATTACTCCGCTTTTATAGGAAAACAGAGCTGAATGAATCGTTTTTTATTTTGGTTCCCATTAATACGCTCAGAAACAGAGACATTTATAATGATGTTCCAAGTTATCAACCAAAAACGTTTGAAAACGAAATTATTTTAATGGACACAGTGATGATATTATCACATCTTGCTACTTTTTGATACTTTGCTTGCATTTGTGTAAGAATAATAAATCTGTTTATGGAGCATATGATATATCTAGTATTTGTGCTCATTTTTAGTTCATTTTGTTTTAGCTCTGTTTCAATTACAAACCTGGAGATATATATGCCTGTGTAGCAGATATTGGCTGGATAACTGGGCACAGTTATGTTGTTTATGGTCCACTTGTCAATGGTGCAACAACTGTTTTGTTTGAAAGCACCCCAACATACCCAGATCCTGGTAGATATTGGGAAATGATAGAAAGGTTGCAAGTCAATCAGTTTTATGGAGCACCAACATCAATTCGTATGCTGCTTAGATTTGGGGATGAGTATGTCAAAAAATATAACAGATCTTCACTTAAAGTTCTTGGTACCGGTAAGAATTCTTGCTTCTCACATTGTTATGTCAAACTTAAATAGGCTTCTCCTATAAAGAACCAAGTCTAGAGTTCATGAAAATGGCTAAAAGGTTTCAGATTGTAGGTTATTTTACTATGACATATTATCCTTGTTTTATAGACAAATTTTGCATGTCTCTCGTGCAGTAACTTATTTGCTTTGATATTTGAAACAATTCTTGCATTATTTACAAGAATTCACAATTTTTGGTTGTCATGATTAAGTTTTTTTAATGAAACATGAAACAGAAGATCTTCATATTAACCATTTTTTTCAAGCCTTTAATTGAGCATATCTTTTGTCAATTTTTCATGAGTTGTATTCTATAGTAGTACTATCTTCTTAGAATCAAACCTGACTGCTTGAAGAAATGATATTTCAACCTTGATAGTTTTTTATAAATATACAAATTGCTGCATTTAATTTCACTTGTTAAAAATTCTTTTAAGTTTATGTCACTAAAATTGTGAGATGTGTTGTTCTATCTAATTAGTTCTATTGTTTATAATGTATTTTTCACAATTGTCCTTCAATCTGTAATATTATCATGTATTGCAAGCATTCAGCAAGAATACCATTCCTTCTGTAAGATCCTTTCCGTAAGATTCTGAGGTTTTTCTTAAAATTCTTATTTGCAGTTGGAGAGCCAATTAATGAAGAGGCTTGGCACTGGTACAAGGATGTTGTTGGGGAGGGGAGGTGTCCTGTTGTTGATTCATGGTGGCAAACAGGTAAATATAAATAGTTCAGTCTGTTTTTTATCAGCTGTTGGAAAAGTTGTTATTGTGCCTGTGATGGTGGTGGAAATTTTTTTGATGATTGATAATTTTGATTATCTTCTCACTAGCTTCTGTAACTTACTGAACTTCCAGCTCTTTAAGCAGTACAGGTGCAATTTACTCAGCTGGTCTTATTTTAATACAATGATTACAGCTTTGTGAGTGTGAATTGAGGCTTTGAGGGCAACTTTCCAACAACAATAATAAAATATATGTTTCAAAATTTGAGCACATAGAAATTTAAACTGGATAATTTAGTTATATTTTATGTAGGGCAGACAGAGAGCAAAGGAATTTTGTTTTGATCAGGAATATATTTAGTATACCTTCAGTTTGTGTATCATTTAGTTTTAATATAATTCCTAATACAATCTTTCATAAGATATTCTCTGTTTTTTTAAAAAAAGTTGGGAAATACCACAATGCTGAGTTTGTATATTACATCAGATGTTTTCACCTATATCTATATTCCTAATATTGCTGATAAATACTTCTAATTTATACTTATCTAAGTAATTTTGGAAAATACAATGCGGTATCAAAGATATTTAAAGCAATGGAGCATTTGGGAATTCAGATTAAGTATTAAGTAAAAGAAAGTTCCTTTTTCATAGGTCCCTTTTTTCTAGTGAATAACTTTAGAATGCTTCTGACATTGTTTGCAATTATTTTCATCATCACTGACCTTTCCATTATTGACACAGTGATACATTAAGAATGCTATTTCATCATCATCATCACATTTAGTAATTAGTCATATTTAGTAATGGATAGGGTTCAGTAATTATCTTCCATGCTGACCTATTCTTTCTCTCAAATTATTTTTTATCACTTGTACCCATGTCTTCTTGGCCTCAAAGTATTAAAAGATACTTCATAAACAGAAACTGGTGGTGCCATGATTGTGCCATATCCTGGACCAGAAAATCAAGTTTGGAAACCAAGCTGTCCATTGAGGCCCTTCTTTGGTGTAGATCCTGTGATCCTTGATGAGAAGGTTTGTATCAACAGTTACAATTTTTAGTCTAAGGGCAATTTGTTTTATACTGGACCTTTCATTGAGTTTTGTCCAAGGGTTTGACCCTCCAAGTCTTTTTAATTTATTTTAAAAAGCATCTGAAATCTTATTAAGAAACAACAAGCTCCAATAGATTTTAAAATATTTGAATCTTAAGATTTCCAAGATCTTTCAAAAGGAAGGATCATTCAAAAAGGTCTAAGGAAATTTTGTTATCCAAGGGGATAAATTCATTCAGATTCCCAATAACCAATCTTGTTTTTATGCAATGAGAAGAGCATTGTTTGAAAAATACTTATCATTTGTTAAAATCAACAGGATAGTTGTGTCCCTGATTTTGTAATGATCAGTATCAATCATGAATTGTATATATTTTATATTTGTTGTTCTGTTAAACAATATCAAGTTTATCAATTTAGTCAAATATTCAGCAAAACTTGGACCAAAAGGCAATTTAAGAAACCATCTATCCAAAAAGCCAGGGTCATAGTAGCTATTGCCTTCAGAGCAGGGCCTCAAGATCAAATGTAATAATTTATTCAGCAAAACATAAACCAGAACATAGAAGTTAGATTTATCCTATACCAAGGACCATCTCTAGCTATTGTACTCAAAAGGGGGATGTCCATGTCACATTTGCTATTAAAGTGGGTCATTCATCCTTTGTTTGCCAACAAGTTAGAAAATTTGCAGATGAAGATGGCATTAGCAGACCTTTATGCATGTGGATTGTAATGTAACTTGACCACATTTGCAATAAGAGAACCAAGAAAGGAATATTATCTAACTTGTAAATTTGTTATCCACCCATAATGTTATGAGTGGCAAGTGTTTTCAAGAACTTTATTCTAGGAAGGATAAGCACTCAGAAAAATCCCTCAGGCAAGTAAATATTCCTTAAGAAATCAAGGAGGAACCAGCTTTATTAGCACAAAATTTATTTATAACAGTTAAAAATCACTCTCTGTTTCAATCATTAAGAATTCAAATAAATTATTAAAGTTGAGTTTTATCATAGTTTTTAGTATATGTCAGTTTTTGAAACATCTCAATCCCTTAGCTCATTTTAAACACAAATTCTATAAATTGTTTTATTGGTTTAGTCCTGTGAGTCTCTCACTCACTTCCCATAGCTTTTTAGCAGCTCCATCATCTTTTGCGATAGGACTCACATCACTCTCTTGGCAGTCAACAAAATATTTCCCTGAAATATTTTCCAAAGCAGGGTCCACAGCACAATGAATTGTTGTTTGTGCACCTTGTCTAGCTGTTTTCATAAAAAACAATCTAAATGGTAGAAGAACAATTTTGACCAGTCTCCATTGCAGAATACCAACATTTCTCGTAGCCTCTGTCCTGACAAAGCCTGGATGTAAGCAATTTGCAGTTACTCCTGTCCCTTCTAGTTTTTTGCTTAATTCATGAGTAAAGAGTATATTTGCTAGTTTAGTCTGTACAAGCTGCTTCATTCTATCAAACTTCTGTTCCATCTCAAGATCTTGAAAGTCCAAGCCTTTGGATTGATGATGGACTGCTGATGACACATTTATGATCCTACTTGGGGTAGACTGCTTCAGTTTATCAAGGAGCAAATTGGTTAATAAGAATGGACCAAGATAGTTCACCTGAAACATTTCCTCGTGTCCATCTTCAGTCACCTGTCGTTTTGAACCAGTCAAAACACCTGCATTATTTACAAGAATATCAAGTCTATCTTCTTCAGCATTAAATTCTTTTGCAAATTCTTTTATTGACTCAAATGAACTCAAGTCTAGTTTACGAAACTCGACTGTCTTGTTTTCAGATAAATCTCTAATATACTTCATTGTCTTTAACCCACGGCTGTAATTTCGACATGCCAAAATTACCTTTGCTCCTCTTCCAGCGAAACTTAAGGCAGCTTGTTTACCAATACCAGTGTTAGCGCCTGTCACAATCACAGTCTTCCCCTTTAACTTTGCAAGGCTTCCACATGATCCACCAGCAAAATAAACTCTTATTCCTGCTATGGTGAAGCCTATAACAGCGATCAACACAAACCCAATTGCGTACATTATTTGATTATTTGAATCTTCTAAAATGGCTTGTAATACTGCCTCTTGGCAAATTTTGCAGCTCATCTGACAATTGCGACGCATGAAATCTGCATTATTTCTGCATTCGCCTTTGCTTGCCCAGTGTTTACATCGTCCATCCAAATCTTGACATTTGCTTTCGGCTCCGGAGGTACTCAGTCCAATAAGGAAAACCAACATTAGGCCAGCCGATAGTAATTGATAAGCGGCCATATTGTTATGATGTTGTTGCACAGAATAGGTTGTTGTCACAAATTTTTTGGCGCGAAATGATTGAAAAATTGCTTCACCTATTTCTTTATAATTTACAAAGTGATCTTGTTTATAAAGCCCTTCTACTGGCATGCATCTATCGACTGGACGCCAAAGAAATGAACCATAGAAATGAAAATGCTGGTAAATAATTTAGTAGTTGGTTAAGAAAACATTGTTGCGAAGCAGCTGGGTTGCTTGCTTCTAACCCGCAGCGCCACGTTGACGAGCTTGCCTTCAGGTCAAATCATACTTAACTTGCTAGGGTTAGGGTCATTTGGTCAGCATTTGATTTGTGTGCTGGGGGAAGACGAGTTATACTTGTAGGGCATTCAGGCACGTAAATACCGGGGTGGGTGTGGGGGTGTCACACCCCAGTCCTTGAAGTTCTTTGAATTAGTCGATCATTTTTAGATTTTATAAAATAGTGCTGTTTTTACACTTATTTATCAGGGTTGCCCCCCCCCCCGAACAAAAGTTGTATCTCGATCTTTGTCATTATCCAATTTGTCCCATTTTAGGGCAACGAAATGCATGGGGATAATGTTTCTGGTCTTTTATGCTTACGATCTTCGACACCCGGCATGTCACGCGGAGTTTATGGCAATTTTGAAAGACATTTGGATACCTACTACAGGCCATATCCAGGTAGAGCTGCTATATTTACTGCTTTTCTTAGGAAGGAAAATTTTTCAATTCAAAAAATTATATACATAAGTCGACAGGTTTTGTCTTAAAACTGGTTTATTGATCTTGGTAAAATATAATGAAAGTTACTGTTTATCGGTCTGTCATAAAGTGCTCGATTGGCAGAGCTGTACATGCTTTTGTTGTATAGAAATGGTGGGTTCTAGGTTGCTACTCCGAGTTCCACCGAGTTTAAAAATGTATATACAAAAACAGTGATGTGCAATGCCATTATTCGAAAAAGCTATTTCATCCTTAGGGTTTGTTATACTCATTCCAATTTTTCGATCCTCATAGTTTTTTTCCAGGATGTTTTGTAAGGATGATGTTTTTAGTTTATTGTAACTAGGGAATATGTTTAAGCAGAATGAAGTATCGGAAAGCCCTTAAAAGTGAATATGGGAAGAAAAAACAGGTTAAAGAGCTGACAAATTAATCGCTCGGAAGAGTTCATCGCTTCTTTTCTCCAAACAACTGAAAAAGAAAGGTCCCCTTGAAAATGGCCAAAGAGAACCTGAAATCAAGCAAATATATATTTGATTAAGATTTATGTCTTAGTTTTTCCTTGTGGAGATACTGACTTTCTGTTTTATAATTTCGAAAGGGTACTACTTCACTGGTGACGGTGCACGACGGGATATCGATGGACACTATCACATTACAGGTCGAGTTGATGACGTCATGAACATCAAGGGAGTGCGTTTAGGAACAGCAGAGGTCGAAGACATAATGGTTTGTTAATAAAGCCTAGATAATTATGTTGTTTCCATTTGATTGAAGGTGTAATATTATTTTTCTTTTAGCGTTTTGTATGAGACTCATTAAAATTTCGAGCAAATGATCAAAGAAAGACAAAGGCGAAGAAATGGCGAAGAAAGACAAAACCCTATGACGAATTATATTCGCTTGTCCAGCTCAGCTCTTTTCAAGAGGTTTATCAAATCTATCCGAATTTCAATTTACAGTAGGCCTTCGAGCATTTCTCATTTTGCGAGCAGCTCTTTATGTATGATCTGATTATTTCACTACAATACTCTCTTTAGTTAATTTTTCATTGTATATTTCTTTCAGCTAAAATTTTGATTTTTAGGATAACCATCACAATGTAGCTGAAACTGCTGTAGTAGGATACCCACACGAGATTAAGGGCGAAGGTAAATGCATGCATACATACATTAATAGCAGATTAAAGATGTATTTTCTATGGCCTATTTACCGGCTGTTCACCCCCTCATGATAAAGTGAGAGTTATTCAATGACTTCCCTGGTCAACATTTTTTTTATAAATCAGGCGAGCAGGTTTCTCTAAACGTGGATCGAAGTAGGCAAAGGCGTCAATGTGGAGATCAGACCAATACAAACTTTTATGAATTAATAAGAAACGCTGATACGAAAATGATGCTGCACATTTTATGATCTTATTCAAGCTTTCCGTTCTTTGCATATAATCTTTCTGTACATATTTTAGAAGTAACTAACTTTCTTTTGTTGGTACTCTAAAGTTGATACAATTTTTGACAGACCAGCGCAACACCTGAAAGAATTTGCCTGGCCAAAATTTTGCATTTAGCAACATAATATATTCCAAAAAATAGGCCATTCTTTTTTTCATTACGTACACGAATGATAGCTCAACCAATAGAATAATGCACCACCAGCGTATCTTGATGTATGGGCGGATTCATTCTACCGTTTTGTGTATATTGTTTTGTGTACTTGCAGGCGTCTATGCTTACGTGATTTTAAAGGATGGAGTAACAGTTAATGAAGAAGTATTGAAGGAAGAACTTAGAAAGATGGTGAAGAAGGCTATTGGAAGTCATGCGGTTCCTGAGATGATCCAGGTTTCTGTCTTATTGTCTGTCTCAGAAATTTCTCTGATATGTAGTTCTTCCCATTTTGTCTTTAATAGTCCCCACACTTGAAGGCTCTTCGCCCTAGCATGAATTCCTCCGAACACGAAAGTTGTTTTCTTATTTCGGTGTTTTTGATCACTTGAAACAAGAAAAATTCTACCACAATTTCAAATCGGTGTTATCTTTATTTTGCCTTTCTTTAGAGCTTTTGTAGTTATACGATAGATTGCTTGTACGTATCTTATCTCAAAAAACGAAAAATATGACATCCTACTATGAACATCACAACTTTATGACGAATTTCTATTTAAAAATTCTTGACTTTTTCAGATTTCTCCCGGCCTGCCAAAAACGAGGTCAGGTAAGATCATGCGCAGAATCCTGCGAAGTATTGCAGCGAATAGATTCGACAAACTCGGTGACGTAAGCACACTTGCAGAGCCGACAGTTGTTAATGGACTGATTCTTGAGCACGAGAAACTTCTTGAGGCAATGGAAAAGAAAGGCTAAAGGAAGGAATGATGTAAAAATTTTCATTCAATTTAATTAACCAAATCATAATTTTGTAATTTAATCCATGCAACGTTTTTTGTAGTCAGAAAATGCAAAATATCTTCAGTTTTTAGCTCCTGAATCTCGGAATTCAGATACTAAGCAAATTAAACTTTTGGATATAATGAATGATAACCCAAGTTCTTAACCGTGTATTTTTAGATATTTCTAATTGCTACCAGTATATGAATTTTTTAATGTTCCACTTTTACTCTTTATCTCAAATGTACGATAAACTCTATGAGAGATAACCTTTTTAATCTCTCTCAAGACATATGCAAGCGTTAAGAATCGTCTGCAAACCATTGAGTGCGGTTCAGTCGGGTTGGTGAAAAATTGCTGTACCCTAATGATTTGAAAGGAGGTTAAAGCACCTTACATTATTTACCCTCGTTCATCCTTATTAACACTTATTCATCCTTGTTCACCCTTATACACCAATATTCACCCTTATTCGTGTACGAACGACTGACGTACGATTTTGAAACAGCAATGGAAGAGGTATTCTCAGATTGAATTGAGATGAAGGGAAGACCATATGGCTCCTTTTTTTAATTTTCGTGATTTGAAGACGATTCTTATGTAAACGACGTAATTTATGTAATAGACTTAATGTAACACCTATTTAGCAATTCTTACTTTTGGAAATTTAATATCTCATTTTTGTCTCACTTATCTTTGTCTAATTTTATCACTTTCACATGAATGGTATAGCATTTTACGTTACATATTCATGAAAAATATTTCATGCTTCGCAGTGTCATGTCAAATCACGAAAGTTTTTTTACATATTTTGTCCATATCAGGTTTTACAACAGGACCACAGATTTGGTCTTCAATTTTTGGATGCCTTGAATTCTATGGGATCCTTTGAAAAATAACAGATTTTCGATTATTTGGTGAACAAAATCTTTTCATTTGGACATCGACTGTCTACATAGGTTCTTTTGAATTTAGATGGTATTTCTGATCACGAATGTTGCCATTGACCCCTGGATGAAAATAAAGATGATCAATCCTTAGGAGTTTCAAGAGACCTACCTTGCTATCACGTCCTAAATTATTGTTTGCCTTAACCAAGAGGAATCAACAGATCAGAATTTCTTAACCATACAACTTATTTGGGCATACTTGTAATATGGGATGACCTGTGAGTTATTTCCCCTACCGTCATTTAGCGGTGGTCGTGTGTGCCTAAATTGAGAAATGGGAAACAACTCGTGCTAACTATTAGTAAGATAACGTGCCATACATCATATCTTTTCGAAACGCAGTGGAAGGCGAAAATCTAGTTGCAATGCAATACCAAAGCCACTGTTAAATCCATGCATTCGTACCTAGTAACCGAATGGCCCTGTAAGCCTTTCGAGTGGCTGCCCTTGGTGGGCTTATATACCTTATTTGACATAAATCTTTAAGACAAAGCCCAACTGTATATGCTAAAACATGCAGATTGGTCTGTTGGATTCAAAAATGATATTTTCAGCCGTCATTCTTGTCAAAATTTCTTACCAAGATGGCTCAAACTGACGGAAACACCAGATACCTTAGGCAATGACAAAGTGGCACGTTCATCGAATGCAATTGTAATTTTTACGAAGGACACGACTACGTCACTTGAGAAATCCTGACAACGTGCGGCCTTTATTAAACATTGCGAATCATAGATTTTGATTCTCCATACATTAATCTAGGGGAGTGATTGAGTTGCCATTTTCGATTGTTTCTTGCAGAGATAGCGAAGTGGGGAGTTTAGCTTGCCGAAGTTTATGCATGCTTACAGCACGTCTTCGTTATAAGAACCTTGGATCAAAACTAAGTATTTGAAGCTTTCTTATTTGCCATCTAAATTTTTGGCGTTCTAGTACTAAAAGTTTCTTCATTGATTTCTTATTTTCGGGACCTATAATTGCCTTATTGTTTTGAAGTTGAGGATTTTTGGAAGAATGTAAACACAGATTGTCACGAAAAGACCCATGCAGATCAAAACCCAAAGTTTGCTTCTTTTTCAAAGAAAATCTTATAAAAAAGTTTATAAAAATTATGGACAAAAAAGTCAGTTAAAAAGATCTATAATAAAATCATCTCTACATCAACACTATCAAGTGTGGGTTTTAAAGCATGAAGATGTTAAAACATTTTTTGTTTTCTATTTTGAAAATCATCGGATGCGTTAGATGATCATCTGGGAAAGCCTTCAGTCAATAGACTCTTTTTTTCAAATAGAAGTTTTACAGTTTCTCAATTTTTCTTGAGCCTGGTACTTAAGTATCTCCAATTTTTGACCATCCTAGTACTAGTTTCTTATAAACCAGTTATGTATAAACTTCAACAGATAATTTCTTGTGATGATGGAAATGTTTTCTATTCAAACCCAGTCTTAGAAAGTTTAGATTTAAAAAGAATTCGCAGGCCTGTAAATGAAAGGCTATCATTTTCCTTTGGTAAAGATAAAGAATTTTCTGTCAATTTTATCCTCTTTTGATCGACCGAACACACGTCATCGTCCGTGTCTGGGTGGGTCAAGTCTGAACCGACAATGTCGGTTAGGTTCTGACGTCAACGATTCTACCTACATTGAGTGTCAGTTTTGTTTAGAAATGCAGCTAAAGGCTACACAGCTATTTCCGATCAGAGATTTTTTGAAGTCCACACCAAACTATTCATAATGGAATAATTACCATAAGAACATCTATGTTAAAAACTGCTTGAAATTCAAGACTAAATTTCAATATCCAGTCCCAAACACATATCAAAATAAAGTACCGAGTTTTTCTCACAATTTCTGAACTTTCGTAATATCTCAATAGCGCATTAAATTAGTCTTCTGTTTCGTTTAAAACTTGGGCTTCAAACTTTTTTTACACGCGTTTTTAAGGAGAATTTTTGAATACTGAGTACTAATTAGATATCAAATATAGAACATGTTAAAATAAAATTTTGAATTTTTCATAATACTCATAAAAGGATGTCCCCATCTTGAGAATGTGGTCTCATATTTGATGGATGTGAGGTATATAGAAAGGTTATTCTCATTTAATGCTTCTTAAGTCTGCTGACACAATTTTTGTTAGTGCGTAAAAAATGCATCTCTTCGTGCACCTTTCTTTGTTTACAGAATTAAAAAACAAGTGCACCGGTAGAAAAATCTGTTTAAGCAGCACTGCCACAACACGCGGTTGATCTGAGAGTGGGGCAAAGAGGATGAGACACCCCAGTGTTGATTTATTGGTAGGTAAGATTTCAGTCGGAATATAAAAGGGACGATTTGTCTTCATCCATGTCTTCGATGTTAGATTTCATTTTTTATTACCTCCCATCCTAAGTCTTGAACGTCAAGGTACACCACTTGTCAAAACATTCACCTTGTCCCCAGCATTTCCACTACGATGACCCCAAATACAATGCAAAATTGAATTATTGTCCATATTTTGTTCCGGTACCAAAGTAAATTTTTTTCTATGAAATTCAAGCCCCAATAATTTCATACAAAGTTTGTACGTAGGTGACAACTCGTATAGTCTAAGGAATCTTCGGAATTTGCTATCGTGCCATAGCCTCGGTCAAAGGCTGGAAAAGCAATGTAGCGCAAATTGACTTGATCTTCAGGAAGCACCGCCATAATATCGGTTAATCATAACTGCGGAAAACTGAAACTGCATTTTAGAGAAAGAAAATTCCTGTCACGCTATTTTATAGAACAAAACTCAATAAAGGTGCAGTGTCGTCTTCAGGATCAGGAAGAGACTGACTGACATTTTAGGCTCGGTATTTCAAGAGTTAGTGAAGTCACAAGTACGTAGGCCTATATATTGGCCTATTTTTGTTTATTTTGTTTTTAGATCAAAGAACCTGCCAATTAAAGTCTCAGCTATCAGTGAAGATAATGGCTACAAGAGATGATTTTTCACTTCCATCGTCTTCGAACCCCTTCAATCCATTTGCGGACCGATTAACTAAGCCTGACATAGAACCCAGTGCTAGACCCAAAAACGCCACAGGGCCATCGATGTCATCAAATCTTGTCAAGAAACCAGAAAGTAAAAGTGCAGATGAAGCAGAGTTTATGACTTTTATTGGTACTTTTGGAAGCCCGTTGTGCTGTCATGCTGTACGCTTTGAGCCCGGTCAAGAACTGAGAAAATCACTTTTAGAATTTGTTCGAAAGAAAAAGCTGAAGGCCCCCTTCATAATGTCGTGTGTTGGATCAGCTAAAAGTGCAAAGCTGAGAATGGCAAATGCCACTGCAGAGGATCCACACTATGTATGAAAATATTATTCTTTCTTTCCGTATAAGAGGCCATATTTTTCGCTTGAAATAAGATCCTATACTTTATGCGTTGAAAATTCTATACCTTAATGTCTCGTTTTTATTAAGAGAAGATATGTTGACAGCTATACTGCATTCAGGTATATTTTTAGTTCGTAAATATGTTCAGTTTAAAAATATGCGGAAGTGAAGGAAATTCCTCAAGAATTTCCTTTGATGTTGATTTGGCTGCAAAGAGCTTACTCCACAGATGGCTAAGCAACTGTGATCTCCTTTCCATGATATTCCCTTCTCTAATAGTTTGTAATAAGTATTCTATTACAAACTATAATATAGATTCCCCTCTCAAAGAATTAGAACCAGCGTTGCATGAAAGACATCACATTTCTAAAGCTTTGTAGAAAAATCTTTCAGGATGCCACCTCAGAAGTTAACCACTTGTGATCCAGTTGGGTTGCCCCTTTTGTTAAATTTTCATTATGACAACTGAAGTTTAGCTGCTTATTTTCTGTTCCTTATAGTATGTGGCCATAGATTTTTGTGTTAAATGTGCGGAGTTGTGTCACAAATCCTTCCTATGAGAAAAAAACTTTAAAATCTCAAACACAAGCTTTTAAAACTTTTAACCTAATTTATAATACCTTTATCCATGTTTCTTGATTTTACAATTCACTATATTTGTCAGGTTTTCCCATTAATGTTGTATATATTTTTACAAGACATGTTTTATTTAGGTTTTCATTTCTATCTCAGCTTCTAGATTTGCAAGGAGCGTTTGAAATCATTTCACTGAATGGAACATTTTCAGCTGATGGAAGGTGTCATTTACATGTCTCATTATCAAACGAAACAGGCAAAATGCATGGGGGCCATCTGATTGAATTGATAGTGCGTACAACTGCAGAGGTAATAATTGGAGAATGCTCAGCTATGGTATTCGAAAGAGAGCATGACCCCAGAACTGGATTTCCTGAATTAGTTATTAAAGACCGATAGAGTTTACATCCAAAGCACCCCTTATTGTCATATCTGTCCAATCTGAATTTGTTTTCAAATGTAATTTTGCTATCATGGGTTGAAAAGTGCAAGAAATACATGAACATCTCTGTTTTTAGCTGAGTAACAGAAGATAATATTTTGATGTTTGAATTTGTTAGTTTATCTTAAAATCTCTATAGAAAGATTTTATTCTTTGTAATATCACTATAGTTTTTTTGTTAAACATAAAATATATTTAAATTGTCTAGCCTGGCTTCTTTATAGTACCTAATGATTTTAATTGCTTTAGAAAGCTTTATTCCAACTCTCTTATCCTTTCACGAGCTTGGTTACCAGCAATTTGAAGCAAAGAAAAATCTAGAATGAGGGACCTTAGGCTGTCACAGGCAAATTTTTTCTCCTTAAAGAAGATAGCCAGCCTGCATCCATCACAGATAGTCATAGTGCCCCTCCCCATATAACTGCTATATTGAAACCAGGTTTAGATAGAAATGTATTTTTGGAATCAACTGTAAATTTTGGATTGCTGTAGCATTGTAGAAGAATGCACCTTATACCAGGGTTTGATGCTCATTATCTTCTGAATTTGATCTTGTTAATCCTTACACCATTAAATATATATTCATCCATGTCAGGAAAAAGAATAACCAAACTGTCATTTGTGACTGTCATTGGGAAAAGAATAGCTCATTTGTATTTATAAGAAAACACTATTTAAATGTTTTCAATACTTCAGTTATTTAATGCATTGTCATATTTTCATGTGTGCTTGTATTTGTTATGGCATTGTGTTTTAAAAATTCAATAATGAACTTCTTTAAAATTAGATGTCATATATTCTTTTGTTTCCACTTCAAATTAGATTTATTTTTTATGTTTATTCCACTGCAGTTTATTTTTTTATGACAAATTAACTGAATGAAATGGCAAAAAGTATAGAAAGCCCTTTCCTTCGTAAATATGCCTCACTCCATCGAAAAAGCAGCCCCACAAAGCCGTAAAATTTTTAAAAGAAAACTATATTTTCAAAGCAAGGGCTTTTCTCTGGGTAGATATGTTACAGGTAACCCCTTGCCCAAGTAGAAGCATCTATAGAGCTCAGCAGTGGCGTACCCAGGGTTGCAGAAGTGGGGGGATGGGTCTGGGGCACAGCCCCCAGAATTTTTTGGACCACGCCCTTCAAACACTCGCAAATACGGGGAAACGCCCTTTTTGCAAGATTTCCCCCCATTATTTGATTCATGTTAGCTATGGTAAATAGCAAAGCATTTTACAATTGTTATTGACACAAGCATACAGTATACTACCCACCCCTCCCCCCCAATGAGTTTAACATCGTTTTTGGACAAATCTCGAGGACCATGTTTTAAAAGAGTGGAGGGGTCCGGACCCCCCCCTCCTCCATTCCCCACTAGGGTACGCCACTGAAGCTCAGCAGTTTTTCTATAGTATTTTGCTACAAACTTAAGTATGTCGAATTTGCCAGTCGAATTCAGCTATAACGAATGACATTCAGGTTTCTTATCCAATTATATACCTAATTATTTTTGCTAGCCAACTTGTCAATCCAATATCTTTTTTTATATCATCAAATATTACACAACCAATTGCTTTCTTTCACTGCCGTGTTAAAGAGGTAATCTTTTTAAGCGCCCCTCCCTCTACGCTTCCGCCGGCCCTGAACCCTGCATACACACTTTTTTATAGGAATGAAATTTTAGGACAATACTTTGGCTCGTAGTTGGTGAATTTTATTAACTAGTCAAGAATAATAGCCAGGTTTTAATTCTGACGACAATTTGACTTTCTATCTCTATGAAAAGCACGACTTTCGCGGGAAAAGTTTAAGGAACGCTCATCAAGGTTGTATTGTGCTAGTGTGTTTCATTTCCTACAATATTTAGTGAAGAAGAAAGTCAGAAGTAAAGATTTGAACTTTCATCCAAAAACGGTTAAGAATTTTTTTATGCTCTGTTTCACATTTTTTTAAAGAAATTGTGGCTCAGCAAAAGTTAAGATTTTCTTATAAAAAGTGTATATTTTATGTGGCTTTGTACCTTTGGTCGCCATGTAATATCAAATTTCTACTTTACAACGAAAATTTGCGCTGGAATTTCACAGAAAACATCCAGGATGTTACAGAATAACAATAATTTGTCATCTATCTATGTTAAGTTATACTCTAGATACTCATTTAATCCATGATTGGATTGATACTGATATACTGGCATAACTAAAACTTGAATTTTAAAGTTATAGATATTTGTGATTTTCGTGGAGTTGATTGCAGGGTGCTGCGGAGGAGGCTCGTGAGGGTAGAGCTCCCTTGTTAAATTTCAGAGAGATTTTTGGGGTTTTTTCAGAGACTGAGCCCAGTCTCCGTAACAATGCGCACTTTTGTTGGAAAAATCCTACAAGTTATTTTGAGTCGGTGAAAAGATTGAATGAATTCATAAACAGACAAGAGGATCTTCAATACAAGTAGAATAATATTTAGTGTGGTCATGGGTGTGGCAAATAGAGAATGGCTACAGCACAGCACTCTACTGACTTTTTAGGGAGGCACCCCCGATAAGGTTGCTTAAGTTTAAAGCGTACCGAAAAATTAGTGCTCCTTTGAAAACTGTATAATAAAAGCGAGACTTTAAAAACACGTACCTTCACATCTGCTGTAAATTTTAAATTAAATGCTTCGATACTCGACTGTAATTTCAAATCCAACCAAAAAATGTCAGATTCGAGATAGGAAATCGATGCAAAAACGTAATTCCTTGGAAAAACAAAATCAAAAAAATCTATATAGATTGCATTGAATTATTAATTCCAAAAGGAATATTACTTCCATAGGCGTAGGAGGCATAGGGTCTGGGGGCTGCAGCTCCCCACTCAGACAAAATATATATCGAGCTTCAGGCCCATTCGGGTAATTTTATCTCAAAGAGGCAACATTATTGGTGAGAGACCCATACAAAGCCCACCCGGCTAAATGTTTAGCCTCTGCTACTATGCCTATGATTACACCGGCTCTTGGGTAATGGAGCTAATTCTAGCCATTGGGATAATTGGTGTAGGGAGTTGGTCTATTGATATCAACACATATCCGGTTAGGAAACTTATCAAGGCGATGCTTTGATTACGACCAAGAACGTACGGGGTAAACTGCAGCTCACTGTTACCTGTTTGGTAGGTCAGTTAGACAATAACTACCTTATTTTCAATTTAACATGGCCGAGAGAAATTAATACTTTCATCACACCTGAATAAATTAGGTTTTGAATTGATATTTGCTTTCAATTGCTTTCTAATGCACAACTCAACGGAGAGGTGCTTTGGAAAATGCAAATGCTTCCAAATTTTACATTGAAAAATCCTTAAAATCACAATATTTGCCTAAACCATATACACTTTTTGCAAAATTAATTTTTTTTCAAAACCATATAATTTCAGATTACAATTTATTCAGCTCGTCCTTCACTGCACCCATCTCCTCCTTTCCATGAAGATCCCCTTCTGATACGGTCGCTTTCTGTTCTTCTGCAGCTACCGATTCCATAGGTTTCTTAAACTTCTCTTGATACTCGATTTCTCCCTCAGCGATTAATTTCTTCAGATCGTCCTGTTTGAAAAACGATTCAACTATAATTGTTCTAATTTTACACTGTCATATAAAGTGCAATTTTATATTTTTACATAAACATTACACAAAAAATAAAGCGAGAAAGAACTGTACGAGTTCACGAAGGAATCTGACAATTTGATTATTCTTACAAACTCTAATAAGAAGACATTTCATACAAAATTAACGAACCAATTTTGATAGGGTGTTATAAACATGGTTATCATAACGTGCAAAGCTATCGACACCATAAAATTGTTACAAAAGTGCTTGTTTTTGAAATTCACGTTGTTAACCGATAGTGAATCACAAAGCGTTTTATAAAGGAGATTTTTCTTAAAAACCCAAGTTAAACAAGCTCAATTCTAAGATATCCTCGTTACTTTTCAGTTCAACTGACAATAAAGAAAATTTACCAACCTTCCACCCGAGGAGATCTGCAAGCTCCATACATCCATCATCACACGTGCTCAAATGAGCAACGTCTCTGCACAAAAAGGATACAACTATCTGAATACCATCAAAATCTCCTTCAAGTCTGTATATATAGATTCAAGCGTTGCTTTGAAAAATTATCATTATAAGATGCCAAATGCATCAGAAGGAACATATTGGCATAGCAAGGTATGAATGAAGTTACACAATTACAGAGTTCACCATACGACTTAGACTCTCAATGTCGCGTATTTGAGCATGGGTGGTTGGATGTGAGCAGTCTGTTAATGATTCAACAGAATCTTTGTAGGCTTTTCAGTTAAAGAAATATTTTCAATCTAAAACACTTCAAGATTACCGTAAACTGAACCACTGCTCGAATCAAGATAACCGTAATCTGAAACACTGCTCACTCAAGATTACCGTAATCTGAAACACTGGTCGCTTCAAGATTAACGTAATCTGAAACACTGGTTGCTTCAATATTAACGTAATCTGAAACATGTAATCAATCGAGATTAACGAGATGAATGTAAGCATTAACTGCAACTTTTTGGCTGCCAAAACTAAATTCTGCCAAAGAAGTAAAAACAAGACAACATTACCTATATACGGATTGACTATCGAAGTCAAACCCACCAAACATGCCTCCCTGTCAACAAAGATAAATGTTATTGATTCTACAAAGCAGATCTATTCTGTAATTTAGTTTTATACAAGCTGATTGACTTCCTAAATAGTCTGAAAGCAAAAATTTAGCTAACAAGAATTAGCACTTCAACTATATTGAAGGTAGTAAACATTCTTTTCGGATATCACGATATTTTATCTTGTAGCCATTCGTCACTTACGTGTGGGCAAATTTCATGTACTATATACTTGGGCAAAAATGATCTATGTAATCTTGAGTTTCATATCCAAGTTTTTTAAGGCAGTCTCGCTTACACAATGAAAAAAAGATATTGAAATTCTTTGGAAAGGAGGTTAGAAATGGAAACAATCAAATTGCAAGCCACAAAATTTCATACCATTCCGCATTTCTCTTTATTGATCAAAAGGCGTGGAGTTTCCTTTGGTACCCTTCAAAAAAAGCCAAGATACAGATATTTGCATCACATAAGGTCTTAAAACGAAACATATCAAATATACTAATTCATTTTGTGGTAATACCTATAGGTTTATTTCAGCCATAAGTTACAGACAGAGTTACAATGGTTTCGAGAAATTCTGCTATTATCAAATCTTAAAAGACGTTTTTTAAAATTCCTAAAATCCAGCAATTTAAAAAACACAATGAACATATTGGAAGCTCAGCTTTTAACCACTGGTGGCATGATTGTTGAAGGGTACATTAAAAATCTCCTATGGCTACGGCTTGAACTTTTAAGACAAACAGGGGGACTAAAACAATGATAGTTAAACATGTGAAATGTAACACTCAAAATTAAAATTCGTTTTACATTTGGTATTGGTCAGTCAGTGAACTGAGCATGTTAAACGTGTCATTCAAAGAAAAAGATATTGATGTATCTATCTATGTACCTGTCAATCAATGAAGCAAATGGTTGTACAACAAGTGACGTCCCCATAACAATCAGCAAGTCACAAGTAGGAAAATCCTATATAAAATCACTCAAAGATCAGAGTCGTCAGAAATAAACCATGAGAAAGAAGGAAACTATATGAAGCCGGAAGAAATAAGGAAAAGAAAAAAATTGTTAGCATTGAAAGTTTAACCAATTATCGCGTTGAAAAAATTAAATCCAGAGAACGGGAAACACGACGGTCATACAGTCATGTACCGCGAGGAAAGTATATAAAAAATGGATTGAAGCACCATTCCTATTTTCATTGTTTTCTGAAGAAGGGTTCCAAAGGTTGTCCGGAGGGAGAATAAACAGGCCCGAATTGTTCAGAAAAAAGGATGAAACACTTCTCAGTTTTGAGTAAGATTCTAGATTCTACACAATCGTTGCCACACAATTTGTGAAAAACTTACCGAACTCATGTGAGAGAAAAATTTGCTCGGAAGAGACTCGCCAAAAAATACAATATCTTGAAAAAGATAAAAAGAAAGAAATTACAAACGATGGCCTTTCTATACCATTATAAATTGAGATAAAAATGAAAAAATGTTAGCACTGAAATGTCGAAGAAAATCAAACAACTATTGATGATACAAAGAACAAAGAAACAACTAGGAAAAAGGACTGTATTTTTTATTACACTGTATATATTAATAAATATCAGGTTTAGACAAAAAGTCTACAAAAAAATTGGAAAATGACTGGAGCCAAAACACAGAACTTGCTCAAAACAGCGATAACTCACCTGGCTTCACAACACCATCACAATCTTCACACTTTGGGATTCCTCCTTTAAAAATTTGTTCTAGAAGATAAAACTTATATCTGAAATAACTGGCGGTCTCTGGTATATGGGGGGAACAGGATATGTATAAAGAAAAAGTTATCATCAAACATCCAAATAAACATTGTCTTATAAAATAGAAATCAAAATTACATAAACGATTTCGCAAGGAGTCAGGAAATGCATAAAAAACCCTGCATCCTGAGATATCGCCACATGAGGACAGGCTCTTTTTCACTGTAATTTGGTCTAGGTTTATAAAATTCATAAGCAAAGCCAAAATGACAGTTATCCGTTAGCAAATTTAAGATAAACTTTCACTTAAAAATCCCTTAAAATCGGAATAGATTCAACAAAATTTCCATATTTAGATGTATATCATTTAATTCTTTGATATTTTATGACGTCATCTCTTTGAACTCTTTACAAAATTACAAGAAATGGAAAAATCTGACCTTTTTCCCAATCTTGAGAGTACTCTCGGTGGCAGGCAAGACAATGTGCAGTATGAAAGGTACCATGTGCTGCTATAACTCGGTCAGAAGACACCCCAGCAACAAGTTCTAGGCCATCAATGTTCTTGGAGAAGATTAAAATGAAGGGTTATTTCAGTTGTCAACTCCACGATATACCGTAATTACTCTAATATTCCCGCTGCGGGATTAGCGTTTCAACCTAACAAAAAAAGGCGGGATTATTCGAGAGGCGGGTATATTGGAGAGGCGGGATTATATTTTCAATGCCTTGAAGTCTAGTTTGAGGATACCGTTTCAGCAAAAAGTCTCTTAAACATGATTGTGGCAAATCAGAGAAAAAATATGCAATTTAAACATACAGTTGACTCTCGTTATTACGGACACCATCAGGACCAAAATGTTGCGTCCGCAATAACGAGAGTCCGTAATAGCGGGATGAGAAAAAAATCACTAATTAATTGGTTGAAAAATTATTAAGTTTTTTTAATCAATAGCAATCGTGTAATTTTGTTAACAGAGATTTGTAGTGCTGGAGTTTATAAATTTTGTATCATTTTGTAGTTTGTAGTTTTATTGTTGTAAAAAGTACTCTTCAAGTGTCGTCTGGTGTGATTGCTTTTTCAGTGCATGTGCTGCAACTTTACTACTGAGGCATGCAAATTTACTTGCTATCGTCGCAAGACCACGCTGGATGAGAAAAACTTCTTTGTCTCTCACCGACCTTGCAACATCGCGATAGCTCTTCAAGCTGGTGGTCGGAGTGACTTCATGTATATCATTATCATCATTATCATCGTCATCATCATCATCATCATCATCATCATTATCATCTGATATAACCACTTCCACTTGCCCATTTATCACTAAAGAATCTAGCAGTTCCTTTTCATTATCAATGCAGTAGCATATAGGCAGCTCGGTATCTGATAGCAGGTATGTATATGGAGTGATGGTGGTTTCGGGTGAAACTTCTTTAATTAGATTTTCGAGATCTTCATCGATGTCATCGAGGTCACTGAAGGGATCTGCCTCCTCGTCTTCTATCAGTGTATTGCTGGAAATTCCCCCAGAATTGAAACACTTACTGATGGTTGTCACCTTAACATTATGCCATGCTTCCCCCACCCAATTCATTGCCTGTAATACGTTGAGTGATTTGCTGATCTCTGAGGCGTTCCTTTCACTTGAGGTCATTGCGATGATGAAGCGTAGCAAAAGCTTTCTATAATGAACTTGAAGTTTTGAATAATGCCGAGATCAAGAGGTTGCAACTCAGATGTGCAATTTACAGGAAAAAACACGAGCTTGATGTTCGATTAGCGTCCCTTCAAATCATACGGATGGCAACCAGCTGAGTCGAGAAACAACAAAATTGATCTTTTTTTCGCTTTACATTCCCTGTTAAATTGACTCAAGATCTTATGCAGAATGTCGGAGGTCATCCATGCATTTTTTTGGCTGTAATATTGACAAGGAAGGTCCTCTCTGTGGACATTTTTCAAGCACCTTGGATTGGCATACTTTCCGATAACTATTGGTTTCTTCTTTTCTCCAGTTGCAGAGGTCATCAGGGCAACAGTCAGACGTTCTTTGGATTTCTTACAACCTTTACATTTCTTTGATTTGGCAAAAAGGCATTTGTCTGAAAGAGCACGATAGATGAGGCCAGTCTCAACTAAGTTCCAAATGTCTTGCATTTCATAACCAGAAATGATTGAGCCAAGCCGCTCTTTCCAAGACTTCATTGTATCCACTGCAACATCAGCAGATTCTCCGCAAACTTTGTGTTGTGAAAGGTTGTGTCGTTCTTTGAATCTTGTCAACCAACCACTTGAGGCTTTGAAATCAATGTAACCTAGCTTTTCGGCAACTTGAGATGCAAATTCCTGGATCATTGGACCATCAACTGGAATTAGTTGATCATTCTTGTTTTTATACCACTCCCAGACAGCATCGTTTAAATCTGAAAACTGAGAAGTACGGTTTCGTTTCTTTCCTTGAGGAAGTCCTTTTTCATATTGTTCTCTTACTGATACCTTGTTTTTGATGATTTTGCTTAATTGCGTCTTTCCACACATGTATTTCTCGGCTAATTTTCTTATTCCTAAAGAACCATTAGTACTTCAACGAGAACCAGAAAATGGTAGAGACAGAAATGCTGTGGCAATTATTGAAGAAAAAGGGCGAATTGTTGGGCACATCCCCTTTGGATTATCTCAAATTGTTTCTTCTTTTTTGAAACGAGAATACAACAGTGGGGTTGCAGTTATTTGTGGCAAGCGAGTAAACAGAGGGGCTGGATTGGGACTCGAGATTCCAGTTATGTTTAAATTTTATGGAAAAGCAGATTTCTTAGAGAGACTCGATATCCTGATCAAGAGCAGTGAGACTGCAAAAAAGGCGTTGCGTTTAGAATCAGAAGGGATATCAAGCGAGGAGTCATTGAAACGACCACCTGGAAAACGCAAATCTGTTGCTAAAAATCAACACAAGGCTAAAATTCCGCGGAAATAGATTGTACAATGGATGCTTAAGATCGACAATTAATTAACAGTATTCTTAATTAACACTTAATCTGATAGTTATATTCAGCATGTGTCCGTTCTATCGAGAGTTAAATATTTTAAATGTTCAAATGGGACCACACGTAGTGTCCGCATTTCCGTAATAGCGAGAGTCCGTTATAGCGAGAATTACGTTCAGTCATTTCTTTGTATTTCAGTCGGGGATTTTTTTTGTGTCCGTAATAGGGGGGTGTCCGTTATATCGGGGTGTCCGTAAGGTGAGAGTTGACTGTATATGGGGGGTGGGATATTTATTTTCACAGAGCAGATATTGTACTTTATAGACAGTAGTACGAAGTCAAAGAATCAAATGTATTTTTATGCAGCGAGACTTGGATGTTTGCTAAACTTGCAAAATAAGACAGCTCTCTGCCCTCTCCCGTCTAAGATATTATCATGTGATTAAACCCATTCACTCCAAGCATAAGTTTCAATCCTTGATTTTCAACCCATATAAAGTGTGTAAAGAATAGCAAATGCCAATTAAAAGTTTCAATCCCGCATGCAGGATTACTGGGGAGGCGGGATTATTCTTACAATCTATGAAATACAAGCGGGATTACTAGAGAGGCGGGAATAAAAGAGAAGCGGGAATATTAGAGTAAATACAGTATGAGCAATAAATAAAAATATATAACAATTTTGAATCATACAGGCTATTTGTCATATAAATTGAAGGCATTGTACACAATGAGTGCGCTGATTACCCTTGTCACCTTGGAAGAGTGAATGCAACAATAAAACCAACATCTCCATCACTTAGCCTGACACATTCTTGAATTGATTAATAAAATCTGACAGTTTCAAGAAATCAAAAAAGAAATTTCCATATTATGTAGATTTTTATCGTGCAGCTTGTGAAAGCGGCAAATCTTGTAAAAAATCGTCATTCACCCAGCAAACATGATTTGTTGGGTGGTGAGCAAATGGTAACTTAGTTTCATACCCGGAAGTTAATCAAGAAATGGATAAAATGACAAGAAATACTACTCGAATGATCAAGACTGAAGATTCCTAATATGAGCAAAAACACTTCCTGTCTAAAAAAGCTATTTTATCATAAAAACCTACCTGCGTGAAATTTCGCAAAAGCAATTTCTTTTCTTCAAGCAGCTTGATGAAATAATGACCTGGTGTTGGCTACAAAACGGAATAATTGCCTTAAAAGTGAATGTGTAAGAATATTTAATAAATTGAAAATGTACTTCTATAAAGCAACTTTGAAAATACGTCTGCAAATATTAACATAGCACCGTTAAATTATATTTATATATATTTCTTTGAAATACAGGCTGAAGAATCCTCCTCACCATGTGAGGAAAGCTGTCAGTTCGAAGCAAATATTTTTTTTATCTTTCGTGCATTTTAGAATTTTGTTGCGTCTTTTTGTCAAAATTCAAATCATAGGCTGGCTTTTGGTGCTAAAATGCGTAATGGCTAGTACGAGCGATTGGAAGGCTCTTACTTGACAAAAATGCTTCCAAACAGAATAATGTAGGGTGTAAGAGTATGAATGCAAAAGGGGTTCAGCACATCTTGAGATCTGCATTATAACATATTAATGTTTCTTGCTTCAGGTAACCTAATAACATAATAATAAATAAAGGAAAGAATTCAATAAAAAAATTAGAACAGATGTTCGCGAGTTAAAGAAAAAACAAAAACCTTGTAATTCCCAGGAAAAAGCTCCCTTGCAAGCATAAAGAAAGGCTCCGGTTTCTCCTAAAACGAAACAGTAAATGGTCAGTATAAGAAAGGGGTTTCAATACAATTGCCTGTAGATTTAGCAAACAATTGCGCGAAAGACCGCATATAGATAATCCAAAACATTCTTCGCAAGAAAACATTGCCTAAATTTGAACAAGTAGAATAAAAGCAAAATGTATTTGACTAACTTCATAACTTTATCGAGTTAAAATAAGCATAATTAAAAACACACTAACATTTCAAGATACAAAAGAAATTAAAACATATAATATCTATTTTTAAGAATATATTATGAACGTTTGAGTATGATTTAATGATGGTTACTTAAACTCGATAAAGGTATGAAGCCTAAATACAATTTGTCGTGTAACGCAGGGGATCTCATCAAATCTTTGGCTGAAAACATAAATGACCGAAAACATGAATAAAAAGCAGTTTCCTTAAAAAGGTTTACCTACAACTTTGTGAATACTCTAAAAAAATGTTTACCTTAAAGTAGTGAATATCAAAAATACTTTCAGGTCTTGGTAACTCGTATTTTGCGAGGTTATCGTAGAGACCTGTACCAGGTGAGCGAAAATCAGGAATGCCGGCGGACGTTGAAATTCCAGCACCCGTCATGACAATTATATTTTTACCTACAAACAAATTAATTATGAAAATAACAACGAAGTTCTCATGCAAATTTCAACATTAATAGTTATACTGTCCAAAACAGGCATTGGAAAGAACGATATGATATCAACTAAATCTTGCACACTAGCATTGTTGAGAAAGGCATCAATGAAAGGCATCATGAACAATGAAAATCATATTTTTCAGAACTGGAAATGCAAAGAATCGAAGGACAAATGACTTGATGAAAATCTCGTACACCTTTGGTCAAAATGGCATTATTTTTTATGAAATTCCTTGAAAATCCTTTCTTTGTGGAAATCGATCTCTTGCTTTTGTTTTTGTTATCCGACGGTAGTTTTGAGGACACTGAGGAGCTATTGTTATCGAGCAGTGTCTTGGTCCTTTCTCTAAATGTGACCATGCCTCGTGATTCCTACATATGGAATAGCAGAGAGCTAGCGACTCTGTTCACTCTGGGTGGAAATTGAGGCTATCTGCGAGAGTTTGTTGCCCCTCTCAAAGAAAAGATAATCAAGACCAAAACATATATATTATCATTGCCAAAAAAGGTAAAGAATCACAAATTTTGAAGATGATAGGCTTTGATATTAAGTGGAATTGAATGCATCCTAAGATACGCAAACCAATATTAAGAAATGAACTGGACCTGACTTGGTCCCTAATAAAGCTCCAACACTCTCCAATGTCAATTACATCTTTCTGGCACCAAACAGCGTCCAAGCTCTGCTCTGTTCAAGGATTTGAGACCGGAACAAGATTATTGTTTCTTCCTTATAAACAGACCCATTCCAAGTAAAATCCCTATAAAAACTTATAATGTAAGAAAACTAAAAAATTTTTAACTTACACTTTCCCTCCTTGATGTATTTAGCGATACCATTGAGTGTGAATTCTTCAATTACAGGTTCCCGTTTTGGTTCATCGTCTGCACTAATTCCAAATCTCGTTTGAAGAAAATGTGTTAGTAGGTCTAGCACTGCAAATAGAGAATTGATATAAAAACTGTTCATGATCCTCAAGGGTGGTTGGCCAAAATGAAAATTTACTTTTTTTAAATAAGACATCTTGTTCAATGCTGTGTTCCGTATGTGACTGACCTGGTACTGGTAAAAAGCAACAAATACTTGCTACGCCAAAGACAAGCCCTATAATCTTTGGTACAGTACATTTACAGACTTGTCAATTTTGAAAATCTATCGCAGGAGACCTTTACTTAAAAATACTATGGCAAAATCTAAAGATTTAGAAATTGTTATTGGCATTGGCAAAAAAACTATGGCAAAATCTTTATAAAATGTTATTGGCAAAACAATAGAAGTAATTGATTTGACAATAATGTTTCTGTAAACATCACTGAATACCAAGACGACACTATCAAACTATGCAATGACTAATTTACAACAGCCATTCTTGTTTTAATGTATGGACTGTTCTGACGAGAAAGGTTTAAGAAAGGTACAGGTAGCAATGCTAAACATTTTAAAAGATTAAAATACATAGAATAAAGCAGAAAAGTGAGGGTGTTGAATGTAGGAAAAACAGTGACTAAAAGTCCTTGTTAATGACAAAAAGTAACCTTTTCTACGTCTCGGAAAAAAATTGTTAGTCAGAGGCTATGCTTGTACTTATCATAGCACTACATTCCTGGGAAAAAGAATAATCCACATGCGATTAGAACATAATTCTGAGAACCCAACAGCAAAAGCATAAACAAGGAAATAAATAGCCAAACTAAACATAATTGAAATGATCTTGATTGTGAAAAAATCAATTTTGATTGTGCTTCATTGTATTACAGGGTGAACAAAGAAAATGTAAATCTTTCTCTGTGACTCTTAGTACTAGCATGCTAGAAATGTACATGGTAGTAACATTTCTCATTTTAAAAATCTATTGAATCAGAAATAATAGATTTAACATACTTCCTGATTCCCTTTCATCATTGCTAGCAGAACCCTCTTCATTTTGATCTTTTGCAGCAGGTTCTTGGCTAGCATCGGAATCCTTGGTCTTCTCCTCTGCAAATAATGCAAGAATATGATTATTGTGCCAAATAGGTATGTAATTTTAACAGTATTAATCAAGTATCTATCAAATAGCAAATATGAGAGTAACACATTAACTCTTTGGAAAAAAGAAAATAACCAGCATAGTAGAGAGCCAAACAACTAATACAAATAAAAGAATCTGGTTTACCAGGCAAACTGCCGAGCTGGTCGGAAGGCTCATCAGCTGGAAATGTTCTGCTATCTTCCTCCTTTTTAGAAGCTTCCATTCCGGATGATCCTCTGGTACTAAATAACCAAAAGGAAGCACAAAATAATTAAAACTTCAAAATCTAGATTAAACTACAAAATGCATTTACAATATCTAACTATACACACTCGTGAAAGATCTAATGAGCTCACATTATTGAAGTTTACCTGCTTGGGCCTATACCTAAATATTGCAAATAGATTTGTCACTGTGCGGCAAAATTTGGGATACAAAGCATGAAAAGATATGTTGTCACCTAGCAACAATGGGAGTGTACAAGTTAAGCTGGATAGCTTAGCAGAAATCTTTGAGAAACGAGATTTTGCCAAAAAATACCAAATGACCAAAATAAAGATGATTATGTTCTGTAGAAAATATATTGCAAAATTGGCTGGGACAAATTCTGAGTAAACCAGGATTAAGAAATTTTGTTGGCATAACACATAACTGTTAATATACATTTATCGATAATATACATTTAACAGTGTGTTATAATTATTTTTTCAAGTAATCATGATTTTTACTTTCTGTTTTGTTTGTTTGCTTTTATCATGCATAAATATGTATAGAGGAATATTTGAAATAATCTGGGTAACAAAAGAGATGGATACCTTCAAAAAATTTTTTGGCTCTAATCTTAATAATTCTTTAGAAATCAATTGCAATGTCTCTGCTGATGGAAAATATTTTAACCAAATTGTTTCCTAATGCCAGGGCCTAAAGAGTTACCCATTGCAACACCATCTAGTTTTTGGCACTTTCCTCTCTTTCATATAACTTTTGATCTGCATCTTGAAATATATTTTCCACCTACCTTTGGACATAATCTGCTACTTATACTCTGAGGAGTGTTGGACAAAATGTAATTTATTATGATAATGATTCTGCCCTTCTTTGCTTTTTTAATATTCAAAAATTATTGAACAATACTGAACTAAACAAGCCAATTAGATATAAAACAATGAAAATGTGTGATATGTTTTCTTTGACTGACATGCACTAATTCTAAACCTGATTTTTATCCATTTTATCACTTTAACACATTTTTTAAAGTCGCAAATCTCAAGCCTGCAGTGTCAAAATGAATGATGAAAACCTTTTGGAAATTGGTTTGGGATAAATAATGTTAAAATAATTTGTCAAAGAAGACAGAAAATCTGAAGTTAAAAGGTTTTGGCTGTGAAATTTTTTAGGGATAGAAAGAAAAAGTAGAGCGAAAATGTAAAAACTTGCACAGCCCTTGATGTTTTGAGATTACGAATTGCATTTCCCACAAATTTTATCTGTTGTAATTATATACACAGGAATTTCTCAATGGCCAGTGCTTCATCATCAAGACTGAAAAGTAGTCATAATTGTCAGGACAGGCGTCATATCTTCACCAACATTATGAATATAAATGTAGCAAATATGAAACACAAGGCTAATATTTCGCCCCGGCATAGGGGGCTTCATCAGAGCAAAAAAAATTATCTTATGCTTTAGCTAGGTCACATAAAAGCACCAAACCATAACAAGATAAGCCTAAATTTTTCTGTGTTTAAATTATTACATAAAAAGCAACCTATATTGATGTTTCGTGCCACAATGTAAAACCTCATACTCCGAGCACTTACCTAAAAAGCACGAACTTCTTAGTAACTGGAATCCATTCTTGCTTTGGCTTGCCAGCCCATGGTATTTCCTCTTTCACAAATGTTTTCAGTTGCAAAACGAGGCCAGGTCGAACAAATTTTTCGCTACACAGATATGGCGGGAAAGTGATTCTTGAGAATGGTGGCACAATGATGAGTTAATGATGGGTCATCCTGTCTATATTAATGGAGTTCACATTGATTTTCCGTATGAACCATATGGATGCCAAATTCAATATATGAGAAAGGTCATTGCCTGTCTTAAAGAAGGAAAAAATGGTCTGCTCGAAAGTCCCACAGGTTAGAACCAATCTGCTAGTCTCATTTAGGCCACGGCCACATTTTCTCAACACTTTTTTAAAGAATCATTAAGCTGATTTTCTGGCTGGCTATTCTTAATTTTTCCGAAACTCTAAGGCTGGGCTGTTCGTAATTTGTTTATAAATTAGTTCTCATGGGGACTACCCAGGCCCTGTTCTATTCTGAACTTGTTCTTAACTTTTGACTTCTTTTGAGGCTCCTGTTCTTCTCATAAAATTGTTCTCATAAGAAATGAGTGCGTATACAATGCTTGGTTTTGAGTTAGTATTTTGTTAGTCTTCATAATCTTCATATAAGAATTTTTATGTTTTTTGAATAGTCAGGCAGCAAATTGCAAAAAATTTTATAAGGAACTGCTTCATAGGAAACTTACATGAAGAAGGCCAGAATAATTAGATAGCTTATACTACTAAAGACGAAATATCTAAAGAACTTGAATATTTTAATCACTGCGAAAAATCAAGAATTAGGATGCTGGTCCCATTTATTTGCAGTAAAAACTCGTACATTGAGAATCAACTTTGTTAAAGAATTGAATTAAAATTGCTGTTAAACATACTGGTTGATGTGTTACAAACAGTGACATATTGCAAGCTAAAACTTTAGGCTTACTGTTGTTTTAAAAGGAGTGAATAAATAAAAGAACTGATTCTATATATCATATAAATATATTCCTTCACATATATACTTTATGTTGTTCATCCTGCTTAATTGTTCATAATTTTTGAAAAATCCTTGAGCTGAAGATTTGTAATCAAATTGGTGCATCAGAGAAGATGAGGCCAGGTGCTCCCTCCCCCCGCCTTTTTCAAAAACTTTTTATATCTATTTTAAAAGATATTTTAAATAAACTCTAATTGGGCACACCAGCCCCCCTATCCCATTTCAGAATAAGTTCATCCAATGAGTAGAAAAATGCACTTGAGGATTCCCACAACCAGGAACTTGCCACATTGGCAAAGCTATGGCCTTTGGCTTGTAGGATAATAAACCATTTTAACAAACCAAGTTAAATTTTTGCGAAGATTTATCAGCATAATTCATAAAGAGTAGAATACATAACTTTGAGAGATGCTAGGAAATTAATGTAATTTAATTTGTCAAAGTTTTGAGGATTTGAATATAACAATTATTAAATATTTATCGTTGAAAAGTCAGTAGTCTTGCGGGCTTGCAGGAGTGAAAGCATGCATGCTCTGGACTTTGAGATGAAAATTTGGCTTACCATAAAAGGATTACAAAAAGGGTGATAAACAATGAGATTTTTATAAAGTTATTATTTGTCATTCCATAACACTGCACAGCAAAAATTTAAATGCACTTTCATATTTGAAAGTGAAGTTTCTAGATTTTCTAACGCTTGCATCACATGTATAGCATACATAGACGCTACATTTGTTGGTTGAAAAACAAAATGTACAGTGGGGAACCTAAGCTGACTCAAATAAGCACAAAATTTGTGAACATTGTTTTGCAAGTCTTATCAGCATATTAGTTCACTAATAGCTCTATATTAAATTGAATTTATTATTAGGTTATTTCCCAGAAATGTATGGTAGAAACTCGATAGAAAGCCAAGCCATTTAAGAAGATGAAAAATTAGTGCATAGAGCATTTTTTTCAAGAAGTGAATACTTTCACACCAACAGGCTACTTTGATTTAAATAAATTAGGATTAATTTAAGAAGCACTCAAGAAAGCAGTCGGCTTTAGAAACCTGTTAATTAAACAAGAAAGGTTGATCATGTTCATCCCGGCTAAGTCTGAACCACCCTTTTGGTATGCATATTGACAGTGTTTTCTCCCATAGAGAAAACAAGAAGGCTGGTAAAAGTAGCAGTAGCTGCAACATATCCTTTAGGAGACGATATGTACATAGATACTTTAGGAGAAAGTTTTGATGAAAGGCAGGGTATCCAATATCTCTTTCGGGAACTTTTCCTCCGAAGTTGGATAAGTGAAAAATATCTTGTAAGAGTAGGGAAATACCTCTTTTTATGCATTAGTGTTTCTGAGATCCCCTGGGGATAATCACTTTATTCAGCTGGTATCCTTTAAAATCACATTGAAATATTTTTCAAAAACATGACGAACAACACAGTATGCACATGTTTATATATACGTATATTTGCAGTTTTCAAAGTATGTATACGTTAAGTATGTATACGTATATACGCTTAGTTTATTGTAAATTGCTTATAATTTTGTTAAAGAAAAGTATTTTTTTATCAGGAACTGGAAAAACCGTATCTCTACTATGTGCTGCTCTTGCCTGGCAACAGACATATATTGCAAACATGCAGTTTAAGTCGAATGCAGCAACAAGTGCCAGCTCTGAATTCCAGAAAGGTGTCAAAGAGACACTAGATATGGCTGTTGGATTTGGGGATGTGAACAGCAATCAATCTATTCCTAAGATTATTTACGCTTCTAGAACCCATACACAGCTATCACAAGTTATCAAGGAGCTGAAGCGAACATCGTACAAGCCAAGGATATGCGTTCTTGGCTCTCGCGATCAAATGTGTGTCAATGATGATGTTTTGAGATTAGAAGGAACGACATCAAAGGTTTATGCATGTAAAGCCAAAATCAGCTCAAGATCCTGTATGTTTTTTAATAATGTTGAAGGAATGAAGAATGATAAAAACTTTACCAGAGAGATTTTAGACATCGAAGATCTTGGAAAATTAGGAAAGCAACAAGGTGTCTGCCCTTATTTTATGAGCCGAGAACTCAAAACGAATGCAGACTTAATCTTAATGCCCTATAATTATGTCTTGGATTTCAAAACAAGGAAATCGCATGGTGTTGATTTGAACAATACCATTGTTTTGCTAGACGAAGCACATAACGTAGAAAAGGTTTGCGAAGATGCTTCATCCTTTGATTTGACTTCTTGTGACCTAGCAAGTGCGCAAAAAGACTGTGATGAATGCCATAAAATCCTGACAGACAGGCTGGAGTTCAGAGAAGAAGGAGAAGAGAACCAAAATGACAGCAATGTTGACTTGACCCCAGAAGATGTTGTCCAGTTAAAGGACATATTTAAAAGAATTGAGACATTAATCGATAGTGTCAAGCTAGATAATGGTAGTTTCAATGAAAGTTCTTCTTTTTTATTCAAAATGTTGAAGGATGCAAAGATCGATGCGTCTACTGCTGGACCGATTGTCAATGCTATTGATAAATGTAATATGCTTTTGCTAGGCAATACAACAAGAGGTGTCAGAGGAAAGCATTTTGCTTTGCAAAAGCTGGCAGATATATTTAAGGTACTTTTCTTTCGTACTGGAGAAGCTGCAGACCTGAATTTGGAGACTGGTCGTTACTACAAAGTAGCAATCCAAAGTGAAAAGGTCCCAGTCACAGAACAGAAGCAGCCCAAGTCATGGGAAACGAAAAATTCAGCAACAAAAAATACGTTTGGTAGAACGTTAAGTTATTGGTGTTTTCATGCCGGAATTGCAATGAAGGAGATAATGAAACAGGGAGTAAGATCATTGATACTTACAAGCGGGACTTTGTCGCCGTTAAATTCATTTGCCTATGAACTTGACATACCTTTTCAAGAGCAGCTTCAAAATCCCCACGTTATTGGTCCTGGCCAAATATGGGCTGGTATCATTGGTAAAGGGCCTGATGGAGCAGAGCTAAATTCTTCATATGACACAAGATTTAAAGAGAGGTATCTTCGAAGTATGGGAAACCTTTTAGTTCAAGTCGCCCAAACAACTCCACAAGGGCTCCTTGTTTTCTTTCCTTCGTACTATGTTATGAAGTTCACATTGAAAAATTGGGCACAGTATAGAGTCATTGATCGAATCGCAGAAAGTAAGCCAATCTTTTCTGAACCAGAGAACAAGAGAGATCTAGCCGGTCAAATGCAGGCATTCTATGCTGCTTTGAAAGATCCTGCTTATAATGGAGCTGTGTTCTTTGCAGTCTGTCGTGGCAAAGTCAGCGAGGGGCTTGATTTTGCTGATCAGAATGGCAGAGTCGTTATTATTACTGGTATACCTTACCCTCCACTGTTTGACGAAAAAATTAAACTAAAGATGGGTTTTTTGGATGAGTCCAAGGGAAATATGACGCAGTTAAAAGGTTTCGATTGGTATCGCCAACAAGCAACTAGGGCTGTCAATCAGGCAGTGGGAAGAGTTATTCGGCACAAGAATGATTATGGGGCAATTTTGTTATGTGATTATAGATTCTCTAAAAGTGATGTCATGGCTGAATTACCCACGTGGATAAGGAAACACTTAAAGCTCTATAACAATTTTGACCAAGCAAAAAATAATTTGATTAGATTTTTCAGCAATGCTGGTAACAAGGTCGGTGCAACAGATAGGCAAATTGAGCCAATTCCTGGCCCTTCAACTGCAAATGGTCCAGGTCGCAGTAGAGCTTCTGGTAGCGCTTCAGGAGCTCAATCAAGCAAGAGCTGTTATAATTCAGCGGCCGCAAACTCATTGGCTGTGCTTAAGGCAAACGAAGGGCCGTCTGAGAAGGGCAGTATATTTCAACACTTTTCGAATAATACCCGGGCCGAAGAAGCTCAAAATAGCCATCAAGGGAAAGCGTTTGCAGCCTCTATTTTTAAAGGTATTATCTCGTCTGGTCTAGAAGCCGATGTTCAACCTAAAGCAAAAAGGCTGAAGATTGTTTCTAGAAGGCCAGCTGCGGTAGAAGGCAGTGCAAAAGCTAACCCACCTCCTGCTAGGGATAAAGTGAAAGAGTACATACAGTCTGTAAAGAGCCTTTGTAATGAAGATGAATTCACAACATTTAGACTGATTTTATTTGATTACAAGGAAAATGAAGATATCCACCATTTGCTTAAAAACCTAAAGTTATTCTATGGAGAGACGAAAAAAGACCATATCCATATGATCAAACAACATGCGCTGTTGATAAGAAAGAAACATTTTGATTTGTTCAAAAAAACGTGTGAGGATCTGATTGAAAGAGTTACATCAAACGAAAGCGCATCTACAAAGCCTCAAGCAACAGCAGATTTTTTCCCGGAACTGTCAGACTCTGAGGAAAGTGACCCTGAAAAGGCTGCTGATGCTACCATCAAACCAAAGTGTATTGTATGCCTCCAAGGAGCACAAATGCCACACAAAGCTCCGTGTAAGCATATTGCCTGCTACAAATGCTGGTATAGTCACATTAAGATGTTTAAGAACTGCCCCAAATGCAAGGTACATTTACGGCGTAGACACTTGAAGAAAATACACTTTTTCTGAAATCCGAGACTGCATTGCCTAATCTGCAGGTGACAGCTCTTTTGAATTTTGATACTGAATTGCAGTTCACATTCATTGGAATTCATTGTGAAGAGAAAACTCAAGAACAACTCATGAACAACAATTTCCCCACCTTTTTTCAAATGGTTTTCATGAATATTATCAAATTTTCTACAATATAAACCGATATAAACATAGCAACTAATTTAATTCAATTTTGTTTAGAATTTGATTTGTATAACGAGTAAATAGAATATCTTTGGAAGGAACAGTTAAATTTTCTGTTTCTTTATTATTTATTTCAACTTTTTTATTCTGATTTTGTGGAGAGGAACCCTGTTGTGTTACAGAGACTACTTATCTAAAGCATTAAGGACATTACTTCACCTATACTTTTTCTTTCACCAAGTGAAAAATTGCTTATTCTCTCGTTTGTTTTTGTTTTGTGATATTTTGTCAAATATTAAGTAGTTAACTAGAAATTGTCCCACCGTTGAATTCGCCAAATTAACCTCCACAACGCTATTGGAGTGATTGTAAAATTCATGTTCCTTCAAGTTGTAACCATAACATCTTGACACATATTTCGGCAAAATGATAAAAGATAAAAAAAACTCTATGCAGTTTGGATTCTTGACCCTTTTTTTGTTCAAATCTGAAGCAAAGAGTAGGGTCGTTTATTAAGAAAAAAGGCCATAACTTTACCACTTTTTCATTTTGATTTGTGTTTTCCACATAGTTAAAATAGTATTAAGATGCACCAAATGCAAAACCTTTAAAAGTGAGATTTTATTATAAGCCTTCTAAAGTAATGTGACATTATTTTGTGCAAAGCATCGTTATTTTCTTTATTATTTCATATAATCAAGTGAATAATAATTTTTCTGTAATCTTTGAATTTTATCAAATGCAGTGCTTGTGTAAAAAGGATGTGGAAATACGAAATAATTGAGATTTTTTTGGGATGAGAATACAAATATTTAGGCCTTTTAGAGTCTTGAAATATGAAATAACTTTGGTTGCCAGTATGAAATAATAAAATAACTAAATACCTCTTTAAATGTTGTCTGAGAATTATCTATTTGATAACAGCATTGACTCAATAAGTGACTATTGTAGAGCTGTTAAGATAACATATTTCGCCGTGGTTGTTCTTTTAAATATTGCAACCTTTTTAGGGGTTTAAAAGGCTTTTCATACTTCACGTTTAGGAAAATTACCAGCATCAAATAATATCATAAAAATGTTTTTATCTACATTGCTTGTTCCACACATACATACTATGAATTCTTCCTAAGACCACTAAGCAACAGTTTTGTAAACCATTTAAGTTGCAGGATTGATTTGCTGATAATTATATTCAAAAAGATATTGTTCACTCTTCAATTTTTTTTATCTGGAACTAACTTGTCCCCGCAAAGTCTTTCTTATCTTGAAAATATTGTTTCTGACCATATCTTTGAATTCCGTATGGCGCCAATAAACAATGCTAAAAGTGATTAAAAATTACGTTATTTGACGCAAAACGAAATAAAACCCACTCCAACTGTTTTTTAAACTCAATGAAAGTTCAACTCAATGAATGTAAAGGCCACTGATCATTTTAAGCCTTAAAAAAATTCTGGTAATTGACCGCAAAGTGCCTTTCTAGAAGCATGAAAAATGCACGGTCAGCAAAATTTCTACTTTCAAATTTTTCAAATCTAATGATACCATCAGAACGAGCTTGTAACGTGAACGTGACTTCCCATTATCTGCCGGAATGTTTCCGAGGATTAAAATGATCAGTGGCCTTTACTCTTCTGATTTAAACCTTCAAAATTTCGGTTAGGCTGGTTGCTAGTGGTTATGCAAAATTCCCGGTCCTGTGTAGTATTTATTTTGATTTCTTCCTGAGAACATCGTAGGAGTTGATTTCACGTAGTTTAGCTTCGCATTAACTTTATTTTAGCATTATTTCTTGCTACTTAATGCACGTAAGATGGTCATTAGGTCATTCAGGGGCGTAACTTGGCCAATAGTTTTGGGGGGGTGAAAAGGGTTTCTGCCCTGCAAAACTGAGTGGTGCCCTGCAGACCTCGTAGCAACGGTTTGTCTATAGGTTACTAGTGAAAGCTCTACCAGTGTACACTGGTCTTTACCAAGGACAAACTTCTAAGCAAAAAAAACAAACTTGAAACTTCATTGCCTATGAAATTTCTATTTCTCTACGTGAGCGTAAATTGTTTTTTTATATTCACTTCATTTAATGTTGGTTTGCAAAATTAAGCTAATAAACAGCTAATTGGGGGGGATGGGGGGGTGGGTAACGATGTAGACAGCGGAACGAAATTTAACCCAGTGGGGCTAAGAGTCGAGTTTAGTGAGGTAGGAGGACCCACCATGGTTGGGTCCGACGTGAAGAAATTTTTTGAAATTATACCTTGTAAAAAGGGCTAAAAAGCATCTTTCAGACAAAAATTTAGCAAAATACTATTGTACTAAAAGAATTGATTGTTTATTGAAAATATTATTGTTAATTGGGAAAAAACGGGAGGGGGATGTCATGCTAAAACTCTAGTGTTAGACGTTGGGGAAGGAAAGAAACGGCAACCGTTCGTTTCAGATTGCACATAGTTGTGAATGACAGAGGAAGATGTTGTTTCGATTGGGAGAATTTTTTTCCTGAACAGAAACGTGCAGTTTCTTGTATCAAGAAGGCCATCCAAAATTAAAACATTGCAATGATACAGAAAGTGATTTACTGACTTAATGCAAATAAAAGAAAAATAATAAAAATATACGTGAAAAAGTTAGCAATTAGATGAAACAAAATCGGTATCTTAACGATTTATTATGTTTTTTATGCACTGTTAAAAGGTAATAGAAAAAATGATAAAAAATTCCTATCTTGACCAAAGTGAGGGACTTCAGCCCCTTATTCCCCCCCCCCAGTGACGCCGTGCTTGTCATGAAAATAATTTAAAACTTAAATTAATTTGCATGACTCAACCTTGCCCTCATAAACATATGCATCAATCATTGCATCCATTGGCTATGACTTTCGGTAAGAAATGCTTTCGCTTTGCAAATAACGGAGCTTTTCCTTACATACCTGTTCCGTTCTCTATAATGCAATGTCAGGAAGGGAGGTTCATAACAAATACGATATTTCCATTTCAAAATTCCTAAACGGCTCTTTACGAACTTCAGAGGTGGCATTTCTGCGTGGCAATAAAGCTCTTCTTGGCGCCCTGCGAAATCTTTGATTGCCCTGCGAAATCGACTATTTTTTGGATTGGGGGGGGTTTCACACCCCCCCACAGCCCCCCGGTAGTTTCGCCCCTGAGGTCATTAGGACTCTAGGTGGTCAGCAGAGCAAAAGAAGATGTCCCGAAATTCAAAATTCATAAATCCTTCTAGCACAGTGTGTCTTCCGGCATGTCTGTGGGCCCCTTCTGGTTGTAACGTCCACACAAGAGACTTGGACTTTTAGTTTCGGTACATATATGCATATGCTGTTTAGTTGTTTCCAAAGAATAAGTCGAACAAAGCAAAGATAAATATTTCATCCGGTGTCCCTAGATTCCTCACAAAAGTACCAAAATGATCACCACAGTTACAAAGAGAATGAATTTCCTATTTATACCCAAGTACGGGGCCCTTTGGCTTTGTTCTGAACAAATTTTTCATACATTTTCAAAGATTGGTTTTGAAGACTCGGTCAATTTTGTATGTGAGTCGGTCCAACTTTTCGTGACACCTGAAGGCAGAATAGAACATTCGACAATTTCGAAATACTTTGCTTTGGTAATTTTGAAATATGAAGTAATTGCAAGGTATCATCATGAAATATGAAATAATTTCATACCCCCTTTTTGGGCCTCAGCAGTTTTCCTTTCTCAAATTCATTTCTATGGCCTCCTTCAAATGTTCGGAAAAGAAATAAAAGCCGGCTAAGGTTCTTAAATAGTTTCTTTTGGACGAGAGTGTTCTAGATACGCCAAAAGGCAAAGTTGCTAGATTCGGTGACTTTGCAAACTTTCAAGGGAAAAGTCAAGAAGGAGCCTTTTCTGAGACCCATACTGAAAGTGAGCAGCCCCCCCCCCACCGTGCCAGCCTTGTCTCCTTTCCACGTGGTTTTTGAATCGAGACTAAAAAGGCGCGAAAGTTCTCAAGTAGTAATGTGATAGAACTCCGAACTCGTTAATCAGAGCAGATATTCGTTGTTGAAGGATTGTGAATCTTTTAATAATGGGTGTAAGTATTTTTGAGATAATCAGAATGTCGGATTTTTGTGTCAGAATTTATAACAAAAAGAGCATCCAATAACGATTGTAGAGTAACGCTATTGATCATGTGCGCCGCGTGCGGCCTAAAAAGGTTTCCTTATAAAATGGCTAGACTCAATTCAATTAAATTTAATTATAATAAATTCAAGCTTTTAATTACAGGCTACATTATTAAATATACTTATAATTGATAAAGCTTAGGGCAAATAAAAAGAACTTAGATGTGCTATCGAGTTGTTTGCCCTATTATACTGCATGCATAAAATTACTGAATGCAGAAAAAAACTTCAACATTAAGACAAAATTTTCTGGATAAAGGTTAAGTTTAACAATTACAAATCAATAAAAAGAAAACAAAGAAGAACTAAACTAAACAAAAATGCCAAAGATGCCAAAACCCATTATAAAATATAAATGCCAATAAATTGAGAGCTGACAGTTTTCTTGCTGAGTTCACTTATAAAATTAGTTTCAAGATGGCAAAATTCGTCCTGAATCCTAAATTTTTTAATAAATCCTAAACTAAAACCTGAGTCAAATATTTTGGCCTAAATTTCATGTGACTTTAATCACCAGTGTTACCAGACACATGTAATTTAGGCCAAAATATGTGAAACTGTTCAATCATATTCTGCTTGCAGTTACAGAATCACCTCATTTACAGTCACTCTCTGTTTTTAGTTGCAAGTTTGTAAGTAACCTTTGGTGAGATTATAAGCCAAATTTACTACTACTAACACAGCTTACACCCTCAACTTTACAAAAAGTTTGACAGCTTTTAGTTTACTAAGTGTATTTTGTACAAGAATTTAACCTTGATCTTAGTTATATAAAGATAAATTATTTTCTAAAAGTGTTTTTTTAAAGGTATCTTTCTGCATTCTTGTAGAGAAAGAAATCAGAGAAAGGCAAGGAAAAGAAACTCAAACACAAAGAGGTTTGGTTCTAAAAGATTTCTAGAAGGCCTAAATAGAAACTATGAGTTTGCTTCATTCATCTGGGAAAATGTTTGTGTTCACCTAGATCTTTTATATTCTGAAGTGTTCTTTTATTTCAGGAACAAAAGAAAGTTGCTGAAGGGCAAGCACTCAGTGATGCTGCAAATCAGGTAAATTGGAGGCAAAATCTTTAGGAATCGCTGTTTTATGCAATAAACAATCTGAAAATGGCATTGATTATCACATCTTTGTATCACTTCTTATCAATCCCTTTTTTCCAAAAAAGCTATACTGTAAATTCCTTGAATTAGCCCCCTGGGGGCTTATTTATTTTTGATATTTTTGGATGGGGGCTTATTTGAGGGGGGGGGCTTATACAAGGGGGGCTTATAAAATTATTGTAGACATTAAGAATACATTATTAAAAGACCTCATTTATTCTAGTAGGAATTTCTTTATGAGCATTTGATTAATTACTACCAGAAGTATGAATTTATTGTGGTAATTCAATAAAACGCCAAGGCAACCTCTGATTACAAAAATCATCAAATGGAGGGGTCCAGTTCCAGAATTTACAGTAGCAGTGGGGGCTTATTCGAGGGGGGGCTTATTGACAATTAGTAGTTCTAGGATGGGGGCTTATTTGAGGGGGGGGCTTTTTCAAGGGAGGGGGGCCAATTTGAGGAATTACGGTATCTAATCTTTATATCTCTTTTTCAATTGTAAGCAGCATCCAAATCTCCTTAGAACATCAACATTACATTACGTTACATTACATGAAGTATCTGTACGCTATTGCTCAAACCTTGATTAGAGCATTAGTAATAGTTTTGGAAAAAAATTATATGTTATAACTAAGAAGTTATTATGCTTTGTCACAGTGTTTTATATGTTTTATAGAAAGCTGATCATCTTGAAGAACTTGTCCCTGCTTTCAGGACATTCACTCGAAATGGGTAAATAGTACCATTATATATTGCTACCCAGCTTTTATGCAGGCCTTAAGAGCCACACAAATAGAAAATATTTAATTTTGAAAGGTGTTATTTGTACAAAATTTGAATTTTCTGTCATTTTTTCATGCTAAGCTCATCTGTTTATTCGTTTTTTTTTTCAAAGTTTCTAGCTTCTCCTACATTGGTTTAATTTTTGATCATTTTTACAGACTTTGCATTAAGCTGGAATGCAAGAAAGCATCAGCCTCAAGTGAAGAAGAAAAGAATGTTTGTTTTGATTTAACAAAGAGGAACATGCATGAGTTGTAAGCTTTTCAATAATGAACTAAAATTGTATGTAATTTTATGTTTTTTCGTTACACATTTCTTTTTTCAAGTATTGTCACCAAACTCCATGATATCTGATTTAGCTTGAATACCTATCTGTCTAGTCTAGCAATACTTTACTCTTTGCATGCATGGGGCAAGAAACTTTCCTGACACCAATCCAGTTTTTATTTAAAACAGTTATTTATAATTCAGATATTTCCAGCCTGCTCTATTCTCTGTTGTAGTTTGTATTGTTATGTCATCTCAAATATTAACTTAAACAGACAAGGCAGTTGATTTTATGCAAATCTTAAAGTTTTTATTTGTCTCTGTAAAATTTTTTACCTTTTATTCAGGTTGGTCTAAAAGTGTACAGTTAATTTGTACATTACTGTGTTGAGATACAAGCAGACATTTTAAGTTTTGTAAGTTTCTTTAATTGGTATCAGGGGTTGTGTTGATGAAGAGTTGTTGAAGTTGTTGTAATTTCATCTAGATATGAGAAAAGCAGTTGGGGCTGGAAGGACAAAGATAAATATGCTGAGATAACTGATGACAAAGCCTGGTAAGAGGCAGAACTATTGTAAAATTCTATATTTTACATGTTTTTTAACTTCTTGTATTGGTATTGAGTAGAGTGAAGTAATCATTAAAAAAGAGAACCTAAGTAAGCAACATAAATTTTTCCAATTTATTTTAGCTTTGCAAATAGATCTTTCCTATCATTAGATGAGTGACTCAAAATTAACATGCTCAAATTAACATGCTTAGATTGACTGGTATTTTAGATTGCTCAAAAGATCCTACATTTATATTTTTTTCATTTTGTTTCTTTTAATGGCTTTCTTTGATACATACACTTTCTATTGTAGGTATATTATTGCCAAAGATGCTGAAGGAAAAATAGTTGGCATTTCTCATTTTAGATTTGACCTGGATTTTGATGACCCTGTTCTTTATTGGTAAAGGGATAATTTGTGATTTAAGGTTGTTTTTTGTCATTGATGTATCATCATTTTAAGTTGGGCCATTTCAAGCCTATGTCAGAAGGTAAAAGTGCTCTTTATACCAACAATCAACAGATATGAAGCCACTTTTGCAGAACTTGGGATGTTTATGTCAGTCATCTTCAAACAGGGGGTGCCCCTTCCTCATTTGGAGAGCTGCTTAAAGAGTCCCAAGCTGCTAACTATTAAATTGATTAGCCCATATTGCCTTGCATTGCATGTGGTGGAATCTTAATTATATGAAACTGAAACTCATGCAAAATAATTTTATTGCTTATAATTAATCATTTATTGTAGCTATGAAATTCAATTAGAGGAACAAGTCAGAGGAAAAGGACTTGGTAAATTCATGTTACAAATACTGGAGCTCATGGGATTCAGGCAAGTCTAGTTGTCTAAAAGATTTGTACCAATATTATTGTACTTTGCTGTAATTAGTTTTATCAATTAAGTCCCTGATACCACAAATCTTCAGAATAGCACAAAAATCAAGAATCATAACACACAGAGTACTGTTGTTTTAAAATCTAGAGTGTGCCAAATAAAATTTTGTTTTTTTATTTTTTTTATAGGTGATTTCATTATCCAAACCTTCTCAACCTGTTAAAGTCTTATCATGCTTTCATATTTTTGTCACTATCTATATGAAGTCCTTAATTTTTTGATGTCCTTAATATGTGAATGTTTTTGTTTTAACTTTTAGGGCTAAGATGAGCAAAGTCATGGTCACTGTTTTTAAGGGTAAAAGCATTTGATTGTTTTATTGAAATACCACTGCCTGAAATCTTTGAAGTATGATGGTTGCATTATATATCACTTTTTTTCTTTATATTATACCTAAAAAGAAATATTTATATGCACTCAATGTTAACCATCAGATAAAATTTACTTTAATTGTGCATTTTTATTGATATTTTTTTATTTGGATATTTTGTTTTTTTCACAGACAATAAAGAGGCTGTTAACTTCTTCAATAATCTGAAGTGAGTTTTTTGTATTTTTGATGTTCACCCGGTAGTTTTCTCCAGTTTGTTGTAGTGATGAGTGGCAAAGCAAAAAATATAAACAATACTTAGGTTAAACATTTTTTTTGCATTTAAATATGATGGTGAAATACAGTATGAAAAATCTAATAAACAAAGCATGAAAAATTTCAATGTTACCCAGCTGAATTTCATAAATGTTCTTGTTATTCAATGTCACATGGAAATAAATGCTGTTTAGTTATGGAAGTGGTAGAGTTTATTGGAAACAGAATTTACAGTATACTCTTCTCGGATGAGGCAAATAACAAATGAATAAGTCATATACTCTAATAATCTTTGAATCATGAATGTTGTGAAATTTTTATGAAAAGTTTGTAACATTTATTTTAGATATGTGGTAGATGAGACATCACCCAGATATTATGACCCAATGCATCCAGATGACTACGACTATGAAATACTATCAAAATCACTGATTCGAAAGACAGCTCAGCAATAGAAGAAGGATTTTCCAGATTGATTTCAGTTCTCTTAAATTTTCTTTTACTTCTTATTTAACAAGTCATAAACTGCTTGTTAACAATGTGGGTGCTCAAGAAACCAAGAAATCAGATCCTGAAAATCGAGTTGCAGCTTCACTTGCTGATAGCAGTGGTGGAACTTTGTCATTTCATTTATTTCTTTTGAGTTTGTATCAACAGAAAGAAGAATTGAAAATTGGTGGAATAGTGTTTTATGTACAGGCGTGCATTTTTATATTGATGTCTAAAATATTTTATTTGTAAAAATGTTGTCTACCTCATAACCATTGAAATGCAAAGTTGTATTTGCTGTAAAAATCTGAAAAAGAGATACAGAAGGAATGATGTTACTTGTCAGTTTTTGATTCAGCTAAAGTTCTTGCATCCCTAACTTAAGTAGCCTACTCCCCAACTCGGGGGGGGGGGCAGGCTTATCTTAAAGTACTCCTCAAGTTACATATATTTTACCCACACTCACTTTTTTGATTTGCTGGTAACCAACTTTTATCAGATTAGGTAAAAATGCTTGACTGCAGTTTCATATACAAGTGGTTAGAAGCAAAATCTATAACATTGAGAGTTCAGTTGTCAACAGCTGCAAAAGTGTCAAAAATAATTGAAGGAACACTATAACAAAATGAAAGAATGAAAAAAATGAAGGTCATTATTAAAAGGAATTTTTTTTTTGCAAATTCTCATATTCTTGTCATTGACATATGGCACACAAAAAAAGGAAACACAGACAAATTCTACTATGTGACATAATGCCCAGAAGTTTGTACTTATGCTTTTGTTTTTTATATAATTTTTTTATTCAAAATTAGACTGTTTAATGCAAAGATTCCACATCTAAGTTTTGATGGCATGCGAAAGTCAATATGAAAATATATTTCCCCCTGTTGGTCTTGCAAATAATTTCTTGCATCTGTCTTGCAAACAATCCTTTTTTCATTCTCCAAAAAAGTATGCATCCAAGGTGGTAATGTTTCCCAATCATAAGAAACATTTTTTGTAGAGGTAGGTAGCAGGTTATCTATGCCAAACTGGTAAAATACATCAATGATTAACAAGTTCCTGCAACTGGATTGGTTTTCCAGAAAAAGGTTATCCTTTGTAAATCCATCTCACAGCAAAAAACATCAGCAACTCAGCAACTCTGTTTTAAGATAACTTATCATTTACAAAGATGTGAAGTGACTTATTTTCTTTGAAATTAAATGATTTCTGGAGGACAAGAATGTTGAAATTCAAAAAAGGGATGATAACATAATATAACTTTCATAAACACATAACATAAATAGTGTACCAAAGCAATCTCTATTAAAAAAGCTTCAAAGTTATGTATAACTAGATAAACTTGTCTTTCTATAATCTTTCTGAACTTCAATAAAAATGCATCTCTAAATCATTAAGTTCTCAACTACTATTTTTCTCTTGCTAAGGTTCTTACAGAAAATTGGAAATGAAGGATTTATAAGATAACTTGTTTAAAAGCTAAAGAGGAAAAGGTTTCTAATGAAAATAAAATGATGTGTGGTCTAGAACCTAAAGCTTAAAATTATAGGTAGAAAACTGCTACTATGTACACAAAATCAAATTTCAAAGAGTAACAGAGAGTTTTATGTAGATTTGATGTCTTCAAAACAATTGCATCTTGTTTCTGAAGTCTTTAATAAGTTAAAGCTCAAAAGCATCAACTGGATCTGTATGTGTCACTCTGCTTCAGATGTTTCTCCCATTTCACTGTATTGATCATTAACACCAGAATGATCCATTAAGTCTTGCAACGCATTCTCTATAGCCTCAAAAGCCTTTCCAGTTTCAGTGAACCTGGACATTATTGCTTCCTCTGATTGCTTGTAATTATCTGTAAGACTTTGGAAACTGTCTTCAATTGTCTTTAATAATTCTGCAGGTGACTGAGTCTCTGTAGCTGCCATTTTACCTGCAGAATTAAAATTTGAATTTAACAGACAGTATAAAATTTCTAAATAATCTGAGGACACACAAAACCTTTTGTACAATTTTTAGGTTTTCTTTCTTCAGTTATATATCTTTTGAGCTTCAGTATTATCAGAAATTTCTTGTGTTCTGTAAAATATTGAAAGATTCAATTGAATGATTTCGGGAAGGTTTCGCCCTACCTTACATCACAATACAACATCTGCATTTTAAGGCCCACACATATTAAATATTCATATCACCAACAGAACCAAAAGGCAACAAAGGAATTCTAAGCGTAGTTTCAGACAATTCTACATACTCAACTCTGTGTTAAAGGATGCAAGAAATTAATAGCTATTAACTTCATAAAGTTAATAGCATATTGTGGGAAATTTAAGATGCATTTATTACCTTGATTTCAAAGTTTTCTTTTTAACGCGCCTTTTCTTTGCAGCCGAATTTTGTGTTTGCACAGCAACGACCACAAACCTCGTATTAGATATGTCCTCGTTTCAAAATCCAGCTTCTATAATGCAGTCACCATAGAAACACTGTCAAATTTAGTTGTTCTTGCTTGGCAACATAAACCAGTTATGGTGAGTTGTTTTAGGTTGAAACAGATCTGAAGAAGTTGACCCAAAAATAACGTGTTCAATAGCTGTTTAGTACTCGCAAGTGGTGAGAATTACATTGAAGATCGGGAATCAATGGCCTATTACGGTTTTGATAAAGAATACTTGCCGCGCATTTCTGCAAACAGCCGTGGCTTTTCAGAATCGCGGCCTAGGCAGTCTTTGCGCTTCGTTGACGATTACGAGAATTGGTCTGATGGGGCCATCAAAGACAAATCTGGCAGATCAAAGCATGCTTCTTTCTCCTACTCAAAACGAAGACCTTTGTCGGCAGATAGTAGCGTTTCAAGCTCGATTTCTGGTTTATCTTTGAAAGATTCAAACGAGGTACGAGAACCGCCAGTCTATTACACCTCTCTATTCAACAGGATCTTAACTAACATTTGATGCGTATAACCGATTTTATTACGATATATCTTCATTTTCTGTTAATAGAATACCCATAGAATATATTAATCTATAATTTTGCTATATTTAATGATCAAATGCACTGTCCTGTTTATTATATAGGACAGTGCATTATATATCCTATTGAAAGCATCAATAAAATCAGCTCTTTTAGGAATAGCAAAATTCTTCCAGTTCAAATCACTATTATTTATTCATATATATTCACCTTTCAGCCAGCAGATGACAACTTCAAGCTGAACCTATCTGACATATTGGATTCAAAAAAAGATAATTCTAGTAGATATTCATTCCAGAGGTAAATTTCAGATTGATTTGCATCTATTCTCTTTTCAAATCAATTTTTTGTTTTCAAATTTGTCAAAAATGAAACTGTCATTATCTGTGCAGAAATTTTCATGTTTTCGTATATTGCAAAAGCTGTTTAGTAACGATAGAGATATATCTAAATATTCAAATTGAAGTAGCTCAGACCGAACACTCCAAGTAACAAAAAGTTTTTAGCATAAACTTTTCAATATGACAATTTTAAAATCATCAGCCCATTTTTGAGAAAGGTCTGTAGATAGTAAGTTGCAAAATATGTTACATCAACCTAGAACAGAGAATTAATTATTTTCTACCCTCTACATTTGTAGATGGTATTTTATATTCAACATTTGTCTGTCCAATGAAAGAAGACTGAGGGGTTCCAATTTAACCAGCCTGATATACTGTTTTTTATGTGGAGATCTTATTTAAACATATAGACATACATACAAGATTTACAATCTTATACCAAGAATGTCAGGCATAATGAGGGACACATTTTAAAGTTATTAAACATCTTTCAACAATTTCAAGAATCAAATAGACAAATACAATCAAGAAAAAGTATTTTTAACATACCTTAGCATGTATCACATCAATACATGAACTGCTATTTGCAACACAGATTGTAGACAGGCAAATTTCTGCTTGGGTAAAATGATTGGCACATAAGAATTTTTTTTCTTTTCTACTACTGTTGGTTGTTGAGCATCAATTGACCCATTGACCCACAGCTTTTTTGTGTAAGCCAATGCAAAAATTATACAAGTTTAAAAACATCCACTTCTTTTGATTTATCAGGAAAAGTGATTTGGATAGCATCTTGAATACCTGGCCCCATCCTCCAAATTATGGAGCTGCTTCAGATGCCACCAAGGTATATTTTATTAAAAAGATTTTATTAATAAGTAAATAAAAAAGTTAATAATCTTGTTTCTTGCCTCCTTTAATGCCATAATATATTGCGCTGTTTTTAACATAAATTTGTATTCCCTTTCCAGTGCTGGTAATCCTACTCTTTAAAAAGTTAAGGGGTATGATGGCTTGGGATCCAGAAAACCATGTATATAAGGGCCTGATAGCCTTTGAAATGTAATTTATTTATGTGAAGGAGTGTATCACTGTTTGAAAAAGCTCCCCAGAAATGTGGCCAAGATAAATCACACAAAAGAAATTAAAAAAAAACTACTTTGGAAAAAGCTAGCAAGAAATTAAAAGAAAAAAGGAAAAAAATACTAGTCAGTCAAAAGTGGGGCTGCAAGTGTGATAAAAAACACGTTTGAAAGATTTGAGGCATGAGTGGAGGCGTTTGCATGTGATGGCATGCCTGATATTACCAGGATTGCCTTTCATTTTTTCATTAGGTTCACAAGAAACTTATTGATAGATCCCTAACCACATTTCTTCCTACAAATTCATCAAAGATTTGAATGTCTGTGACTCATATTTTTTCAGCAGACATCTGCTTTTGCAAAGTCTCTCACAGAAGGCATTGGTTTGACCAATCAAGATTTAGAAAGCAACCAAAAAGAGAAACTACAATCTCTTTTTCAAGAAAGAGATACTCTGACACTACAGGTTAGTTGGTATGATATTGCTAATTGCTTTTAAGAATAGAAGGTGACTTAACATTAGACAAGAATAAAACTGTGGCACACACATCCATTTGCAACAATAGATCTTATTTGTTTGAATTTTGTAAATGAAAGTATATTGAAATATAAAGAATTGCCAATTATGTTTTTGGTACCCCAATATTTGAAGATTGCATGAAATACTTGAAATGTAGCATACTAAAGCACTTTTTGTTGGACACTTTCAAGCCACTGATAATGAGCAAAATTAAGTTTTTGCAACTAAAAAGGATCCCAACTTGTGTAGATAGAAACAGTTCATTTTCTCATGGACTCTTGAATTAGGTACAAGGTTAGTGGTTGCTGATTGGTAAAAAGATAGCCAACCAATCAAATACCTCTTTCTTCCTCTCAGGTTACTTTTGATCCACCCCTGGATATAAATTTCCAGCTAACTTTGGATCGTTATCTTACCTTTGTACAGGCACGTCAGAGCCAGAAGGGGGGGGGGGGGCTTTAGCTGAAGTATGATATAAAGGTTGTGGCATCTAAGATAATGGTGGCAAACTATGTAAAGAGCCTTCCCTCCCCAACTCTAAAATGTGCTCCAACATCCCTGTTTCAGTTATGCTCCGAAGAGTATCGGACGAAAAGTACTTTAGTATGCCATGTCTCCAGTATTCCGTGCAATAATGAATTGGAAATCTTACAGCTAAAATGTTTTATTTTTATGAATTATGTTGCCAATATATCACATCTGTTTGAACTGTATGAAAATAGCCACCAGCATAATTTAGCAATGTTAACAAGAATTGTCTTCAAACATTTTTTGGGGAGCATTCCTCATAACCTTGAGAAGAGTCTGCCATCGGCTTGTCTCGCTATTTTTTCTTCGTCCTGACTTGGAGCTCATAAAACCTCTCCATGGCCCTGATAACAGGGAATTGTAGAACTGACATATCTCGTTTTTCAAAAAGCTTGGTTTTTATTCAAGAGCAGCCAATTCTTCCTTTGATACCATATCAGAATTGAAAATAATAAGAATACTTTAAGAATATATTGTGATAGAAGTTTCTTAAGAATATCCAGGCTGGAAAAATTTATAATATGCTTACTAAAAGGGTGTATCCTGAGACAATTACCCATAGACTCAAGTCTAAACAATTCAATGTTCTTTCTGAAGGTTAGTCATTATAGACAAGCAGCTGAAACTGCAGCAAGTGACCTTGCCGCAGAAAAGGTCAAATCAGCAACATGTCAAGATGAGGTAAGTTTGATTTTTCAATCTAAAATGTAGCTGCCTTGTACTTGTTTTCCTTTTTATGATAAAAATATTTTCTTTTCTAAATGGCTTTTTTTACTTCATCTGCAGCAAATTTTAAGTTTTCACATTTACTGTCTTGAAACCCCTTGAAGTTAACTTTTGTTATTTATTCCTTGTTGTTAATTATCATTGAAAAATTGTCATCAGATAATTTGGCAGTAGAGCTATTTTCCATTTTCTTTCTTCTCACTTTTGTAATATTTGATACTATAGGTCTTATTCATCTTTGGGAATTGTCTGCTGTATTGTGCTCCAATATTGAGTTTCTATGCAATACCATAATTTGTTTCTCAAACAGATAAAAAAGGCAAAGGGCAAGATTTCTGACTTGCAACAGAAAATTATGGATTTAAAGGTGTGAAATTTACTTATTTTATTCTTTTTGACTGTTGAATGTGAGAAATGTGAAAACCTCTCAAAAGTCACAACATTTGCTATTTTATGTAACAGTGACAAAAGGGAAAGTGTCATTTATCAGTGATGATAAGCTCATTTTTCAGTAAACCCATCTGTTACATACATGTATTTGTGGCTATATTTCTTTGTATATATGGGAGGACAATAATTAAATATAATGTATAACCATTTATATTACAAAAATATATTCTGGGTATTTTGACTCCTGATTTTAAAACAAACTTGGAAAATTTTTCTTTGTTGTAGTGTGAAATTGAAAGTGGCAAACAGTTTCAAGCACGCAGCAGTGCTATGATTTCATCCTTGCAAAACCGGGTGAAAGATGCTGAGGATTTTGCAGTTGATAAAGAGAATAAGATGTCGCGAGTAGATGTAACAGTATTCTCTTTGAAAAAAGAACTCCAGCAGCAAGTAGATGAAAAACAGAAGCTTGAAATTTCCTTAAAACATCATTTGAAAGTTGAAGAAGAAAAGACAAAGAAAGCAGAGGAATGGGAACGAAAAGTGAGTCATTATTTCAATAATAGATCACTTCAAATGACTACACAAGGAAATGAATGAAGCTTTCAAAAGTGAAGAGACTAGTAAATGTCTTATTAATAAGCAGTTAAAAAAGACAGTAAGAGGTTATGTGTCAGGCCTTGTGAAAAATCCTCCATATTTTCATCTTTAACCAGATTGTTGACAGACCGTTGAATAATGTAAGCATGATGCATTGTGTTTCCTTTGACCTACTTTGATTAATGTTTGTCTTCTTTCAATCTGAGTTTTCTATGAAGGTCATGCCAGAGTAACTTTTAATCTTCAAGATAAAATCTTGTCTTATTATTCATAGCTTTATGTATACAGATTAAAAGTCAAAGGATTCTTAAACCAAACAATGGAATGATAAATGTTTAATTCATCATATTGAATGAAAGGGCTGCTAGATCATTTCTAGCTCACAATACAACTGGAATTTTTGAATAGGTTTTTTAGCTTATAGCTCATACCTTTTTTTCATTGTAGCTGCGGGAAATGTGTGCTCTACTGGCAAATTTATTGGGTATTGAAGCACCTGGAGGTCTGGAAGCAATAGACCTTATTGTGTCAAGGGTATGTGATAGAATATGATATATAACTATCCAGTAGTGTAGCCAAAAGCACCCTTTCTCAAAGATATTTTTGTCATATATCTGCCCCCTCTTCCCTCCAACTCACTACGCCATTGGAAGTATTCAAAGAAATATATTTACCCGTTCTTTATGTATCCCCACTGATAACATTTTTGCTTATCCTTTCTAGTTTACCATATAATCTGGCCATTTCATTTAGCAATATATTACAATTTTTCAAATTGTTTTATCTTTAGGTAAAAGAAGCAGTAAGAGATTTTGGTTCCTTGAAACAGAAGATGACATCAATGACTCATCAATACCAAAACACTGATCTTGAAGTCAAAGCAAGCAGGTATATTTGTATGAATTTTATTTGCTTGTCATAATGTTATTTTGGATAAACTTGCTAGCTGGTAATCCCTCTGTAAGACTGCAATCAAAGAAATGTTGTCGAGGAACTGTAAATCACAGATCTTTGTACATATGCCATTTATTGCAAAGTTTCTATCATATGTAAAGTGACAATTGTAGTCAGAGGCGTGGCTATTTGGTGAAAAAAGGCGCTGCATTTTTTAAAGACTAGTAATATTTTCCTTAGACTAAAAAGTCTTAGCTCTTATGTCTATTTCTGCAGCAATTAATAAACTCCTGCCTGAGCTTGAAATTTTGAAAATTACTTTCTTCTTAATTTGAATCAAGAATATTTCTGTGTCATACAGTGACGGATTTAAGTGGGGGCAACTAGGGGCAGTTGCCCCTCCCTCAACGAGTTGAAGCAAGTCTGGTGCCCCTTTTTTGGAAATTGTGCGCCCCTTTTGAAGAATGAGAATCAGATGAACAAGGTTCTTGGACCGATAGGTTAATTTGCTTCAAGGATTACCTCAAAGTTATATTGTTTATTTTGAAAAGGTATCTGAAATTGTTGTATACAGCGTACTCTCGTAACCAATTTTTCAGCGCCCCCATTACCAACTGCCCCTCCTTCAAATTTGCTCTGGATCCGCCCCTGGTGTCATAGCTTAAACTGTTAAGACAGTGTATCATTATCTTTTTTGCCCTGATTCTAGGGAAACGATAATGAGGCTTGTGGCGGATATTGGAAAGGAACAGCAACTTTCTGGCGAAAGGCTAAAAGAAATTGAAAATTTGACTCGAGAGAGAGATATTGCTACACAAAAACAAAGGGAAACTGAACTTGAGTTGCAGCAAGTGAAAGACAACCTAAAGCATAGCCAAGAAGCTTGGTCGAGTACAAGAGAAAGGCTTGCAGACCAAGAACTAAGGTATGCACCTCTTTATTTCTATCAATTTGCATTGTTATAATTTGCATTTTTTTTTGGGGGGGGGGAGTTGGGGTAGCTGGTGCCTCAATGCGATTTAACTTGAAAAATCCATCGCTGAAGTTACAATATTATGATAACCTTTTTACTTTGAAAGTTATTGGTTCTAGCTTTTTAGACGAGAAAATATTCAAAAATGGATAAACCATGGAAGGAATAAGAACTCAAACGTTGTCTGCGTAGGAAAATTTGGATAAGCACAGAAAGCTTTTTACACGCATCCTTTTCCTTCAAACCAAATGCATTGCTTATACCAAGATTCGAAAATACAAAATAATTTGCATAATGCCATATGATCGTATAATGGTTCCGTTTTTCTTATTTTTATCCAATTAGAAGTTATTTCCCTAAAATCATTTTATACGAACATTTTCCCGAAGAACACCTGTCTTTGCCCTCACGAGCAATAATAATAATAATTACGTTTACGTTTACGTAATTACGATTAATTCGAAATTTTTTCAAAGATGATTTTCTGTAACTTTGCTTTAAAATTTTTATTATAAAAAATGGTAGTATTAAAGTAATTATAATTGATTTCGCAGATTGCATGAATTTGACAAAGTTTTGGCCACAAAAGAAGACTCGTACCATAAAGCCGATATCAAGGTATTATATACTTTGTAATCTGGCATCAACTGTTATTTTATAGTTCCTGGCACTTGCGATGCATTGATTTATGCTTGTCTGTCACCAGCACTGTCACCAAGTTTTTCCCTGGAGGTCATTTCCTCACCAGAAAAGCATTTTACATGCTATATTTTAGACGATATCAGTGCCATTATCCTGTTTTTTTATAGAATTTGGAGTTTTAAGCTAAAGGGAGCCTTGGACGTCTCGACACCTCATTCTTCCTTCGATCGTAACTTTATTGTTTACAATGATGCTGACTTGTTTCTTTTTTAAGAATGATTTCTCAACTACGATCTTGTCATTATTTCGAACATGTTTTTGGTAGTTTGTTTGCAATTGAGCTACAAATTTACTCAGCATAACTAATAATGTACCTCTTAACATTCACTAAGACACAGTGGCTAAGGGCATGGGTGCTATAGCCTCAAAAAGTACCTTATTTTTGCAAATTGTAGAAAATTTTATTCATCTATGGAATATTTTGTTAAAAAGTTTTATCTTTGATATTATGTGGGAGTTCAATTTTATAAAATTGAATTCCCACTGCTCTCCAGAAAGTATAATCAGGTTAAAAAGCGTTTTGTCTCGTACAACTTTTCCTTCACTTTTCTGTTTCTATCAAAATTTGAAGTTAAACAAAGACTACTAATACTACAAATCCCGCTAAAGTTGTTGGAACAGTCCCTTCATCTTTCTTATTAAACGTCTCCCCTCCCCCCATATACAATGTTCGCTGCTAGGTTCTTTTAGTCGTCAAAAACCATAAACTTCTGTTGAATTCATTTTAAGTATGTCAGCATTATTATTCCACGTACCAAGACAATAATTTTTCTCCTCCAGTTGAAGCACTTCAAGAGACAGCTTGCTGAGATCTTGAGTGATGTCGATGTAACAGTACGCGAAAAAGAATCAGACATTCTGCACATGATCCGCGCCATACACAAGTCATACAAAGAGAAGAAATCTGTAAGTGTTAGGTTAAAGACAGAGAGTTTATATAAAATGAACAGCATTGATCGGAGTAATGATTTTTATGTGACTCTTCTTGTGATCTATTGAGCTTATCCATCGAATTTTTAAAACCAACGCGCTCTTCATGTGATAATTTACATCATGTCAAATTTAATAAAGTCAATATAAAAAGCACAGTTCAGATGTTTTTCAGCAGTTTTGGTTACTTATGGGCGTTAGGTTTTGAAGAAAGTAATATTGAAAACAGAACTTGGTTTTTACTCCAAGATTCAGTCACAAGAAAATTTGGTGGTAAAGCAAAGATAATTCAATCCACAGATCCCAAGATTTCTAAAAGCTAGGCAGTTGAGAGCTCTCCAATAAGCTGCCAGTCTTTAGATGTCATGTTGTAGCAATTCTTATAGAAGAGGATTGAATTAACTTCCAGTCTCAAGCTTTTGGTAAATCTTGAGACTAGACTAATCCTCAGTTTCTGAATGCTATTTCGATATCCCCACTATTTCGATAACTATGTGAGTGATATCGTCAAAAGAAACCATGCGAAGGAAGATGGGTACTTGGAAAATCTTTTAAAAAATCCTTGACTTTGCCAAAGTTGAATTTTCAAATTGGCTTAATTCTTAAGGTTTGTAAGCCCCTGATAGTGGCCTTACCGTCCTTGTCCATCTTATATTATGACTAAAATTTGCTAGGTACCAAATTGAAGAAAGCTACCTTTATATCAAAAGGAATTCTTACAAAAGATAATAATATAGGAAGAGAAAATTCTGATATATCAAAAGCAATCACGCTTTTGTTTGTTACCTGGATAAGTTTAAGAAGTTCTTTTTATCGTGATTAGGTATTTTGTCGTGTAGTGCGAAGTTATTTCTAGCAAAATTCACACGATTTGTCAATCAACTATTGGTAATTTTATCGTAGAATGAGGAAAAGCTTCAGTCACGTGTATCGGCTCTGGCTGGTGAGATATCAAATCAAAGAAATATGCAGCACTCCACAATCGCCAGGGCAACTCAAGCAGAAAACCAATGGCAGGATATGAATGAAAGAGTGAAGGCACTCGAGGGCGAGCTAATTGCAGCGGATGTTGAGAGAGATCGATTGAAAGATGACAGAAATAAGGTAGATATCTGAAAGTTTTGTGCTCCTCAAGATAGTAATTTTTTATTCAGAAATTTCAGTCCAGGCCCTACGCAGGAAGTTTGTCAAAAAGGTTGTGGGGATAAGCTTTCCCTAAAAAACTTTCTCTTATACGATGCTCTTTTGTCTTGCAAAAATGTGGCGGTTTGGGGGGGGGTTGGGGATCGGGAGCAGCATGTCTCGGGTCCTACTTTCGTCAAAAGCCTTTTTACTGAAACGAAAAATATGTTGAGCAACATGTAAAAGTCAAATGAAGCATTATGTGTGTGGAAGATATATTCGTCATGTAGACGTCGGTTGGAAGGCGCAAAATCAATATCGTGTCCATATAAACGATAAACATTCGCTACATTGGTAAAATTAAGTTGCATAATCAGGTTCAAAACCAACCAAGATCAGTCCCAATATGCTGGCAGTATCTTTCTTAATAATGTTTGTTTGGAAAAATTTTATGAACAGTACTCGGTACCCATTAATCTTATCATCTGGCGTCACTGCTTATTTCTTGCATTGACCCAGCAATAAATTTATCGAGAATAATGCCTGTTTTGTGTGCATTTTTGCAATGCTTGAAGGCCAACTGATATGTATCAGAATTAATTTTGCAGCCTAACTTTAACACGTATTGAAATATTCATTCTTCAGTTCTTGGCATTTATTGACAAGTTGTCACGTGCAATGAAACTAGACGAAGTTGCGGTAGAAGCTGGGTTTGATATTTCTTCGGATGCCATTTTACTAAGGGCAGAACAACTCTCTAAATCTGAGGTAAGTCTGCGAAATCAATTTATCCGAGGTTACTCGAGCTTGTATTTGTTTTATTTCAGAAAATATTTGTTGTTTAGACCGAGAATCTAAGATAGTATTGCATTATTTTATGCTTAAGATTCACAACCACGATCATCAATTCACTGTCTAGGCTAACCGTTTTTCTTTTAAAGAGATTGCAGTGATTTCCTTTTTCCTGGATACTCATCTAGAGACAAATGCTTTGACCATAATTGGGTATCGTTCATTACTATGATTATAGATTTGTCATTCTTATTGTGCTTACCATAGCAAATCTGATTCAGTTGCAAAATTTCTTCCAGACCAATTCTTTGCAAGACAGAACTTCGACTATCTACTCCTTGCAAAGAAAAACGAAGACACTTAAGCATCAGTTGGAAAGCAAAGATTTTCAACTTTCACTAAGCAAGAAGAAAATAAATGAACTGGAAGAGATATTGAAAGACAGAGGAAGAATTGAAAACGAAAGAGATGACACGTCAAATAAAAATTCAAAATTACAGAAAAGATGTGAACGTCTACAAGATGAGCTTTCTCGCAATAAAGATATTGTGATGCAGCTGAAGGCTAAAATCATGGAATATGGTGAACAGCAGGTATAGTGAAAATAGCAATATTTGTTTCACCTTTTTCTGACAAGGTATTTTCAGTTAGTGATTTAAAATGTTTAAAATGTTTTCTTACTACTTATTCTTATTTTATATTGTTAATTTAAAGCATGTTTTCTCTAAACTGGTTGGTTTTCTGATTAGGTTGACCTATCATTTTTCGATTTGTGTATATTTTGTCCCTAATAAGACACTTGAATCTACTTTCTAAGAAAATTTCCATTAATTCCCTGCTCCCTCCTATCAATGATTTCCCTGCTATCAATGATTTCATTTATTTTCTGTGAATCTAGATAAAACTTGAAGATCAAAAGAGGACTATAGAAGACCTAGAGTCAGTCGTACAACGATTGGCAAAAAGCAAACAGAAAACTGATAAAAGACTTGCAGAGAAAAGGCATGCTTTTGAGTCAAGCGAAAAAGAAACGAAGGAGGAAATTCAGAAAACGAATCTCAACTATCAGCAACTGCTAAATGAATTGCAGGAAACAAGGAGCAGTTTGGAGGAAACACAAAGTAGAGAAAAACAGGTTTGTGCAAATTTCTGGTTTTCTCGTTTCTACAATTTTATTAGATGGATGCATATGTCCTTTTTTCAATTGGAATCGATTAATTTCAGTTGGAATCATTTGATCAATATCAACGCATGCTGAAATTTCTCAAATGCAACCGTTCCAGGATTTTTCAGAAAGGTTGCGAAGCTGTCTAACGTTAATGTAATTTTTTTTTCAACTCATACGAATAAGGTGCAAACATTACTAGATAAGTTCTACTATTTAAATTTCTAATGCAGGAAACATTTTTGGTTAAAGTAAGACCACCAATTATAAAAACTCAAAGTTTCATTTTTAGTATAATTTCCAAAATGTTGAAGCGCTTGAATATTCATTGAAAATTCAACCTCTTTTTTATTATGTTTTCCAAGACAATTGATTTCCATAGTTTGTTTAGATATACTTAAGATATGTTATTTACACCTCATTACATGGTAAAAAATAAATGAATTACTTTTCGTTTGAATTCTTCTTAATATCTTTGTTTCATTTTACAGTTGATAAAATTCCGGCATGCTCTCGCCAAACTAATTGGTCTGGACATTGAAGAGCTTTCAGTACCTGATTACGAGATTATATCGAAGCTTGAAAAAGTGGTGAGAGGCTATGAAACCTATACAAATACTGTAAAAAGTCTGGAGACGACACTGAATTCAATGGAAAAGGAATTCAAACATGGTTATAGTGACGTAAAAACACTGCTGCACTCAACGTAGCTGCAAAGCATCATTTCATTTGACAGTTCATGAATCTGATTAAATATTTTTAAATTATGAATTTTTATGCAATACTTTTGGCAAGCAAATTAATAGGCATTAGGCTGGTCATGAAGTGTAGTCGAACGCATACGGGGGCATTAAGTGGTGTTTAGACTTCCAAAATCAAAGTAACTGTGCCCATCTTTAAATTAGTTTCGAATCTCTTATTATTAATGTGGACGGAGATAGACTATTAGTGCGGTTGCGAAACAATGTCCGCTGGTCCATATCTGACCCAAGATACTCTCTGACTTGGGTCGTCGTCGGGGAAAGGGTAAATTTTCGGATCTAAAGATATACCTGAGAATTGTTTTTTGGTATACTTGAACAACACGTTATCTTGGAAGGCTCTTGAGTTCGTTAACTGGAAAATTATCGTCTCTGAACTGTAATACTGTCAAATTGTCTACAGCTGTCAAATTGCCCACTCAGTTTAGGCTATCGAAATTGAAGTCTAACGCCATCATTTGTCACCTTTTATGCACCAACTGTATATTTTGACGCTCAATGACAAATTTTAGAAGTATAACAGAGCATGAAACTATTTAATTAGTTAATAAATTGATATTCATAAACTTGATCATGTATTAGGCTAGATATTATATCAATCAATCTATTTAAATGATATTTGTACAGTTTTGCAGTTTCACCTTAATCATTCTGTGATGCTTGATATCATATTTTATCACTTGTTGTAAAAAGCTTATCACCAGTAGATGTTGAATTTTCATTGCTATTTCTTCACTATATCTTTTCTGAAAAAAACACAATATATATATGACCATGTAAGGATGGGGGCAGAAAGAGAGTTATGGTACTGAAGTGCCCGCTTTTCAAAGACGTTTTAGAGAAGAGTTTTTCAAAATTGCAAGTGCGTGTGATTTTTTAATCTGCTAAAATTGATCCAAATGCATGCCATAAAAATTGTTCAGAGATCTCCCTTAAAAGGAATACTTACTTGCCATCATCTTGGAAACGATTCGATTTTCTGTAACCCTGAATTAAGGTCTTAACAAAAAGCATGTATTTCCCCAGTTTTGCGTTGTCCTTTGAGAACCATATAATTTGACTACGATACCAACTTGCTTTCTAACAGTTTCAAAGCTGTACTTCGAATTTTTGTCTGTTATTGGTATGAAGCACTTAACATGAAATGTAGAAATTTTATGACTTTCTAGAGGGGGTGCTCATAACAATTTCCTCTGGGGTCTTCATTTCCTGACCCTGTTTTTGCTGATGATTTGATGATTTGATCATACCACGTCCTTGTTGCGACTTAATGTACGCAATTATCAGAAGATTCCTCGAGTTTGCAAGATTTTTTATGGTAGAATCCCGACAAATCACAGGTCACAAGCCCCGTGATATTAGCCTTCATTAATTTACGTGTATTTATTGTTGTTCATTCTCGTCGCATTGCGGTGTTTCTTATTTGCTAAATAATTATGCACTTGGGGAATTTTCTATGGATGTTGCTTTCTTAAAACTTTTTTAACACTGAATAGAGGCTCACCTCTTTTGTTGTGTTGTGCTAATCGTCCAAGATGGCGGCTGATTCGCAGAGTCGGAAAATGGCTGCGACCTTAGAAAGTTTCTAGATCAGCTAAAAAATGTATTACTTCGCTTTAGATCCTAAGGAAAATGGATGGTAAGACTATAGATACATTTGTCCCAATCATTTAGTCCATTATTATTTTATAGGATTCAAACGATGAGCACAACCTTTGCTCCGGCTTTGGTAGTTATGATTTTCATTATTACTAAAAAAATAACTGAAAGTGAGGGTCTCTAGTATTGCATGTACTTGAGCATGTGAACAGGTCATTCATTGAAATTAAATGGTTTTTCTAAAATTTATGAAACCAATGAACCGTGGATTGTATTTTAATTAAGTAGAAGACATTAGGATTTTTTGTCGCCATGACGTCATTCAGCACTAATTAGCAAAAAATTGAAATTGAAACAGCTACTCTCTAACAGATATTTTTGTATTTGATAATCAAATTGTTTATGATATTTGATATTTTTTGTTATATAAATAACAAAATTTTACATAGGGCACTTCTGAATTACCTTGCTCCTAGAAGTACAGTAACTGCCTAAATGGCAGTGGGGTGCCAGCATGCAAAGTATTTTTTGTGTGCAGGGAATAATTTTCTGCCGCTTATGTTTGCACGGGAACAAATCATGTTGCAAAATAGCGTGTGTCTGTGTGTTTGTTACTTTATTTTCATTCGATATACAAAAATAGCTAACAATTTATACATTATTTAAATATATACAAGTTAACTAATCAAAATCAAATATACAAAGCAAAGAAAAACAAATATAGTATTTTCTAAATTTACAAGTTCTAAGTTCTGAGTTTAATTTCTAAGTTGGTAGACAGGTACAGGCACTGCATCTGCAGTTGGGACCATCCCATTATTTTATCAAGATCAGCAGGTTAAAAGCTGCTGGAATTTATTTTTGAATAGCATTTGTAAGACTCATGGAGAGGCTTTGCACAGGATTCGCATGAATGTCTGTGCTGCAGCTTGCATATTAATCTAAATTTGCTAAAATGTGCGGATGGGATTTGCAGAAAAAATTACTGCTTGGGGAATATGTCCCCTGCATATACCCAAACTTTGCACTCTTGGTAGGGTAGGGTTTGCATTTGGCACGGGAGGGCTTTGGGCTGTTGGGCCTCCACACGATTCAATGACCAAAAAGCACATTCATTGCACACAGTTTGTCTCCAAGCGTTTAGTAATATGAAAACGTTTAATAGCCACAGTGATTTTGAACCACTATCAAACATCATAAATAGGAGACTGCAGGCCTGGAATCATGCACATTTAGAAAATTGTAATATTGACAATGTAAAATGTGATCAACTAGGGACTTTGTGCAGCCCATATGCAAAAGCATGAGGATGGAAAGATAGAAAGCATATGTAAGAGCAATATATTGCAAGAGCACAAACAAGTTTCAGGTCTGGATGGTCTTTTGGTTGCTGTTTTTTGATTTTTTTTGGAGGAGAGTGTATTGTACAATCCAATCTAACTGCTACATATATTTAAGCATTTAATTAGTATGTCATGATACAGATAGTTGACTTTATACAGTGATGCTTCTAAGTCCTAAAGGACCTTTTTTATAAGCTCAGATCCTTCATTATAATTCAACACAAAGGTTTTTTTACATTTGCATTGATTGTGGCATGAATTGAGGTGGCACAAAGAAACTGAGCAAAGACAATCATGTAAAATGGGATGTTAACACCTTAAAACATAAAACTTGTCTGGATGGCTGGCTGTCAAAGCAATCATCAAGTTGCTTGACTTGTCTAAATATTGGATCTTGGTTTAATTTATGCTCATGCTTATATTTATATGCTTTTACTATTTGCTTATATTTTCTGTTAAGATTTTAATGTTAAACTGATTGTCACTCTGAAGCATTTTGCTCAACTAGATTAGGTGGTAACTACAATGTGAAAATGGGAGTAATCTCTGCAAAATAAACTTATAAAACTCCTCATGTCCCAAAAGGCAAGGCCTTACATCCAATGACACCCAATAAATACCTTTTCAATGTTTGTAGTTTGATATTAAGTATTATAGGTATTATATTCCATTTCAGGCATAAGGGATTTATAAATGATAGTTTCATATGATTGCCTGTTACATCAAATTTTAAGTAAAAGAAAACTAACTTGAATTTGCAGGGGTTATGAACTGAATGAGATTTTGCTTTTTTCCATAAAGGGATGAAGTATCATTGTGATGTGTGCTTAGCAGATTGCTCCGGTTTGCGAATAAGATGTGCAGATTGTGCTGATTTTGATCTTTGTTTGCAGGTACTTAGCATTTGTTTGTCAAGTTAAAGTCTTCCCCTGAAGCTGTTTCTCTCTTGTACAAAAGGTTTTTTAGGGGAGAACAGGACAACTGCCAGGTTTTGCAGGGTGGTGGGGTTTACTTAGGTTCAGGCTCCCATATTAAATACAAGAAATGCCCATACCCCATGAGAATAAATGCAGGAAATGCATTAAAAAAATGCTTTTTTAGTTTCAGTTTAAGTTTCATTGAATTATTAATCCATCCTACATACAATTGCAACTTCAATACAGTTAATTACACTACAATGTGTCAAATTTATAAGAACTACAAAACTACACTATTACTAAATGAGCATTTCTTCTTACATGAGAATTAAATGTTGAATAGGTTCACATAAAGATGAAGTTTGTTGGTTGTTAATGTAATGTTTGTAAATACAAATGTATCTATTGACCATCTGTGAACATTATAGTCTGTAACATACCAACTTTTTTATTTGATATTAAGTTAATTATTTATTTTATTTATGCTTATTTGTATCCTGTGTACATTTTTGTAGTTAGAAAGCTTTAAGTGGTTTACCATTTCAAAATTAGATTGTGAACAACAAAAACAGCATGCCTGTCTTTGTATCACCACTGACAGCATTTAGTTATGCCAACTGCATTCTGTTGAGTTCGCGGCATGATTTTGGATTCTTGTATGAGTTAGAAAAATTTTGTTTTCTCTGCCGGTACCCTAAGTTAGGGTACAAAGATTCCAAATTCCAATAGGGCAAATCCCCCATTCCTGCTTTCTCACACTATGAATTTCATTTTCCTAGACATTCATTTATATATGTATGGAAAGTACAAATATAACACATATAAAAACTGAGCACAAGCTCTTGGGCCGGGTGCAGCCTTAATGCATCCAGAAATGAAAGAAAATTACAATAAAGAGAGTATTTTATTCCGATTGGCATTTAGTTGCAAAATAGAAAATTATTTCCAGTTTGCTCAGCCAAAGCAAGCAAAAATTCATACCCAAAGGAAGTTTGTTTCTCAGTTTCCTTATAAAAAATTCTAGTTTTCCCAATTGAGAATAAAACCAATCCTGCTGTTGGTAACAGGTACTGAGACGACATGATAAATCTATGACAGAAAAAGATGAATTTATGACTGAAAATGTACTGTTTACTATATATCATGTTTATTGCAATGGTTGTTTTAATGCCAACTTTCTTTTGCTACCAGTGCTTCAGTTCTGGATCAGAAATGGGTGATCACAAGAAAGATCACGGCTACCAAATATTTGTAAGGAATTAACCTTTCAGCTTTGTGAAATTTTATTAAGATGTGTATATTGCAAATTGTGAAATACATAGATATTGCAAATACAAGTGGTTTCACCTATCAGGTTTAATTTTTACAGCAATTTTCTTTCTAGTCATATCAAATAGGAGTATTCAGAATCTCTTGCTGAAGCGATTGTAACTATGCATCTTTGAAATGTATTTTGCAACCATCATCAACTAATGATTTTATTTATACTTTTAAAAGAGTTATCTACTTAATCCAGTACGATTAATGATTGAAATTGCTAAAGTACATACAGAATAATTTGGTGCAAGGAGGGTATTTTGAGTAGTTATTGTCTTTTCACACAGTTAATGTTTTTATGAATGAAATTTTGAAAATTATGATTATTTTTTAGGATAATGGAACATTTCCAGTTCTTTCAGAGGATTGGACTGCAGAAGAAGAAATTTTATTATTAGATGGCGTTGAACAACATGGATATGGAAATTGGTAATTTTTTTTATTTTCTATAGGTCAAAGAGAAAAATTTCCCCTATCCACAGTTGCAAAAATTCAGGCTTCCATTTGGGGGGAGGGGCTCAGGCACGTTAAATGCTTGTCAATTTCTTTACAAAAGCCTGAATTTTTCCGACAAGAATGCTGATTGAGGAGGCCTGAACCCCCATGTCCCCATAATTTTTGCTACTGCCCATCCATGTTCTTTTTACGTTTTGTCATTCTTTTTTCCATTTTTTTTCTACTTTGTTGCCAAAAGCATCTAACTGCAAACTTGCAGCCATTAGTATCCACAATCACCAGATGCTCAGTGGCAGATTAAAGGGGGAGGGGTGCAACTAGGGCATTCAACTACCAAGTATTCTGCATACAGCATCCACCTGTCACCAATTTCTCAATATTTTTCAGCACCCAAATGAACCAACTGCCCTTTCTTAAAATTTTCTCTGGATCCACCCGGGCATATGCTTATATTCGTTTTTAATTTTGAGTGTGACATTTTCTCTTTTTTCAAAAGGGATGATATTGCTGATCACATTAGCACAAAGACTCCTGAAGGTATATATGTTCTTGAAATATATAGCTAGGATCAGTCTTGCCATATACTGTGTAATTTATTTTTTTGATCATTAAAGAGATAAAGAATAACCAAATGTTTTATTTTTTTGCTTTTAGAAAGCAAGGAACACTACGATGATATGTTTTTAACAAAAAACATCGGAAAAGGTGACACCTAGTTTTCATTCGTTCTAACTCACGATTTTTCATTACTGTTAATGTGTAAATTTTATTTCACTTGGAATGATTGTGTTCCCATTTCTGTCACCAACTTTTATGGCAATCTCTCCAAATTACTTTATTTGATTAAGCCTTATTGACAGCTTCTGTGTTTTACTGCTGTTCTGTGTTTTTTAATAACCCAGCTATTACTTGTGAAGGCAGTTAAAGATATTTTTCTGTGTAATGACAATTTATTAAGATTTGTATGCTTGTTACTTCCAGTACAGTAACGGCCTAGCAAATATTATATATATTTTCCCTCTCAACTTCCAGTCACTGTTGCTAGAGGCTTGAATGACATTAGTGACCATACATTAGATAATGGTAAGTCTTAAAACTCAAAAACACTTTGTTTTTAGAAAGAATCTTTACTTTTAGAAACTTTTTATTTGAAGGCTATAAATCTCACCATAGGTAGGTGGTTTCATGTTATGCGGATTTGTTTTAATATAGTCTCCATCTACCAATATTATATACAAAAATATAATCTTTGTATCATCCTAAATATCAGTATCCTCTTCTGCCAGCCACACAATCACTTCTAGGATTGAATTGAATCTGTCATTTATACATAAATTAGATAGAAACATAAATTATAGTTAGATTAATAGATGAGTAGATGAATCTTATATCCAGCGGCATTGTTGTATCTTAATTGATAGCCAAAATTTTGAACATTTCATATTTCATCCCCTTGTCCTCCTCCGAACAATGTTGTTTTATGTGATGGTGAGAAGCTCAGTGTGGTCAAATAGATTCCTTTAAAAACTATGTTATTCCTATCTACAACAAACCTTGTTCTGGGGAAGAGAGGGTGTGATTTCACTTCAGCAACTTTGAAGGACCACTCACCAGCCATTCATTCTAGTTTCTTATTGGTTTTGATAACAAGGTATTGACAAACCCCTCACTCGTTTTCTCGAAAGCAAACTACAATGGACTCAGTTTTTTGTAGATATTTTTCTATTTACCTTGCTTTGCTTTGGTAGGCAAGCACAAATCTCTATATGATCAGCTTCTCTTACCACAAACGTATGTTCTCCATAATTTTGTTGTTTGCTAGATTTTCAAGGGAACTTCAATTACACTGTTCTTAGTTTTCTGCCCCAAATGTGTCGCAACTCTGTCACACTTAGGATGGATAATCGAAAAAGAGCTGCGTTGGACGGGCTTCTTCTATTATCACTTATTTATCTAAATGTTATTATATACTGATTACCTAAAATGCTGTTAATAATTTTGCACTTTTATATTAATATTTCAGGTGAGCTAGCCCAGTGTTTGGCAAATCCCCCAGAAGCGTTGGAATTACCTGTTGCGGAGCAACAAGAGCTTGGATACATGCCAAATAGAGATGATTTTGAAAGGGTATGAAGCCATAGCTTAGCTTAAATCTTTAGTCTATGATCTTACTTGGGATCTTCCATCGCCAAGAATAGCAGAATACTGCCTCATAAAACAACTACCCACCACAGTTTGATTTGCAGTTGATTTTCATGAAGTCTCATAGCTTAAAAGACCTTTAATTTAAGAACAGAGGCTAAATGGTTTCAGTTAGATATTTGACTGTGGAATCATTATTAACATCTTCAAATGAAAAAGAATCTTTGTAACCACATACATTATTGCAGGATTTTGAGCTGAATAAGAGTGAAAGCATGAAACAGTTCCCATGTAGTATTTGTTCGATCGTTAAGCGAGAATTTCTTTGTATCAACCTTTGTACTCTACACACAAAACCTTGCATATATCAGTCTATAAGGATTTGAGCATGCTGCAAAAGGCCAGTTAACAGTAATCTCATAAATTTTAGGAATATGAGAACGATGCAGAGCAGTTAATAAGATCTCTCGCTTGCAACAGAGATGACGATGAACTCGAAACTTGTAAGTCTGACCCACCAATCCTTCTCATCCACTCCCATCTTCCGATTTTTATCTCCGCTGCGCTGCATTCACGCTATTCCATATCAACCAACCCAGCATTAACATCCATAATTGAAATTCATTTACTCATTGGTTACATTTACTCTGATGAAGCCCTGTTTGCAGGGGCGAAATATAAGTATCACATAATTTATTTTAAAACTCTATATCTGAATATCTGAAGATATTAGGTTTTTTTCGTTGCTTTGCTCTGCTCCTTTTTGTCTATCTTTCTTGCTATTTTTATATTGTTCGTTTTTTGTTAAGAATTCCGTATTGTATTTTTGTTTATATGACTGAGAATCCAACATAACTTAAAACTTTATAAATTAGATTTTCAAGGAAGACATGAGGCGTTGATAAATGAAAAAGAAATTCAGTCATTTTATTTGTGACTAATCACTTTTGTTGTTAACTGGATTCGGTAACATCTAGGTGTATTCGTTTAAAGAGAAATTGATTTTAGTGGAAAACGGATAGAGCGTGTAATTAAAAAATATATATCTGTTTTTTATTTCTAATTATTAAATTTGATGTAAAAAAACTAATGGATGGAATAAGATGAATTTTATTCTATAGCGTTAAAAATTGCACATGTTGATATGTATTGGAGAATTTTAAAAGAAAGAGTTCGGAGAAAAAGGTAAGCAGACTGGTAATATTTAGTTTATCTTGTATGTTATTTTCTTTCAATCAATTGCTTTTGCGGTTGATATCAACATGCAACGTTTTTCATGTATTCAGTAAGGTAGAGAGTAAGGTAGAGCAGAGGGGTAAAGATAGGGAAGTGGCTGTTTATGGTGCCGGGTAAATACTACTTTTTACTGAACAATGGTGCTGATGCAAATAAAATTTCCTGTTTTACGTATAGGAAAGCATATCCTACGAATTATTCTCAAGAGTAAAGTGCCAACATTTATACCCAGATTTTGTTTAAGACTGGTAAAAATTTTCAACAAGATAATTGTTGCACCAAGAATCATGTTAAGAGTTCCAGAGGCTCTTTATATCAACGAAACCAAGGCTTTTTACTATTTACAGGTGGATTTTGAAATGATGATGGATAGTCTATTTATTCGGTTTTTTCGAAGCTTATACCACATGAGTATTAAATGTAAAATAGCTCTTCTCTCTCTCTCTAGTGTTGCAAGAAATTATGGTTTGATTACGAGTAAACACAAACTTATAGGTAAACATTTTGAATTCGTTTATGCTTTATTGGTCGTTTCTGTTTTTCACTTGTGAAGAACATATGCAGAACTTCGCATGCATATGTATGAAGTATCACAGAAAATGGCTGCATCAAATTCATTACTTTTTTCAAATCTGTTACTGCTTAAATTCGAAACAGAAAATCTTGAATATATCAAATTTCCTACCGTAAAACCCTAGTTTCCTGAACATTAATAACATATTTCCTTATAAATATTCAACTACCAAGCTGTAATTTACCGGACAATTCAACAATTTGTACTGGTGCCTAAAGATGCAAGCAGACCTTTAAGTGTGAAACATAGACTGGTGACCAAAGAGTGACACAACCTAACCTCTACTAAGCCCAATGAATAACTGCAAAAACTCTTGAAACCCTAAAATCAGATTTCAATGTTGCATTCAATCATATAATGCCGTCTCTTCTCATTTAAATATTATTGGTTTCCTACAAGAAAACAAATTATTTTAGGATATTTGTTATAACGTGACTAGTTTGTTAGGCCTTCAGCATTGTTTTCGGTGTGAAAGCTGATTTAAAGTGGGTAATTTTCAAAAATTGAAATTACGCAAATTTTCGTAGGATTTGAACCGTCGATATTGTGAATGTGTTTAATTGCTTTCCTTGTGGTCATGTAGTTTTTGCAGACAGAGTTAATTTGAAGATGAAATACATTCGTTCAAATATTTTTCAGCATCTCGACGAAAATTAAGTAAAGACGACAGGTAAAATTTCATTACTACATTTAAGGCAGCATGTCACTAAAAATATTATGCTTTGAGGGGGAGACTAATGTTAAATCAACCAAGGTACAAGTAAAAGTACAAGTAGCTAGGTCTTAACCCAACAAACGTCAGTGTGTCATCAGCTATTTTAACATCCATGCATACAACTGCAATCAATATAAATACACTGCCTTTAATTTCGTCTTGATTTTGATGTTTGAAATAGTTCTTCTTGTTTCCTTCATGATTTTGCTAGTATTTTATAACACCTACTTTGTAACACGTTGCCTTAACATTGAAGTTCTTACCTTTCTTCATCCAAAGTCGTAAATTGTTGACGATTATCTTTGCTCAATGTTACTATACATTTAGTAATTTATGGAAGGGAGATGTGAATTTCCCTAGTTTTTCAACAAAGACTAGAATTTCCATTTTCAAAAGTTTTGAAAAGTGTAAAACTGGGTGAAAGTCAACCTTCTTTAATGTCTTTCTTGAAGAAATTCCCGTTTGAATGGAAACAGCATATTTCTAAACCTCACAATATAATGATTTAGCACAGGACATTATATGTCTTAAAAGGTCTGCAATTTTCTCATCTTATTTGATATCGTGTAGCAGAATCTCAAAGTAGAATTGATTTATTGTAGACAGTAGTGTGATTTGGAGTAATATGTGAATATTCAGTTTCGTGTCAAATTCTCAATTAGGTAGATGTATAATTCTTTTGGTTAAATTGTTTTGTTATGTTGTAATGGTAGTGGGCCTGGGAATCTTCATATCTGTACCTTATTTTCATTGGCAGGGATTTCAAAGATAAAGTTAGGGTTTTTGGCCAGCTGATATCATTTCCAGATTGGGACGAATTCATCAGCAATAGAATAAGTAAGAAAAGTTTATATTTTTGAGTATAAATCGATTGATTTGATTTGATTTGATATCCGCGAGTCTTATGAGCAGTGAAAATAGAAAAAGCAATGAAATCGACTTCAATCAAGGAGTAACAAGATATAATAACGCAGAGAGACTATTGTATGGTTGACAGCATGACTATGGCGATGGAACATATTATTTGAAAATAAAAAGAATTTTCGAATAAAGAATGGAGTTGCCGGGTTTCGAACCCGGGGCCTCTTACTTGCGAAGCAAGCGCTCTACCACTGAGCTACAACCCCGATGACCGGTATTTGGGATTTCTCATAAATACCTTTTTGTGTGAACGAGTATCGAGACTCAGGATTGATATTTGGTATTATGGGACTGGCGTTTACTTTGAGCAGAAAATCGGTTTATATGGTCAGTGCGAGAAACTTTCCGCTATTCGGTTAAAGCACACTACTGAAATGCACACTACATTTCTGTTGGATATTGATTGACATTTGTAATGTCATTCAAATTTCTTATTTTCCTTTGTTTTTTTGAAGGAGAGAAAGAAGTAAAGTCAAGAATAAAGGAGCTATCGAGATATCGCAAGAGTGGAATAAAAAAACTAAATTGTAAGTTACACAAAAAGCATTCGAATTCATTCATCCCCACAATAAAACCAATTGAAATATTTTATAAACAGAAACACGAACCATGTACAGTAAAACTCTGTTATACTACCCCCGTTAGAACATCAAGTTTGCTGCAAAGGCAAAAATTTTTGGCACACAACTTTTAACATTGGATTGCACTTAGAGTACTTTAGGTTACATGTCATATTGCGCGTCAGCATTTCAATTTCAGTTGAAGTAATGATAAAGGAATTCTGTTATTAGCTCAGACTAAATTGAGTCCCCTTTCTGTGTTGTGAAATGCTTTTCTGTAGTGTAGTTTCGATCTGATAATTTGTTTGATTCCGTTATGTTTTATCAAGTAGTCATTTTTCCTAGCTTGTCAGGAATTTGATGATCTCCGTTTTAAGAGGGAAAAGGTTAAAGAAAATAGAAGGAAAATGGTAAGTCAAGTGAGCTGCGTCACTGAAGAACTTCAAATCTCATAGTGGTTGCCCCTTTAAACTGAGAACAGAAACAGGGTTCCCTTTTTGAACACTAGTGAAGACCATAGGATTGTTGCAAATACAGGCCTTTTCATCTTAGCTATCTTGCAGAGCTTTCTTTACCTTGGGGGAAACTTGGGAACTTTAACTCAGTTATGAATAAATGTTTGAAGAAAGGTTTTTACCAATGTGCATTTTGGTAGCAAAAACACACTGGCAGCCACGGTGCTCTGCGTTCTGTATTGACTTTGACAGTCAATACCTCTTTGAATAACACTGTAAAACTTAACAAAATCAATCACTTAACAAAAATCACTTAACAAAACATTTTTTAGTGTTTTGTGAAAAAGTTCTAAAAATCTTATATTGACTTTGGACAAAAAGACAAGCCATTTTTGCTATTTGTGTTTCTAACAAGACAGGTTTTTATCTGCTTATGTGTAGGATACCGACAGAGGAAGTTTCCCCTTAGTCTTATATTGTTATTGGCGATTAGATAGAGGTATGCACTCAAACCACTGTTAAATGTCATTTATATCAATGTAGATGTTAGCTGAACGTTTTTATTTTTACCTTAATGTTGCAGTGGTTTTGATGAAATAAATTTCTCATTTTTGATTAGCATGTGACGTCTCCTCCAAGAACCACAAAGGTTTCTGGAAATAAGAAAAAGTAAATATCTTTTACTTGTTGCCCAGATTTACCTTCAGTTCAGTTTATAGTTTATTGATGTCTTCTATACTTTTGCAAATGGTATCACGTCGTCTACCCCGAGCTCATTAGAAAGAAATGATCATTTTTGACTCATGAAATATTTTAAGAATACATGTATAAGAATACATTATAAGATCATGTAAGAATACACAACCTCTTGAAAGATTATAATTATTATTTCTTTAACTGTCTATTTATCTTATTATTTACCTGTAAACTGTTGTTTATGTATTCTGAAAGTATTGTGATTATCCTTTATAGCTGTAGAAGTATCGACTTTATAGCTGTAGAAGTATTGTAGATGAGTATGATATAAACAATCTATTAGCATTTTCCCTTTATTTATTGTTAATGTGCTCGGTTTCTCATTTTTGTGTCATTGAATTTCAGTTGATATACACTTATAATTGGTTGTGCATCTTTTTTGAAGTTTTGATAATCTTATGTCACATCTTAGCTCAACTCCAGATGAAGAGAAAGCCCCTGTAAAAGCTTCTAATGATCAAGGCAAGTCTGATTATGGCCTGTTCTCTCCGTTAACTGCCCCGCCTAACTAGTATTTGTCACTCAAATGTCCTGGTGTGATTTTCTTTATTTGAATGCGTTTCACCAACATTAGCTCTCCAACCATCACCAATCATCAATTCTTCAAGTCTCTTGTCATTTCTGTCTTCTGTTAGATAATATCACTGCGTTAGAAAATTGCATTTTTTCAAAAAATCGAGTTCAAGCTTGAGACGCTCAACGACATATTTTCTACAGTTTTTGGCCTCCATGACACAATTCGATCTGGCAATTTCCCTTCTAGAGTTTTGAAGACATGATAGTAATTTTTTGTTGTCCTTTGATTTGAATCTGACCACTTCCACATCTGACTGCTCAGTTATTTTTCGTAAGTATCTTTTTGGTCTAGCTCAATGGTACTGTATTAGGTTTATCAAGTGTTCTTCATTCATAAAGAAAACATCACTTTTAAGTAATAAAACTTGAAAACTCTCAGAAATCTTAGGTTCTTTAGTTCCTAATATTTTAATTGTTTATTCTTTTAGGAATCAGTGTAGTTAGGAAACCAGACATGATTTTTTTCTATCAAACTTTTTAATAAACACTGATTTCCCTGTTAGTGCACAGAGAGTTGTCTTTTGAATCTCAAATGCTGTCTTGATTCAATAGCCACGTATATTTACTGTATGTTGTAAACCTGTAATTTTGTCTTCGATGTTAATTTTTCTCCTCTTTTACTTGTATTTTTAGCATTTTCCATTTTTTTTAGATTTTTTATCAGAAACCCTTTTCAAAGATTCAATGAAGAACGACACATGCTATCAACTTCTTTCGGACAAAGAAAAACAAGTAAGTATCGACGAAGATTTTATTGCTATCATCGCTATTGTCATATGATTGAAGAAGAAGTAAAATCAATTTTAGAAAAATCTAAGAATTACCTATTTTCTTTCTTTAGTTATGCTGCAGTTTGAAGATGAAGTGTACTCGCTACGTTACCATCAAAGGAATTTTACTAAAGGTATTTGTTACAAGGATGTATATATTATAGACAAATAGTTAATCCCAGGATGTACATATAATAGACAAATAAAATCACTTTCATGGTGAACGCATGCAAGAAATATTTTTATTGCTGTGTTGATTTAGCTATGCTCTTCAGAAACGGCCTTTGGTTTTCCACTTTGGAGGCAATTCGAGATATATATTGATTGTCTCTTCACTTCCGCTTCAGTCATAAGTTTTTTACATGTTTACAAATCTTTCACTGTACGTTTTCTGGTATGTTTTGATTTTCTTTTAAAAATCTACCTACCCTAGGATTACGTCGCACGGAAACATGGCATACAGTCAAAAACGCGATATCCACCGAACTTAACGAAACAGCAACGAAGAACAATCGTCGAGTTTCTGAATGAAGCCGGCTGGACAACTGAACAAAAACAGTGATTTGTCAACTTAATCTGGTTTTACAAACTATATTTCTAGGGTTAAGGATAGGCCTGTATTTGTATGTAACTCAAACTTGAAAAACTGTATAACAATTTACATATGCCCTGTAAACGGTAATAGAATTGTCAAATATTTATTATTGCGATACCCGGTGACTTTTTCAGATCTTGCCCAGAAGCTCCATTGCGATAAGCAAAGACTTCTTAAGCGACGGCGTCACAATAATGAATTTTTTTAGAAAATTTTTTGTTTTGGTCCCATAACCTGAAAGAGCATCAAGGAACACTTGTGTAATATCAGTTAAATGTGATACGAATTGGCTTAGATATGGTCACATGAGCACAGGCTCGTTTCCCATCAAACCTTTGCAATTTCGTCTCTGTTTATATCTTTATGGACAGAGCCAAAATAACATTAATCCATTAGCAAAGTTCAAATATCTTATTGGCCATATCCCACCCGATTTTTGAAATATTTAACTGATTTTGCATATTTAGAGGTATTTCACGGTGTTCTGTTCAAAATTCAAGAATTCTAGAATAAAATTATGACATCAGTGTTGATAAGATTGGAGCAGACATTGTCATTCCTACTAGTAATCAACAAAAGAACATTGATAATAATAAATAAGGACAGTAACTTGCGGATGAAAGTGACTTTTTCAAAATTTGTTCCCTTCGTCTTTCAATCCTCTTTACTTTGAAAGTAAATTCAGTCTGTCAACTAATGAAATAATTGATTTGATGAACTAAATTGATTATGAACATTTTTAAAAGGGTTTTCAATTGCTTTATCGAGACATGAGATCTTGTTGATGTAAAAAAACCAAAAGGTCAAGGCTTACGCCTGATTTTGTGTCTAAGCATCTAGGCAAGTTCTCAGCTTACCTGAGTTAAAACTTGCTGCAGTAGATAATAAATATACTTAAGGCTAAGAAAGATGCTTTCAAAGGAAAGTCTTGTGTAGTATGATTATCAATGGTGATCAATGATATGGATTACTACAGTTAGCATTTTATAAAAAAGATATATAAATGTCAGGAAAAAAATGTGTCTGTGAATCTTCAATTGGATTATTGCTAACAGTTATTTTGCAAAGGTTTGCCTTTTCTAATAACGTTAGACATGTTTTTTATATTTTATACAGAGTGCCATTTGAATTTCTTCTTATAAAAGAACTCATAAATAGTTAACAGTTCAAATGTTCAGGCAAAGTCCCATTCTTCGAAATTCTGAATTCAAACCAACCCGGCATTAAAAGGTGTCAAAAGTAAGTTTCAAATTTTTGAAAAATGTTTGCTTTCGTGGCTTTTTTATTTTGCTGAGGATGTTAGTTTCCTTTAAACCAAAGATCTTTTTAGGCAAGTGCTACATTTTTCAAAAGTAAATCAATGTATCAGTGTAAAACATTGCTAGAATTTTGTTCATTCAAGTGGATTCTACAGTTTTACAGCACAAGTAAAAGACACGGAAAAAACACTGAATAAAAAGACCAATGGTGACGAAAGTGTCTCTGAACAGGGAATATGGAAAGGATTTCAAAGTGTCAGTGGCACAGGGAAAGAGGCACACTGTCTCAGAAAAGGGGCACTTTCAAAATAGATTTAAGCAGTAAGCAACGCAATGCTCCGAGAATAAACAACAACGAACATTTTCAAGAGGTACATCTAACCGAAGGGGAAAATTCAAAAGAAATTGAGGACATGTGTCCCTTATTCCCGAGGTCTCGGTGCCCATGTATTGGACTCGAATTCTGACAAGATCCGGTATAGAAAAGATGCTGAAATACATTTTTGCAGATGTTTCTATAACAAAGAATGAAACGATGTATAAACATATATTACAGAATAAGAACTGAATATTGACTACAATTAATAACATTTGTTTCTGATTTGTTAATACATTCACTTGTGCATCATGGGAATATTAAACAGTCCATTACATGGATTTTGCAATGTCCTCAAGGTGATTGTTTGTTTCGTCGATTTCATTACTGATAAGAAAAGCATTGGCTGCACATTAATGATGTTTTGCTATACGTAGCTCATTTACATATTGATCAGATGATTATTTTTAATTCATTTGAAATTTTATTAGTTCTTAAATCGAATTTTTTTCACAAAGTCCCTTAAAGGTAATAATTTACAAAGAACTAGTCACAGTAATCTAGTTTACACTAAAATAAACTAATTAACATAGTTCACATTGAAGGTTATCTTAATTGATATAGTCCACAATACCCTGGGTTCCAGAGCGTCAAGTGTAGCAAGTGGGGCGTCGAGGCGCAACCCCCTATTTCCTCGACGCCCTATTTTCTCGACACTGACGCTCTGGAAACCAGAATAAGTCCACGGTCGAATTCAAATAATTAAATTGAAAGTTTGCTAGAATATCTTGACCTTGAGGAAATAGCCATTGTTCTGCAGAGAGGCCTGTAATTTGTATATGAGACATTTTGCCCAATTTTTGTTGTTTACAAAATCTTTAACCACTTCTTTATGTTCACGTGTTTACATAGCCCTTTGAACCTGTACCGTTTTTTCTTCTTTTTGAACCATAAGGTTGCAGTGAAAAACATTTTTAAATAAAAGGTGATTTCTGAAAGACCTTGAAGATTTCTGAAACAAAAGGAAGACTTGCATCTCAAAAGTTTCCGCTTATTCAAGTTTTTCTGGTCGTTTTGTGAAGCATTACATAGGGATCAAATAACAGACATGCAAAAATTTTCGGCAATGCCCAGGTTTGATAGATTTTAAAACCTGTTCAGAACATAAAGGAAAATCTAACGTGAAACTTTTGTCTCTAAATTAGATCCCGTCTTTATCTGTAGCAGTATAACCTAAAGATATAATGTGTATCGATGAATTTTTTAATAAACACTAGAAATTGCCTATTGTTGGAAAATCTTATGCCATATGCTAGGTACGCTACAATCCAGCTCTTTGTTGATTTCCAGTTCAAATTGTTGAAAAAAAATTCCATTAATGACAGAGCTTTAACTGCCTACCCAGCAATGACTGGGTAAAACCCTTGGCCCAGCTTATCTGGTCCTTGTCTTCTCCGCTATCTTACCGAACTAAAAATAGAGTGCCCTAAATGCAGATCAATAAATAGATCTAACTTAACAAGTCCTGAATTATTCTAATTCCTGTTTAAACCAAAAGCTTCCCAGCAGCTTCAGTTCAGTGTTGATAATTTTGGGATTCCATTGTTGATATTTTGATGTGAAAGGAACATGGAACATTCTGTAGAGCGAACAACTGCAAAGTGCGATGCCTTTCATTTTGTCTTTTTACTTTTTCTCATTGACACTGGGCCTCTTCCTTTGTTTTCAGGACTATCTTTATCTTTGCGTCGCAACAGATCTTGTTTCTCTATATATGCCTTAAAGTCTGCAAGAAAATAATTTTAGATATCACAAAAAATTGTAATGATCTACTGCTCTTTGCTGCGCTGAAAAGGGGAAAAATCAGTTTGCTGGCTTATCGGCTTAAAAAGTCAAAACAATTAAGTCTCAAAGTGGATCATTTCTATTTGTTGGAAAATTTTTCCTAATATCAAATACAGTGAAATCCCGAAACATCGAATTTTGAGGCTTAAATCAGAGTAGTAATTTGAGGACTAGCTATCAGTCTGTTATACTGGCAGCTTTTTATACGGGGTTGGGGGGGGGGAGTGGCATGTGGCAGGGTCTAGGGTATAGACTAGATAATTTATTGATTCGGAATTCTATTTATCGAAAACCCTTGCCAAAATGTTGGAACATCTACAGTTCTAGATAAACTTTATAGTAGAAAAATCACTAAAACGTCTCGTACACTTTGTTGAAAAATTCTGACAACCTGCAAAATATCAAAAAGTCTTCTGAATAAATCTCAAAAAATCGGCAACATCTTTAAAAAGTCAGAGAAACAAAGATCTCGTACATTTTTTTCCTAGCGATTTGCCCTCACACAAAATCTTTGCAGTTTTTTAAGCTCCCCCCCCCCCCCAAATACAATATTGCTTAATATCATCATTGCATGATTGTTAGTGGCAATCTAACTAGGACAGGACGGAAAAACACTTGAAAGAACTGGCTACTGATAGACCTAACATATTGAAGAGGGGAGGGGAAGAATATAGCAACAGTCTTGGTGTCTTTCAATTGAATTCTGTCATTTTCAACTTGTTAACCTAAATATTGTTGACATCATACAATCAATGTACAAGTAAAAAATCAAACCGAGGTAAAAAATCAATGTACAAGTAAAAAATCAAATCAAAGGACTTTGGTGACAATGCGATTGTAATTCAAGATAACCATATAATCTTTTAAGAAGGTACACCTCTAGAGTCCTATCTTTATTAAAATACATTTGTTTCATATTTTTATCTATATTTCAAAAAGGATTTTAAAACTTACGATTTATAGAAATGAGTCCTTCTTCGTCATCTGTGTCAATAAAGGAAATCATCTCTCGCAATTCAGCTGATGAATGTTGCTGGCCAAAACTCAGAAAAACTCTCTCCAGTCCTCTTATTGTAATATAGCCATTGTCTTCATCGTCAAATACACGAAAACATTGTTCAACACTGTCATCTTGTATTGGAGCTTTTATTGTTTTATGCATGAAGTTTAGGAACAACATAAAATCAATCTCTCCTTTGCCTGTAAGGTGATATAAAACATAGCCATTATAATAATGTAAACCTTTATCACAATATAATACCAAGATTCGTTAACAATTTTGCTTTCTCACTTAAGCTCTTCAGCTACAAAGGGGGTCGGTAACTGGATGCTTATTGGCTAAAGCAAGGAACCAATCAAATGCAATATTCAATCTATCTGGTTTTTTGATCAAATCGTGGACTTCAATTGACGATTACCTTGCATTTCACTCGCTGAAGTATAACGGAGGAGAAAGTTTTTCCAGTGCAAAATGTTTGCAGATTTTTACACAATCATAAAATAACGATGCATCTCCATCAGATTTTTTATATCTCAAATTGTGCATTTGTGGCACAAGATTTTGCCTCATTTGTATGCGTGTGTGTATCATAAGACACTTTTTGCTGGTTTTATTTTATCCGTGTTTTACACGAAACAAAATATAAAATTTCTATCAAATAATATTTTTATGCCTTGTAATCCTATAAATTTACACGCTGCTACATTACCCATTTCGAATCCGAGCAGGCAGCCTGCAGCAAAGAATAAAAAATCTGTTGATAGCATCAAGTTTCAGATTTAAAGGCTTTTTAATGTTGATTCAATATGTTCTTTGGGTGATGAAAGGAGAGAAAATTAAAACTTCGACGTCATTAAAACTTCGATTGTTTGATGTAACTTTTTGGGGCCCCTTTAAGCTAGGAGCGTGGAGTAGTCTGCCCCTATCCCCTTCTCTCAGCGGGCCTGAATATGACGGTTTATTACTGTTTATACCAAATATTGATGACACGCATTTAGAAAAATTTCTAATTTCTTGTCTCAGTTTAATTGTTACATGGCCAGACAGATTCTCATACCGCTCTCTTTTGTGCCGCCTTTAGAATAAAATTTCCTTGCTGTTACGTAGCTCCCTTGCTTTACTAATCAGATAAATGTTTCCAGTTTCTTACCATCAGGGTCTATCTCTAGCATCATCTCGTGTATATCCTCGTCATCAGGATCTTCTCCTACTGATTTCATCAATGCCTTTATTTCCATCGGAGAAACTTTCCCCTTTCCACTTTTATCGCACAACTTGAAACATTCTTTCAGCTCTGGTGATAAAGAAAAAAATGTTGTTCTAAAAGTTTTTCTAGCTGCATTTACATTAAAAGGCCTAAGGAATGGCGCAACCCGGTAAAAATACATATGTTTTTTACTTTTCATTGTTTTTCTTTTATTCTTCTTGTCAGAGCGCAGCAAATGATAACTTTACATCCAGTAAGTACAGAATAGGCCCATTTGATAATCACAAGGGTTTGGGAGCAAACTTTGTTTATGTTTTTGTAATACGAGCGTTACTTCAAACGTTAATTGTAATACGAGCATTGAATAGTTGTTACTTCAATACAATGTATTTTGACTTTTCATCCCTTTATGGATGTAAAATTTTAAGTTGAATTGTCTAGCGGACAGAAAGTTGCGGGTGCAAAACAATCTGACTAGATGCATCTTTTAAATAAGCTGTTTGAGTTGCTTCACTGTGCTGCTTGGAAATCATATGGCACTCATCACGTTTATTGCAATTATTATAGGTATAAGTTTGAAATCATAATGCTTTCCTCTTTTTATCAGCATCCTTGTTTCAGGGTCAACCCATTTTTCATGTCTACGATATTTTTGTGTATATGTGATACATTTTAATGGTATTTTTAAACATTTCCTATTGTCGTTTAACCAGTGACAAGAAACATGTAAAACATTGCTTGTTTGAAATAAAAATAAATGTAATACCTTCAAACTGTTCTCTGCTCAAGTTCATCTCATCGCACTAAAAGTAAATGGAGTGAATGTTATATAGTTGTAGCAACTAAAAAAGCTTGATTGATAAAACCAATTGAAGTATTTCATGAAATACCGTGTCATTGTTCCAATGTTATTCTTTCCTTCAACAACGTTGATGAAATTTTTGGTTGCTTCAACTTTCATTAAAATCATTCTTTTGTTAATGCCTTTCTTTTTCATTTTTCATTTCAGGTGCATTGAAATTTTCAGATTTGTAAAGGAGATCAGGGCCGACAGGTTTTATGAATGGGAGAAAGATGCAAAACGAACAAAAACGATAAACAAGTGACTATTGAGTATGACAATCACATTTAGGCATTGCTTGATTATTTTGCTGACAACATCAATTCTACATTTGGATGTCTATTAAGCAGGGACGTCAGAAGAACTTCGAAAAAGGAAAAACAAAGGTAGAAACGGAAACTCTCTCATAAAAACAGGTACTTTTTCAAATGTTCCAAGAAAGGCACGTTTAAAAAGAAGTGGATCTGGTACCCCATAGTGCCCTCCAGTTCTGATGTCTTCTCTGTCATCAGAATCTTGGCTTCCGTAACATTTTTCCTTGTAGGCAAATAACTATTTTCTTTGGTCGTGTAATGATATAACTGAGGCTTCCTGTTGCAACGGTGGTGCAATAAAAACCGGAAACTTTCACGCCGGTAAAAAACTTGTTATCGGCTAGCAAGTCGCATTTTGTCATCCTCAAATACTTTCTTTTCTCGCATCGCAACGTTAGATAGAAAGCATTTACGATTATTGTTGAGATGTTTCTGTTTTTCATACTACGCTCTAGCACCGAGAGTGGCCGAACATACGTAAATCTGTTTTGCCTCTGCTTCAATTTACTTCAATCTTCTCAGAGTCAGGGAAATGCTTGAGGTAGATAGTTAGAAACATTCAAGACAAAAATGACATTTCTCTTGCACTTACCAGCTGCTTATCGCTGTCATTGAGTTGCTCTTTGGCCTCCTCGGTTTCTTTTGGGAGAGCAGAATAGTGGCTGCCCCAGTAACTCATTTTAATGTTGCTTTCTTGTTTTTTCAATCTCCTTTTGACATTATATCCAAAATATTTAGAAGAGTTCTGCTCGATCACGTGCTGTGCCTAATTTCCAAGATTAATTACTTTTTGAAGTATCGATGCCTTCATGTATATTTTTACTTGTTGTGGTCCGACCACTGGCATAGCTAACGGGTTACTGTATTCTCACACTTGAAGTCAATTTGTCTAATCCATTTTAGATGACCTCGTCCTATTCAAATGAGAGACTCGATGCAGGTTGATTTTAATGTTTAACTAATATACCTAGTGATGAAATTGTCTTGCCCAGCCAGAGTTATTGAATCAAATTGACTATCAAACGACAAACAGCACCGCTATTGGCAAATGTTGACCATCTAGGTCAGTTTTCGATCACAGAGAACCTCTGAGATAAGTATTTTGTTAGTATTAGATTATGAAATTGTGAATATGTAAGGGAGGCTAAGGGAGTCTGAGGGAGGCTAAGGGAGGCTAAGGGAGGCTAAGGGAGGCTAAGGGAGGCTAAGGGAGGCTAAGGGAGGCTAAGGGAGGCTAAGGGAGGCTAAGGGAGGCTAAGGGAGGCTAAGGGAGGCTAAGGGAGGCTAAGGGAGGCTAAGGGAGGCTAAGGGAGGCTAAGGGAGGCTAAGGGGGGCCAAGGAGGGCTCAGTCCCCTTGCTAAAATTCAGAGAGATTATTGGGGAGTCTCTTCATTTTCAGCTCCCTTAACAAGTTTGTTCCCATTTAGTTGGCCGAACTCTGCACTTGCAATACTTTATATAGATTTATCATGAATGAGCAATTTTTTGTTTTGTGGCATTGAATAGTTTGAACGATTCCTTGACACAACAGAGAATCGTTTAAACAAATGCAAATATATTAGGTATGATAAAGGTGTGACCATAGGTGTGGTATCTTGAATTCTTCTACAGCCCAGGCCCCTTCCTAACTTTTCAGTACGGCGCCCCCTGCAAAATCTCTGGGCTAGCAAGGGGACTCGGGTCTTTGCTAGGGGCCAGCAAGAGTAATTTTAGCAAGTTTGTTTTCATTTTGCAATAAGAATAGACCCTTTATAGTAAAAGCTACGAGAAAAATATTATTTTCCCTTGACTTCAACTTAGACTAATTGATCTTCTATCTATGCCTAAGTTTAAAATATGTTGCTAACTAAATATGTTATTCGATGAATTCAAGTTTCTTTCCACATGGGTAACAGAATTTATTTCTTCCATAACGTAAAAATATGAATTATATGTATAACTTCTCTAGAAGCTTTGTTTCTGCCAACTGGCTTCTGGCTGTATCACGTTTTGAACGCATTGCATTTTGTCGTTAATTGACGCTTTCTTTCTTTTGTTATTCAAAAAGGGACGATCAGAAAACATTTTTTCAAAGCTTTATTAATGCAACATCGTATTATCTACAAACATACCGAATTGCAAATTTTATGACCATAATCGACATCTTTAGGTGAACTGGATTGGTTAGAAAATTGTTTCATAAACTTTTGGTCCATTGAGGCTATTGGGAATCTATCTCGGAATCAAGTAATCTATTGGGTAACCTCCTCACAGGCTGACATACAGAGTCATACTACAAAAAATCTAATCTTATAATAAGAGCTTTGTTCCTGAACCAAAAATATTCTCATTGCAGGAGATTTGTTCCATTGTTCTCATCTGCAAGACCATGAGTTTTGACTCAAGAGGTAATTACAATGACTTTTATGTCGGTTATACATTTACCGTAAACTCTCTTTTTAGCCCCCCCGGGGAACTTGAAGTTTTTCAGCACTTTGAAGGGGGGTTTATAAATAAGGGGGGCTAAATCGAGAGAGGGGGCTTAATAAATATTTTGTAATAAAATACCATCTATGGTGGTAAAATTTTTTGTTATTTGCGAAATAAAAAACATCAAATCAGCCTTCTATATCAATAATATTGTCATCGTCATCGTCAATAATTATTAATTCTAGAGACATGGTGTGAATTTCGATTTGATGCGAAGAATTGAACGACCAATGAATGAAATGAAAATCTCTGTTTTTTGTCAAGTTTACTTATTTTAACATCAGTGAAAATTTGGGGCGGGGGCTAAATTGAGAGGGGGGCTAATTAAATTTTTCCTTCTAAAAAGGGGGCTTATAAAATTTTTCTTTCTGAAAAGGGGGGCTGATAAGAGAGAGGGGGCTTAATTGAAAGGGGGAGCTAAAAAGAGAATTTACGGTATATAAGGAAAGGTAAAATATATTAAACCACACTTTTGCCATAGTGTTTAACTGTAAATGTAAAAGGAAGATAAGTCATAAAATAAAGTTACGATCTCTCAACTCAGCGACAGAGGACGACACGAAGAAAACAACAAATTCAGCAACATGAACAAATCTCTAACTTAAACTCGTCTAATTTCTGCTACTCCACGTCTTGCTTCTTTCTCTTGAGGTCATTAACTTCTAGCTAATACGGCGTCGGCTTCTCGGCTAAAGTTATGTCTCTTTGATTAATCGGCAACGTCTTTCTCTAAAACTATGTTACGCCCTAACTGGCTGCAAGCCGTGGAGCATGCTTAAAAACTACCAACAAAACAAAACAAAACATCAACATATTACCAAATGTTAATTAATTTCCCCACACACTGATCACGTTGACATCACGCGTAGTGTCCAGTTCCTTGCGTGTGTCTCCGACAAATATACTACAACAAGCAATTATATTAAGGTGCGAATTAGACTTCAAAGAGAAGAAAAATATTTCAGGACGTAGTATGGGCCACTCAAGTCTTTTTTAAGGAAAAGAGAAGATCAATAGCCTATTGTTTAGAGCAGTGGATGGTCACTGGGGCTGGAGATGCAATTGCCTTCTTTTGGATTCTCTTCCCCATGCAAGCATTGTTTTAGAAAAGATGGTCTGTTCTGATTGTGAATTTTTTTACTTGAAGTGACATCCATAATTAGATATTTCTTATTTCTGACCCCGCTCTCCCAATACAAAGTCTTGTCACTAATCCCACCATTTTGCAAATTTGTTGGAAATTGGTTGAAAATTTTTAATTGGTTTGGGTATCACTAAACGGTAAAGGTAAATGTTTGTCCTGTATTCGATATCGAACGTTGGGGAATGCGATGTTGAGGGGTCATCGTAGAGTGGCCACCACGCACTGCCGTAGTATGTTTCAACCAGGTTCTCACTGTCTGCTGAGTGAACTGAGGGCTGTCCGCAAGTCGATACTTATTGATACTTATTGAGATGGGTATCGATGCTTATTAGAAAAAATTGTCCTTAGTCTGTAATCATTCTCAGGGTTCCCCTGTCAATTCAATTTCACTTGCCAGCACTATTTCTTGCTTCTTGTACTGCGAACAGAACGCGGTCTTATGTATGGATCTACGTCATCGTCTCTTCTCAGCAACTTTTCACCTTCAAGATACTTCTTAAAATCTGGAAAGATTAGACAAAATTATTATTAAAACACAGTGCTATTGTAAAAAAGGGCGGAGAGGAAGTGGTCTCACATAACACATATCGAAAACATTAAAAGGCAACAATGATTATGATGCTGTGATTGAAATACAAATGTATGTAATTGGAGAAAAGTATGTAATTAATATAGTTCTCTAAAATCTATACTGCCTTTCTCACAAACTGGACGATAAAAATTTGCATTAACACTAGTTTTGATATCTAAATAGACAGCTATAATTGCATAATTCTTTACATCAGTAGTATATTATTTTCATATATTGAAGATGTTTTAATCCACTTCGGCTATTTAAATACAAAAATTAGCCTTTTAAATGCACCTTTTAACATATATAAGAGAATGATAATCAAATTTCAAAATTTGTATTGAAATCGGACTGTTAAAATGAATAGAAGTTGAGACTATATCAAAACTTGGTAAAGTAGTGTTTATGTCCGTGCAGCTTGCAAAACCCTGTCCGACTTTCACAAAAAACTCGCTAAGCAAATTTTTAGCAAGATTACTAGCTAAGCAAAGGTAGTTCCACGAGCAATTGGGGGTGACAATAGCACCCAACAAAGCATTATCAACCCAATAAACTTTTTATCAAGCCCGGGATGAGGAAGAAATTATAGATCTTCGTTCGGATTAGTCAAATCGTTCAACGGGAATTCTCTATTGCCACTTCTTGTAGACAAGAGCAAAAAATATTAGAAATTTGCCATTACGTTGCCTATCTTGGCTGTAATATGCTTAAATTAATGATATATTTGTTGTTATAATATTTTTTATCATCATTATTACATTGGCATGAATTCCTTAGCTTCAGTGACTGTGATGTTCATACGCTCAAGTGGGTTACTGAGCTTTTGCTGGCAATTCAATAATGTTAACAGATAGCAAACTCACATTCGATTGTGACAAGTCCTTCTTCGGCATCTGAATCGATGAATGAAATCATGTCTTTCAATTCTGTTGTAGAGCACTGCTGGCCGAGACTCAGAAATACTCGCTCCAGACCTCTTATAGTGATATATCCATTCTCATCAGAGTCGAATACTTTAAAGCACTGCTCCATATTTGCATCTGTTATTGGTTGTTTAACATTCTTGTGCATTACATGCACAAATTCCATGAAGTCAATTTCCCCATTTCCTGATAAAAGTTTAGCATTTGTCATAAATCGTGAGGCTAAAATATTTAGCATCATTTTTGAAAAAGACTTTTCAGCATATACCAGCCCTTTGTAACTTTTCAGCATAAACCAGCCAGAAAAAACCTTTGTAATAAATTGGGGGCATTTCGTAACTTCTGGAAATCGTAGGGGAGGGATGGCTTCCTGGGTATACATTTCTGATATTTTTAGTCATAGCAGTGATTGACCAATAGTGAAGTTAGTGAATAAAGTCAACACTGTGGCATCTACAGTGGTGTGGCAACGGGATAGATTGGGTTAGACACGTCCACCAAAGTCTTTCCAAAGGTCGATCTTCTAACATCTTGAGATCTTTTGAAAAATTTTAGGGGAAGGGGTTAATCAGATCGATTTCGATTTACGTTCTTGCAAGAAAGCCTCAATGGAAAAAAATGCTGCTTGAATAAGTTACTTTTCTAAAAGTTGAATGTAGATAAAAAATACTAAAGAAGGCGATTTCCGCGAGGCTATCGTCGAGCGAACCCCAGTTTTTCAAGCTGGCGACGCCACTGGTCATCTACCCACCATCATAAAGTGTTGGACAAAAGCTTGGCCTAAATCCAGCTTACAAACAGTAACAAGTTTTTAACTCGCTAGAAGAAACTTTTCCATTTGTTGCTGATTTGATGTCATATGAATGTTATGAACATGTAGTGAATAAGCTTTGGGGATGCCATATTTGTAAGCACACTAAAATGCTGAAGTTGTCGAGTTGTAATCATTGTTCTTTGAGCTGACTATATATAATCAAACCTATGCGTGTAGCATTATCATAGCTGCATCTTTATACCTACTTTACCATTCATCTATGTTAAAAGCTTCCATTTTCAAAAGAGGTCTTCTTACCATCCAAATCGACTTCGTACATTATCTCTTGAATATCTTCACCATCAGGATCGTCACCAACAGATTTCATGAGTGCCTTTAATTCTACTCCGGTGAGCGTTCCCTTCCCACTTTTGTCACATAATTTGAAACATTCTTTGAGCTCTAAAAAGCGGAACTGAAGTCATTTTCACTATGTTTTCCCTGAATCAATAAATGGGTCTACAAGAGTTAGCACTTTCAAAAATTATTTGAAATAAGCATTCTTGTTACAACAAAAAAGAATTCTGTGAAATCTTCATGTTTTTCAAGATGTTCAAAATTTATAGACACAGAAACAAAAGCCCTAATCTTTGGTTCAAATCTTATGGATATTTTTTCATATTCATTTTCATTTATAATTGAATCAAAATATTGGAAAAGTTTTTGCTACATTTTATATGTGAGGATGGCTTAGTGGCTAGAGGAGCTAACTACTGACCCAAGGGTCTGTGGCTCGAGACCTTGCCATGACCAACCTTTAACCCAATGATAGGAAAGTCACCAGCTCTCTGTATTTCCATAGGTATGAACCACGAAGTGATGTCACGTCAAGAGAAAGGACCAGGACACTGCTCGGAAAGCATAGCTTTTCTGTGTCCTAAAAACTACCTTCGGGTGCTTGGTAGCAAATATAATACAAGACAACTGACTTAGGAATCTTACCTTGAAATTGCTCTTTGGTTATGTTTAAGGAGCTGCGCTGAAAGAAATATTACATCGTATTTAATCGAATGTTTGGTCTTAGATGAATAACTTCGGTTAGATTGGAGACTAAAGAACACCTGTAGCACATAACTTTGTCACTGCGCAAATCTTCACCAACGTTCAAAGTCGGGGTTTTCTTTACAAGAAATCTGGACCAATCAAAGCCTTTGACTTTCTGCAAAAAATCTTTCTTTGGCAAAACTACATGTATATGAAGTAGAGAAGTCTCTTTTAGTCATACAAGCCTATCTGTCTAACATAACACAGAGAGTCACAGTAAAAGGACATTGCAGCTTTTGGGGTGAGTATGGCATAAAGTAACACAGGGATCAATACTTAGACCTCTTCTCTTCAATATTTCCTAAATGAAACTTTAATGAAATTAGAGAAGGGGCTTTATGAAATTTTGCTGCTATTAACATTAACACAATTTTAGTCACGACAGCAAATCGCTCTAAATTTCAAGATCTCATAATCGGCAATAAAGATAAACTTGTGCTTATGTATGCTTACTGCCCGTGTTCTTTCGGCAGTAAATCATCTATATTTTGCAATTCTATGCAGTCCTATGCAGTTGCTCAAAGTCTGTAACAGTCCAAGTTCACTTTTGTAAAAACTAGATTTAATAATTCATGCAATACAATACGAAAGGATATGATGTAATACAATATAATGCATTTCAATACAAAAATCCTTTGTCTGAAATCATTTTCTTTTTTATGAAGCTGTAAAATATATAAGTTTTTTATGTATTGATCTTGAAATAGGCGTTTGTATATTTTTTGAAGGAGTTTACAACTGCCTATTATGTAACATGATAGAAACAACAAATGCCTGGAGGAGCAGTCTTTCATTGTATTAGTTTTGAATGTACATAGGCAGTACAAGCTACGCACGCAGTACCTTTTCCAAAGCCAAAAACGAGATAAATTTTGTCTACAGCTGCTGAGACAAACTTCTAACATATTCAGCTTATATACACAGTCAACTGTACGATCAGAGTTGGTCAAAACTGGATAAGTAATGAAAGAATGCTTTTATCAAAATAGGATTATAATTAAGAGAATCTCGATCTTAAGCTAATCAACACTCACCCCCTGCCTCCAACCTCAAAACTAGGGTGTATATATTCAAAAAGCAAAAATGTACAATCAACGTGAAGATGAGGAATTTGAAATCTCAATCAAAACAATGGAGCCCCACTATTAAAGGCAGTCTGTCCCCTTCGTGATGCTCAGGGAAACTACGCTATTGTGATTCTTCATTCTGAAACAGGGACGAAAACAAGTTGCTAATTTTGGGGGGGCGTGGAAGTATGAAAATTCCAACTTCAAGTGATAAATTTTTCATTCGACCAGTAGATCTGTTGTACCTACCAAATTGATATTTGTAAATAGCCCGAGCACCATAGTTCTATTTTCTTTATAATTACCAAATCTTTACTCAATAATTAGCCTAAAGCATAAAAGCCTAAAATCTCTAAATTTTGATTAACATGAAACAAACATTAAACATACTGTAAGAAGTAAAGCAACATTTAAGCAAAACCAGTATTAGATATACTTAATGATTAGTAGTATTCTTTCAGATCAATTGATCAATTTTATCTAAAATACATTTTTTCACGATATAGAAGCACCAAGAATTTGGGCCTTTTATTTTCGTTCTTGATCGAAGAAAACTACTTTTAAACTTTTCAGAGGGCCAAATGCCTTTTCATTCTTTACAATTGAAATGATGATTTGAGAACAAACTTGTGCATATTTGTGCATATGCCTGATTCGAAAGATGAAATACTCTTCTTTGATCAAATACTTCTACTGCAGTTTTTGCAATGTGTTCTTGCTCCACAGCAGTTTTGTCATATGAATTTATGATAAGGACTCAAGGACATTAACAAATAACAGGGGGAATTTAGCATAAACTCGTTTTTTATAAGAAGCGTTGAGAATTTTTAGTACTGAAAGATTCTTAATCTTTTATTGAATTAACTACTCGTAGTTTTTAAAAAAATTCCCACTCTAATATTTTCTGATCAATGCGGGTATTATTATTCCAAACTGTAAGTTTCAAGTATCTTATCCGTAAGTTCACCTTGCCTGTTCGTAATTTGATTCAACTCCCGTCAGAAAGAAAGAAAAAGAAAACGGGGCAAGTGTGCAATTTGGATCCAGTGGAGACGGGATTCACAATAGAAAACGATTGGATGGGTCAGCTTCAGCCTGTGAATTTTAATGTTTAGAATTTTTATATTTAAAATAAAAAACTTCTTAAAATATAAAATTCACAAGTTTGGTCCTAAGAAAAAAATTCCAAGTCAACCGCTACGTTTTCCAACTGTAACTGGATTTTCCAAACTTTGGGGGGCGTTACGCCCCCCACGCCCCCCTATTATTTACGTGCCTGTTCTGAAAGTTTATTTGTGCATTAAATCAACGATACATGAATATCGTGACCATGAAAAGAAATTCTGGGGGACGCACTGCCTTTAAGAATTCTGTAGGGATTAACAGAAAAGTTTATAAAAGCAGGCGATCGTAATACCGAGTGTTCGTTATAAGGAAGGTATTCCAAGCAGTGGCGTTTCTACGGGGGGCCAGGAGGACATGGCCTCCAAAAAATTTTTGCCCCTTGTTTGTACCCCCCCCATCCCAGTTTTTTTTCCAAAGTTTCTATTAAAAATTCAATGTTTTCTTCCAAAGCTGTTGAATCGTTTTTTGACTTTGTTGAGTTGCTCTTCCTATTTTGCTCAATGAAATTTTTATTGTATTTATTTAACAAGCTAGGGGCCATGATAAGCGTTTTGATTGCAATCGAGGTGAACATATATGAAATTTTAGCTCCTTTTTGTAGTTACCAAATTTATTCTTGACGATCATTTAAATTCTGTATTTGTTATATATTATCACGAAGCTACACCTTCTTGGGATGGGGTGCGGCAGGGTAAGCCCAAAACAAGATTCTCCGCGTCCCACTGAAAACCCTTCTCGCTCTGGAACCCAGCGCAGGGAAATGCCAATATCATCCCAGTATACGTTGGCAATCTGCAATTGCTTATCGAAATTCTCTGATTTGAAAGTCTGTGTAACAGAATGATTTACTTGATCGCATGGAGGTTGGATGTAAGACATAATTACTATGGAAGAATTTTAGTCAACTTTTCAAAGCTGTGAGCCTTTAATTTTTAGAAGTATAGTTCTTCTGTTTAAATTCTAATGTTCATGATGCATTATTGTCAAACAGATGAAACTTGGTAGAGTAACGGACAAAATTTACCTTAAGTTAAATAACAAACGGTCCCTAACCTTTAGGGGCCCCCCAACAACAATTTTTCTTTGTTATTTTCCCCGGGGACGCAGCTGCTCGTTTTTATGGGAACCAGGCTTCACGCCACTAATAAAACTTTTTGGCATAATGATAAAAGCCTTGATAGAGCTGTACCAAGGACAAACTAGGGGGCGCTAAGAGTCGGTGTCCTCATAGTTAAATTTGAGTCACCACGCCACTGCTCTACATTCCACTAGTACGCAAATTAATGGCTAGCTGGCCCCGGCTTCTATAACTGAAAGCTTGGTCCCCAGCTAGCCCCTCAGATTTTTAAGGCTAGATACGTCACGAGACTCTAAGTGACCAGACTTTTAGTTCCTAATGACGAGAAATAATCGGGATTTTTTATCACGGGATTCCACGGTAAACACTCTTTCATGCAAATTTGTCTTTAAACTTTGTCTTTCCGTGAATTTATTTACGTGAAGAAATATGTACATCCCCAGGCTTTATGACGGAAGATGTAAACATTATTGCAAACTTTGCCCGCAATAAAAGCATCATAATTTGCAACCAGACTTACCAACTCCATCGTCTGAGCGTCCTCTTGACCCTCCTCAACCCCATCATCCTTCGCCTGTTCGCGAAGCCCGGAGTAATGACTCCCCCAGTAGCTCATCTTTAATCTGCTTAAAATGGAATGATTCTTGCAGTACTCTTTCTGGATTGAAGAGCGATGATCCTATTTGATTGCGTGTAAATCTTATCAAATAACAACTTAAGAGCACACGGGTTTCTGTATTCTGCTTATCAGCTGCATATTGTCCGGAACCGCAAAACAACCGAACCCCGGTAACGAAGTTGTTGATAGCGACCCTCTTTCAGGTAATTCAATGTTAATTTTTTGTGACGGGTACGGGTATTCCTTGTCACAAATTTGATAATTAGCGTAACATAAATTTTTAAATCGGATGCCAGTAAACAAGCCTCGCACAGGAGAGATTTCTTTGCAAATTACATAATTTTTTTAAGAAAGCGTCTATAAGAAAAACCGAGCCATAGAATGACTAAAAAATTAAAAACTCAAACAAAGGACTGTACTGTACATCACCCTAAAACCTCAAGAAATACTCGAAGCTTTTACATGTTTGAAAATGGGATGGGAGTAATTGCGACGCATCAAGCCTAAGTCTTCATGATAATTCATTCGACGACAACACGCTGAACTACATTGGCTAAGAAATCCGATAACCAGATTGATTTAAAAAAGGAAGAATTTCAACTCTTATAAAAGCTTTTTTTGTTCGATAGCTCAAAAAGCAATAGATTATGCTGCAGGGCTTATTCGTACAGTGATAACATTGAGATAAAACTGTTAGACAAGAAGTAGATTGAATTAGATGTTGATAGATAAAGCTTGCAGAAGGAATTTTCCACATAATCATTCTATCTATTGCAATAAAATTCCTTCACATCTACCAATATCTATTTTGTTCTATGATAATTTTCTTTGCAATTGAAACTGGTAAAACAATTAATAAAATACAGGATTGTCTTTTATTTAGTTTTTGTAGTAAAACTGTGCAATTTTGTATATGTTATTTTCATGTAAGAGATATTCTACTGTATGCAATGCTTTGTTGGATACTTTTCAAACTCTATTGAACATACTTAAAAACTTCCCATTGATCATTACCCAAGGAAAGTCTCGCCTTCAGTATAAATTCAATACAGATCCCTCCCTGAGAAACCCTCTATGTGTTCTACTGTTACCAAATAGGTGACCCAGATGGTACGTTTTAACAAGCCTCGTGTTATATAAAACGCAGAAAAGAGACGTCAAGCTTTCAGCTTTCATGAAAATACCATTTTCACTGATAAACAAGATAGAACTTTTAAGTGGTAGCTTACATCAAAACTAGATATTTCTAGAATGATCTATCCAGGTTAAAGACAGGATTCATTTTTGGAGAAGCTTAACGAGGCATGAGTGCAGCGGGTAAAGTCTGCTAGTTTTGATGCCCTCATGCGTGTCCATGACATCTCTGACAAAAGGAGTAAAAACTATGCCATACCTAAGGCATAGATTGTCAAACTGGGGGTGTTTTTACTTCACAACTTATGGTATTGATGGAAATGCACTGACAGGAATTGTGATGTAAAAGATGTGCAAGGCTAGGCTCTATATAAATGGGTTCAATCTTTGTCGATTGCCAAGATCATGAGATCTTAAGATAAATACCTGTTACATAACTGTTGAATAAGTAGAGGTCAGATATATTTCTATGGATTGCTCAAAGGTTTTTGGTATGTCAGCTATGTATCTAATACACGAAACATAGACATTTTTCTGGGCCAAACGGAAAAGTAAATACTTTTATGGCTAATGCTAATAAATGCACGATATTGTCACCACGTCATCATATTTGTTTTGGGATGTCGCTCAACGGCCCTTACTGCTTGGATTGCTTTTCACAGATTCTGGAGCATATGGCTGATTATTCCAACTGTTATCCGTTTCATTGCCAACGTTTTCCCGTCTTCTCAGAAGTTTTTCTTTATCCAAGTAGCTTCTGAAAACTGTTGGTGGAAAAAGATTTTTTACTGCTAAAATAAGGGCAAGGAGATCGTGTTCCTTTTTTAATTTGCCTCTTGATGTCTATCTCATGCTCTAAGATTCGTAGTTAAGTCTTCCTGCATTAAAACCCCTTTAAAATGACATTTATTTCAAGGGATGCCTGCTTGTCTTGGTCTATTACCATACTGAGTTGGGGAGAGGAGAAGTCTAATGTTCTCTGACTGTAAATACGGGGCTAACTCGTTCTATATAAGACTATAATGCATTTTCCGAGGGTCGATAAATAGACTTTGATATCCCCGATAAGTTAACTTATCAGAAGCAAAGAAGACATTTTAAGATATACTGGTTGAAAAACCTATTACTTAAACTATCAGACAGAACTACATGAAATAAACTTTACAGTCTGGAAGTTTTGCTATTCAATATTGTTTGAAAGAGGGGAGGGGTACGCCTCTGAAAAATGCAAAATCTTAGCATAGTGTACAATGACAAGCTTTGTTAATACAAATTCTCGATTACCAGATTTCACGAGCTTATTTGTGACTGTGATTTACCTTCATATTCAATAAGTCCTTCTTCGTTGTTTGCATCGAAAAATTTTAACATATCTTTAAGTTCTTCATCCGTTCGACTTTGTCCTAAACTTGTAAACACTGCATCCAGCCCCTTAATCGTGATATACCCAACTTCATCTTTATCAAAAACTTCGAAACATTGACGAATATTCTCTTCAGTGATCGGCTCTTTTATACTCTTGTTCATCAATTGCAAAAACTCTATGAAATCAATGTGTCCACTACCTGACAAGAAAACAGATGAATATTTCATTGATGTTTTTTCTGTTTACTTGGTCGACTTATAGAAATCACAATCATTGATATTTTCAGTTTTGTAGAATGCAACCTACATTACTTCGATTAATAAGCAGCTACAACAGACTTCAAAAATACAGAAGAAGAAGATCGTGTGATCTATCTAGGTCTGTGTCTTTCAATAATTGAAAAATTGAAACTCCTTTCAAACCTACGCATAAAACAGCAGTCTAAAAATTTCACTTGCTCCAACTACAGCTACCTTATTTTTTCTGCTTGAGAACCATCGCATAAAAAGATTTGGAGCAAAACTACTTTAATGAGAAATAATTTGAATTAGAAACTCTTTCAGATCAAAAGAAAGCCGTTGCTATCCTTTGAAATTGTTTGTTGCAATAAAATACGATGGAAAATTGTTTTTTAACTCACTGTTGTCATCGATCTCATGGAAAATTTCCCGTATATCATCATTATCAACAGTATATCCAACAGATTGCATCACAGCTTTGAACTCCTCTGGGGTTACGTATCCTTTTCCGCTTTTGTCGCATATTTTGAAGCACTCTTTCAATTCTAGAAAATTTCACTTAAAATTTTAAAGCAGTGTGCATGCATTACATACCTCAACTCACTAAACAGCAAGTCCATTTCCAAAGAGTGTCTTCATGTTTAAAGCAAAGTCTCTTTTTCTAATGGTGGCAATTTGCAAAGTACTCTCTGGCCCCGAGTGTTTCACTATCTGATTTTTGTAAACAGAAACAGTTTCGTATCCTAGCCTTTGTTCAGTGACAATCACTGCCAAAAGTCTTGGAGCACTAACGTAGGTTTTCAAAGGCAAATTCAGCCATCCCCCTCTCCCCCTAGGAACAATTTTGAATTATCATAAAAAATTGAAAGGGGTTGTGGAGTATGCTTTTTCTTGCGGCTTGTTTGATTTTTTTCTATGCTTTCAACATTGTTTTGGGGGAAAGGGGGACGGAAGTAGTTGCTTTCGGGAAAACAAATGAAAAATAGAAAAGCACAGCGCAAATTGTTGGTTGTTCCAAGTAATTTTGGCAGTGATTATATCTTAATATTTCAATCCAACAGAAGCAACTATCGATATAAATTTGCTTTGAAAATTTGTATCTATATTATAAAAGCTTTGATCAAAGCTCAAATCTGTAAAAACAAGCATTTGGCTCAATAACTGTCTTTTTTGTAAATAACTATTTGTCATTTTGAATCAAACGCATTTCACTTCATATTAAAATTTCTACACTTTAACTACACTTTTTATAATATTTCTCTCATTGGTATAAAAATGATCAAATTTTGAATTTTAAAACAATTTTAACTATGTTCATTTTCTAAAAAATCCTGAAATTTCAAAGCATAAACGAAATCAGATGATAGGCATAAAAAATCTGTTGAATTAAAGCGAATAAATAATGAAATTCTCAATTTTCTTCAAAAATTTGCTCCATTCTTTTTGTCATGATCTTAAAGGAATCACACCGGTTCCCAGGGAAGGAAGATATTATTTCGAATTATATCAACGATAAAAAACAAGTTTAAATAATAACTTATGATAAGAAAATAATAGTTATTTTGAATTCAAAGTAACATTGTACATGATATGGTACGATATGCAATCTATTATATTTACTGAATGTTATCAATGTCTTAAATCACCCGATAGTTAACAAGTAATTAATGCTGACCTTCCATTTGCACTTTGGTGATACTCATACTTTCTCTCTAGAATAAAGGTATAACGTTCTTATTCACTGGGATACTTTTCGCTCAAAGTTTTAAGATGCTTACAGAAACTACGATTTCGTTTACTTATAGGCAGTGGTGGCGCCAGGGGAGGGCTAGGGGGGCTACAGCCCCTCCGTCGGAAGCATCTAGCCCCCCATCGGAGAAAATTTTAGGTTATTGTCGGACCAAATTTGACAAAATAACGTACGAAAACTGCTTATTTTTGTCATTTTAGCCCCCCTGTCGGAAGCTCCAGCCCCTCTGTCGGAAGATTTCTGCCGCCACCTCTGCTTATAGGAATGCTGTCACTGTGCCATAGCATTATTTTACACATAATAAGTAGTAGATAAATATTTTCGATTCATTTTTTGGTTGGTAATTCATTTTTTGCGATTGATGAGTTATCTCCACAGCTGAAATATAACAATATGATGTGAGATGGCTCACTTTGTATGAACATCCCTTGAAAATTAAAACAAGGCCTAAATCCTGGACTACAGTGCTGCTAATGAAATCTTTCTGCTTCAAGCAACTATTTAAAACATTTATAGCTCTCTGAGCTCTTTTCAAAAGACATTAAATCAGAAATGAAAATTTCCCCAGACTTTAGTTGATTCAGGCTTCTTGCCTAAATGCATCTACATAAAAACGCATGCCCAACCGCATGCCAAAACCTACATTCTTTTCCAAACATGGCGATTAATTTTCCATGTATCGATACTTTGATCAAATTTTATCTGCACTTGTATGAATGGTTGCGTTCACCTTTTGATTATTACCCGGCATTTTTAGAGTGTTGGAAGAAAAGTAGTTGCGGTATGCAATCATACAATATTCTTTTACTTGTTCGTGGAATCTTAAGTCTTTACAGAGCAATGGGTTTGCTTAAAAAAATTGATTTTTCGCAGTATCAAAACCAGAGGTTATTGCCTCAGGGGAGAATAGGCGTTGACGCTGAGCATAGGGTTATGATTGGAGACTGGATAAGAGTTGAGAATTTTAAAGTAGAACGAAGGCCTGGGAACACACTCGGAAGAATAGCTTCGATATGAGATCACATCCCAGCATCCTTTGCCAGTCAGCTACTGCAAAATCCGAAACCCTAACTAGAAAGGCAATGTTTGTTGCTTTTTCTGCAAAGTTAAATAGGATGTGTTCATGAAGGTTTGTTTCAATGTCAATTTTTAATTCTTAAACAAAATCAGCAACGAAACTTAAATCCATTCTCCATAACATTTCATTCTTCCTTATATTTTTTTCCTTTTCCATTAGATATTCTATCCATATCTTAGCATTGCCATTAATTAAACGAATTTATATTTGCGGTTATCGTGGGAGTACTTTTGCAATCAGTATTTGTGCTTATAATCAAAATTTACAAACCAAATCCTTTTCGTTCTCATCTTCTTCGCCATCCACTTCCTTTTTTTCTTTCCCAAGCAAAGAGTAACTGCTGCCCCAGTAGCTCATTTTTGGTTTTTTTTCTATTCTTTTAAGGAAGAACTAAGATTATCCGGAAGAGGACCCTTGTTGGTTGAAGTGTTTTCGACGACAAATCCAGTCTAGCTCGATTAGCTTGAAATACAGTGCAGGTGTTGCTAATTGATCACGTATATTTACAGGTAAACAAGTAATCGTACAGGAAATCAATTCACTACTATTCATTGTCATGTTAAATTTTAAATGGAGTTCTTTTCATGTTTTATTTATTATTTACTTTTGCATAAATTATTGTAAAAGTAACCTCATTCCAAATGTGAACCTCGTTCACACAATGAACGCTGGATTTTGGTCCGTTGCCAAATCGACCACAAAAGTCCCATTCCCTTTTCACAACAATCTTCTTCACACATCCGTTAACACTTTAAAAGAGTGCCAACGTATTTTTGGGTGCTTCTAATACCCTTGCTTCTAGTAGTTCTAGTTCTACATTTTGAAGACTTTTAAAGAAAATATTCATACCAAATGAAATTCAATTTCAAGATAAGTTCAATTTATACAACTCGAATTAGAGGATGGCTTCATATGCATTTTCATATTTGTAAGAAATTGTGATATTTGGATGCAGGAAAAACAACAGAGAACACATGTTGCAAATTGAAAAAGCACAACATTTTTTACATCAATTTAAGTTTTATCTAATTGTGTATACTTCTAGCAAGCTGTCCTAAATTTTTATTATTCATAAGACATAAAGCATGCTCTAATCTCCAAGCGTTGATGGTGCATCCAGGAAACTTGATGAATTTTCGTTTGTTATGAGTTCTGTAGATGCACATCATAAATATTGCCAATAAATCCTTGCTGAGTTAATCGCAAAATTTAATGTTCTTTGCTAACATTTTCTCTTAAATCCTGATATATTTTCTTTCATATACGATATTCTTTAACAAAGATTTTATCATATGGTAGACTTTTAAATATCATCAACCTTAATTAATTCAAATCTCATTGAAGCAGTTTACTTCAATTTACTTTACCGAAGCATCATCATGTTTTTCAAACAAGATTTTTTGTGCCTTTAACATGCTTGGTTTACTTGTTATTCACAGTGATGTATTTGAGGATCAAAATGAAAGGGAAGCAACTGAAGAAGACAAATGTGCTTTTTAGAGTGGACTACACCCTTTTCCCACTCTTCAAGATGCTTTTAATTTTGCTGTCACAGATATACTCATTTTAGTACCAGCATAGGCCTTTTTATGATGCTTGATGATCATGACTTATGCATTAATTCGTATATCATCCTTAATGAAATATTATCTTAAAGCAGCCTCACTCTGTCCGTACTGTAAAGCATTTCCAGTTTCGTAATCAAAAGGATTGTTGAATGCAACATTCTTATTGGGTATCAGTTTTCCGCCGATTCTGTTGTTTCCCCTTCATGTAGAACACCTTGAATTCTGGAAGAACGAACAAGACAAAAATGTTGGTTTACGCTCAAGCCCTTCATCAATAGTTTAAACTGTCAACCTTGATGGAAACAAACTTTTCTAACCTGTGTTCGAACTTACTAATTTCAAAGCCTGAAATTTTATATGAGTGAATATTTGAATATTTCAAAGTTTTACATGAGTGAATATTTGAATAAAGAATGAATGTAAAACTGGCGATCTACAAAATATCTCAAGAAATTGATCAGTGTTCTTTTTTGACAAAGTAAACTAGTTTGCGCATTAACCTCCGTGTTCCCTTCATTGACAAGGCTTTCTTTTTATTGCTATATTTCATCCAACATTGTTAGGTCAAAAGATAATTAACTTTATGGCATTAATTTTTAGACTCGTTTCAAGACTGGCATAGTAGAATCTCACCTTCAAAATCGACGAGCCCGTCACCATTCAAGTCGACTTCTGTTATGATTTCTAACGCTTCTTCTATGGTCACAGATTCACCGATATTTATCAAAGACTGATGCATTTCTAAAGGCGTTATGAATCCATCCTTGTCTGAATCCAATACATCAAAAGCCTCTTGCAGGTCGTCTTCCTGAATTCCACGAAGAATTGTTTCTTTCATCAAGTCATGGAAATCGTCGAAGCCAATTTGACCATCGCCTTTACAAGAGAAAAGGGCAGGAAAATAAGACATGTTATTATTTGGAGACACTAGTATCTATGGTTGTGGAATGAGTCAAATAAGTTCAAAGGAGGTCAGATCCAGCCTCGTTACAGAAAGACATACGTTTGTGTATGTACCTGCTTTGTTTTAGAAGAACTTTCATTTCTAAGAATATTTATCTTCATTCACAAAATATCATCAGGCAAAATATTTGCCGAGAGGTAATTCAAAATTTTTGAATGTTTTTTCAGGCGCGGATTTAGCCAAAAATTTTGACCGGTTTCGGGGTGCTTTACCCCATTACAGCCCTGTGTGTTTTTGCCCACACTTTCATCTAATATGTTAGAATTTTACTCCATTTAGCATGGTCTTTGATCCTCTTCTTGCAACTTCGATTCTAATTTTCATGAATTTTTCCGAGAAAGAACATCTATTCCCCTTAATACAAAACCTCAGATTCTTATTTTCGTCCGTATTCCATTTTGTATCATTTTGTTTTAGAGCGTCCATCCTTTTGAGCTATGGATATCGATATCGAGTATGCTTTTTAGTCACCGGTTTTTCTCGCATAAGGGAAACATATGGGCACCGGTTTTCACAGGTTTTCAGAAAACAATAGCCACCGGTTTCAATATTGGTGCATATATAGCATACTCCAAACTGTCACATCGAATGATAGCTGATTTCCTCGATTTTGAATTCCTTGGATACTTTGAAATAATAGATGAAGTAGGAAGCTGGGAACTCTGTCGAACTCTTGTGAGGGTTCAATTCAGTATATAAACAGAAAAACTGTAGTCAGACAGGGATATATGAAGCTATTGTTGCAATTGAAATTGAAATCAAAAATTCAAGTTTTACAGAAAAACATAGCTCTTAGAATTTGACCGGTTTTTTGAAACCTGTGCAACCTGCCTAGACCGCGCCTGTTTTTAGTATATTTATTCCAATATCACACAAGCAGATTTCGACCAATGACTGCATGCCAAAGACGTGCGTGGCATCGTAAAAATACAATGAGCAGATTGAGCAGATACATTCCAGTTATTCTGACTTACCTCTATATATCACATGCATGGTCACATGTCACATGCATGGTCACATGTCACATGCATGGTCACATGTCACATAATCCAAAGAAATGCTATTGTTTCACACTGATTTTACTTCTGTTTTACTGTATTCAATCATAATTTAAACATCTGTTTGTTGAATTTCAACTCTTCAGTCATGAAGGTATTTAAAAAAGGCGACTTTTAAACGCTTAGAAGCATCAATTTACGCTTACCATCTTTGTCAGCTATTTCAAGCATCTCTTTGATGTCTTCTTCTGCAAACTCTTTTCCGAGTGATTGTAACACCGAAGTTAACTCTTGAAGTGATATCATTCCATTCCCGTCAACATCAAACAGTGAGAATGTTTCTTCAAGATCTGAAAGAACAGTTACACAAATAACAATATATTAACATGATCATCTTGAGAATAAAAAATAAAGTCATCAATGCAACTTGTTCGGTGATGTGCCAGCGAGTTTATGACGTATAACAAAAATGTCATCAACACAGCACAGAAACTTCCCCTACAGTTTGAGCTAAAATTTCCCCCAAAGTATTACATAGTTCCCCAAAATAAATTTACAAATTGATACGGTTCTGTAGTCATAAAAAAATAGCTGTAGCAAATTTTGGCTCAATAGGCAATGTGGTATGAAATTGGTTAGGCAACGCTTACAAGGAAAGTTTTCAAAAGATTGCATTTTCATCTGAGTAAAATGGGATCGAAACTTTTGCATCTAAGTGGAACCAAAACGTTTTCAAATCGTTGCTATTTCAAGAGATTATGTCTTTTTAGAATCATAGCATTTTCAGTCATAGCATCATAGCACAAATTATCCGTTGTCAATTTGAGGGGAAGGAAAAACATGATTAATTTTTCAATTGAAAACAAAGGCTTTATTTCTCAAAGATCAGTCTTATCTGATAATCAAAACACGTTTTTTATCTGTACATCAACCTTTTCTCATCAAAATAGCTTTTTTCCAAATTTTGACAAGGCATAAAGACTTAATTTCGACTTACCGCTTAGATTCTCTCCATCTAATCTCGAAGTTTCGTCTGATTCAGCAATAATTGGCTAGAGTTGAAAACAATTTTTAATGAATGATGTGTTGCAATTGAACATGCTATTTCAATGGACTTCAAGTTTCCTCTTTCACGTCGCATAATGTGAGGCTGTAATGCAAAGGCTCATTCATCTATTAAGGGTATTCCAGGGCCAGCCAAACGTATTTGAAAGTGGAGGGGCCAAAAAATCAAAGTCTTTAAAGTGTTTAGAAAAGGCCGCTACCCTAACTGGCGACAAGAAAATTTCAAATTATATTATCTTAGGGATGGCCAGAGAATGTAGCTAAAATGGATTTTGGCTGAAGGAAAATCTAGGGCAATTTGTTTAAGATTTGTTTAATCAATATATCCGATTACTCTAGTCCTTACAATATTCTATTCCTTTTTAAGTCGTCAGCATAGAAAATCTCGTCTATTTTAATGTTGACTTGAAATATGGAAGGTCTTGCAAAGTTTCGAATTAACTTTTATAACAAAGCTCTTTATGAAACTCTCTTTTAGATTTTAAAATAACCAAAAAAATGGAGGAGAAAAAAAAATGAAACAATGTTTATTAACAAAATATAAACATTGAAATATCAACAGGAGAACTATCAACTAAAAATAAACGATAAAGCAATTTTGTACAGTTGGCATATCATTTTGTAACAATTGATCTTAAATTTTTCGGAGTTTAGGTGCAACTTTAACAAAAAAGACTCTGGGTTGAAAATATTTCAAATTGCACTGGACAAAACGATTTTTAACAGAATTCACAATTGCGTCTAGATTTTCTCTTTCTTAGTAGGAATAAATTATCGATACAATTAAGCTTTGAACTTTTCTTGATGATGTCTAACTGTTGCGTTTCATGTGTAATTTATATCCCTTTATTTGTTTTTTCCACAATAAGTGAAAAGGCTTTTGGTTACAGTTTATTTGACATTCATAAAAGTCGTACAGATTCTTTTCGAAAGCAAAATTCTCATTTCGTTTGAAAACTGTTACAATTAGGTACATTGAATATGTAAAAAGCAGCGTTAATTGCCACTGAAATTTGAGAATGAGATTTTACATAATAGTACTACAACTGTACAAAACTACATGATTAATTTTTGGTTGAAGTAGTTCTTCTGTGGGTATTCTTATATTCACGTCCTACTTCTGAACTGTGCTCAACTTATTTCTCTTTCCTTCTTCTTATTTTGGTTCCTTGTTCAAACGTAAGAAAGTTTATTATTTGCTGCATTAAATAGATTAATCTAAAACTTTGCAAGTCCTTTCCTATGTCATGTCAACACTAAAAAAGATAAAACTAAGGAACTTTGTGATTAACAAAACCCAAAAAATATTGCCTTGGATTTTCTTCCGTCAAAATCAATTTCAGATGAAGTTTCTGGCTATCCCAAGAAAAAAAAATTTTTAAACTTTTTCTTGCCGCCAATCGATGGCAACTGTTTCTAAATATATTCACAGTCGTGGCATTTTGTCCCTTTTTTAAAATACGACTTGCCCTTCTTAGGTCTGACTTCAAGCACATCAAGTCACCGCAATGAACGTCCTATCTTACAACCAGTACAATGGACACAAGCAAACATCTTTTGACTCAACCTGATAAAAAAACGTGGGGTTACAAAATATTTTAAACTTATATGTAGGGTTCATATATTAAGCTACAGTTTCTACCATCCACATGCGCTAGGTTAGCTTGTTCTTCCACGTATACCCTTGTATTGTTACTCTTAACTATACTAAGCTGAAAATGTTTCTGAGGTTTTAAGCTAGGAAGATCTGGCAATTCTCATTAGACATACCATAATAAAACTCTAGAAAAGGGGTTAAAATTCCACTAGAGTAACTTCAGCAAAGTTTCTGTCTAGAGGCATCATGATTAAGTAAACAATGTGTGCTTTCAGGATATTAGGAACATAAAAACCTCTTTAGATGAAAAGCTAACCAGAAAAAATCTACTTTGCGACCTTCGCAGGTGTCATAAGGTGAATTAGCCTAATCAACAAACTCCTTGATTACCCAATCTATCTTTTGAGATTTGCTTATGTCGTTTGCCTTGGATTAAGGTTATTGCAGGAGTGATGTAGTATAAATCATGAACTAATATTGTGACGTAGTGTTTAACTGATTGTGACATTTCTACTTACCAGGGCCCCTTGGGTAAGAATACTTCGTTTTTCATTGTATGCTGGCTCATGTTCCATGTCTGAGAGAGTATATATATGTAGATTTTTAACTAGATATCTCGCCTATGTCTGTAATTGAAATGGTGCTAACAAATGTTCACACATAGTCTATTCTCAGATTATGTGGATGGTAGCAAAAGCAAATTACTGTGGCTTTACAAACAAAGACAGGTGCCTTTCAGCTTTGTTTCACCTACCACCAATCTTGTTTAAGATGGAATAACGTATTGTGCGGTTGCTCCATCGCTTAGCGCTCATGTCTTTAGTGTGAATTTAGCAAAAAACAAAGAGATTTTTTAAATGATCTTCAATATTTCATGTACTGGTTAATTAGCAATGTTTTTTAATTTGTAACAGGTATCGTGAAAGAAGGTTTACTGAATGAGGTAAAAAGTTTTCAACTTTCTCCACTCTTTTCGACTCAAGGCATTCGAAACGGTGAATTTTTAATGGTGGCGAGTCCATGCCTGCTTCTGCAGTGCTCAACTGAAAACAAATACAGATACTTAGCTTGGCGTGTACAATGGTTTGTCCCAGGGCCGTCGCTAGCGGGGGGTGCGGGGGGGGTACGGCACCCCCGCTAGAAAATTCTTGTCGGCAAATTTTCTAAAAGTAGAGTTTTGTCGGGTTTTGCTTTCAAAGTTCCCAAAGCAATAGCTTTAGCGAACAGTTGGGATAAGATGAGGATGTGAACTTAAAAGTATTGCCCAAAAGTCCTCAGCAATTCAAAACAGGAAAAGATAGCGCTATGGGTGTCCCGGAGGGGCAAATATCCCCCAAAAACTTCAAATGACTCCCTTTCGGCAGCCGGAGTCTAGAATCTAATGTCCAATATCCAGGGCGACCTAATTTCTATCTAAAGTTTGGGGTTTAGGTAAGGGTCAAAAATTATCAAAAAATTCTGAACGTTGATCCTGGAGTTACTGGAAGCCACTGTAAGAAGGGAAAGGGGGCAAAGTTCCTCAGGGCCTTGAGGTCGAGGGGGCCTCAAGTAGTAATGAACTCCATTTTAAGAATGAAATCAATGAAACGTAGGTATGCCTTAAAATAGTTAAAAGTTCTAAACGATTGCAAGAAATGACAGCAAGAAATATTCTGAAAAGCATTTTAAGACAATCTGAAGGGCGTGGTCGCAAAAAAAGGACCTCGTCTTTCGGTCTTATTTCAAAGCCTTCGAAACCAAAGTACCCACAGTCACTCGAAAATTGAAGCGATGATTGATTAACGAGAACATCCTCTTTGATAAACAAAATCAATTGCGTCAAAATGCCACACCCCTACATTGAAATATCTTGGGCCACGCCCTATTTTGTCGGCAAATTGGTGACTGGCACCCCCCTAAGTGAGAGTGCTTAGCGACGGCCCTGGTTTGTCCTATGCACATGTCCTAGCTTCAGGCAATAAGTACTAAAACCAAGCTAGCCACATTGTTGGACGAAATTCTCCTTAGTAATTTTGTCCAAATTAAGAAACTCAAACGGAGGTCTTGTATCTGGGGTGAACTCCAGTTTGCTTTTGCATCGAGAATAAGCCTGTTTTGTGGCAAGAGGCAATTGGCTGCAGGGGGCATGGGAGATTGTGCTCGCCTATCATGAAAATTAGACAACAACTTGCCCCCTCTAGCTACAGTTTTTCCAAATAATCTTTTGGAAAGTTCGAAAATTCCGTGGGATAATTGCTGTGGAATGAGGGAACATGTCATTTTCAAAAAGTAAGAAACTTATACCTGCTTACTTTCAAAATATTCTACGTCTTGGAATTTTTCAAATGTGACGTTTGCAACTGTGGCATCACAGAATAGAGAGAGGTGGCGTGTAGAGCCATTGCAGGGTCAAGCAGACGAATGACATTGGAAGCATATGCACGTTTCTGTTGGAGAATTAAGATGTCAAAAGATGTCAGCAGGCACCGCGGAGCAGAAGGGGGGGGGTTAGCCCCACTTTTTGCAAAATGCCAAACATTTAGTAATAAACTACCAGTAAAGCTTCTTTTAATAGAGTTTTAGCCCCCCCCCCCACTTTTTTAGACCCCTCACTTTTCTCAACGCTCAGCGGTGCCTGTCCAGTTTTGATTATGATATACATAATTGCACTAGCGTGCGGTAATGCTTCGAAAAGGGTTGAATGCCTTTTCTAATCTTTGATATACATAAATGCCCCATAATGGTGACGTAGCATATCATTTCATCAGAGTGCTTTTACTTACCTTTTTTCGAAAACACTGAACTCGAGCTTTATCTTTCGAAAAATTTCCAACTGAGTGGCTACGGAAACCTCACAGATTTTAATTGATTCATTGTTCTGTTTTTGACCAATAGTTGCTTTGAAGCTTCCCCACCCCCTCCCCCCTCAGGTATGGTTCTTGCTCGAGTTTGCCCAACCCAGCCGACAACTTATCGCCCACATAGAAAACGCAAAAAGCTAGTCTAGAGAACCTGCGACGCCTAGCTTTGAGCAGTGGCAAAGGTAGAAAGGCAACTTTTTGGGGGCAAGGTTAGGGTTTAAGGGCATGCTATTAATGCAATTGTACGCAGGGACGTTAATTGGCAGATATTTGGGGGGGGGGTGAAGGGCTCAAAATTTCCGACTGACAAAGGTCAATTCTAATTTTGTAGGAGGGCCTAAACTTGAATAGTCTTTTACCAACAAAACCTTATATATTGTCTCGTAAATCATTATTCAGCTGTACGTTAAAGTTTTTCTAGATTTCGTAAATTTGAAAGATCGAGCATAAAGACTGTTAGTTTAATTAGTGCATCAAAAGATCGTAGTCCAAAAATCAGGTGTTAATTTTTCTCCTTCTATGACTTGCCCATTGCTCCACTATCATATCTAAATTTACGTTGTCCAAAATGTCTTTCTCGCAAGTAAGAATCATGAGGTCTTTTAGTCTTTCACAGGGGTGGCGCATAGTCATTACTTTCTGAGGTCCATAGACCTCGGCGTATTCCTTGGAAATTAAGCAACTAAAGGATTTGTCGGATTATTCTTTTCTTTAGATCTTTCCTTTACTCTTTTTATTTGATTAAAAATACATTTTTGCAAAAAAGTGGTGGAGCGGGGGGCTGAAGCCCCCAGCTCTCCACCTGGCGCCGCCTGTGTTTCATCGGTCGATCTCGAACGGAGAAAGCTCTTGTTAAATCATGAGTATAAAGCCTTGTTAAAACCTGAAATAAGTATAAAGCCAATTTCTGACTTTGATTTTGAAATGAGACAACACCTTGAGAAATGTTAACCCACACCAACGTCTAAGTTACTTCGCGAGTGAAAATGAGTTACAACGCTTATTTACTTCTTTATGAAACCTTAGTAAGAACCACCAACGCATACTTTTACCAGCATAATAATGAATTATTCTTATACACAATGTTGTATAAAATATACGCATTTCTTGGAAATTGATTCCTGCCCCTTTCAAGTAGTATAAAACAACAGCAACAACAATAACTACTACAGCAACAACATTAAAAGAAATTTTGTAGTACATTTTTGCGTAACGAAGCCTGGTGCTTTCAGTGGAATTCCTCACATGCAGCTAAGGTTAGAGAATAAGAAAATGCGCCTGCTGTAATACACTTAAACGCGAGTTCACTACTCGGTTTCTAAATCTTTTTATCCGGTCAAAGATCTTACTCTGCTAATCTTTCGCATTGATCGGTTTCCCATTGCCACCAAACTGATAATATGAAGCAGCCAGGATACATTGGTGGCAGACCGTGGAGCCTTTTAACAAATAAGTTTCATTGCAAAGAAAATAAGCATTGTCAACAATCTGCTTATATCGCCATCCTGAGTCTTATAAATTATATCCAGTAAACGAACAGATGTTTGGAGCACAAAACACGTCGCCTAATTCTTAAACTACGCAACATAATCGGTTGATTAACATGGTAATTGTACTGTCTTGTTACGTCATGCTGTTAATGAGCCGGGGGTCAAATGCAAATAAAAAACAATGTTCTATTGAGCCCAGAATGCAAAGGAGTAACGGAACGTGGCAAAATGTTCCGTATAGGCTTAAAAGTTTCACATGGCAAATAACTGTAAAAAAGAACAAGGTGGAACAATCCTGATAATGAAACAATATAGGCAAAGATTCTCTTCCTCCGTAATTAGCAAATTGTTTTACTTTAGAGAAAGGTCTTACATTAAAACATATATTATCGATTATTCACGTGTAAATACTAATGCTCCCATGTCTACGTTACTAAATGACAGATAAATATTTTATAAATTTGTTAGCATTTTCTAAACTTTTGATTGGTGACTGGCTTCGAAGTCTGGTGAAACCGTCCCCCAAAGATCCATATATAGACAAAACAGCGTATAACTATCAACTTTATGTCAAATATATAAATGTAAAGACCATTGATATTTTCTGTCAGTATTTCTAGAATATCTTATAAGGAAATGCAATCATAATGCAGTGTCCTCGTAATGAAATTCATATGAAACCCATCGTATTGCTTTCAATTCAGTGCACTGTTTACAAAGAGATATAACAAGTTTCAAAGGTTATTGAGGGGCTATAGCCCTCCAGCCCCCAGTTCTGACGGCCCTGTTATTTGTTTAAAGCTTTCTCGTGTCATTTGCAACAACTCCAGTTTGTAACGAAATCAGTAGGCATAAAGCTTTATTGACTAGTTAAGCAACTTAGTTTCTCAGAGTGTCTCCAATCGAAGATCTATGAAAAACACATATTTACTTTAATTTGATAAACAAGCAACATAGTTAAAAAACAACAAACAGCTAAAAAAATAGACAAAGAAATTTCTGTGATGCCAAATTTTCAGAGGAAGCACTTGGAAACTTTGAAATTTAATTCAATTTCTTCACTTCAAGCGTAATATTGTTTACAGTGAACCCCGGGCAAGAAAGAATTGAATGACTGGCGACAAATTGTCCTTTAATAATTGAACAGTGCATATGAAATCTTTGTTGGATGTATTAATCTAGTTAAAGTGTATATGAGCAATAGATTTGTTTGCCGAGATTATTTTGCAGATCGTTTTGATATGACATGAGGAGGAGATAAGCCCGGCATTGCTGCCACCACATTTCCATCTATCTGTTTAATCTAATTTTAGAGGCAACGATATTTACAATAAAATTGGCTATTTTTTGGGCACAAAATGTTTATCTATAACAGAGAACAATGCATAACATCAACTCTGTCTCCGCTGTTACTGGCAACGCCTGGCATGATTGCAATAAGAAGTCTGTTCTTACGATTCAAT